TATTGCATTTCCCCCGTAAATAATTGCATACTGTCCATTATATATTATACATTTAATATACCCGTATATTAAATAATGGACAATAACATTTTAGACAGAATAAAATACAATGATAATATCTATTAGATAAAATTATATTGTTTTATAAAGATTTACACAAACATTATAAACTATGATATTAAATTCCAGTTTAGTTAAAATAATACGTATAATATGATACATCAGCTGGTATAATGTAACAGCTTGACATGACTCCCTGCGAGTATAAAACGATTGTTAAAATGTTACGTTAATTCGTAATAAGATTGTTTTCGTAACTATTTAATTAATCCATAGTTTTGCTTAACCCAACAAACAATATATTTATTGTTTCTTTGGGAAACGGATATTTGGTATTTTATAATTATTATTGTTATTTTTTTTTTTTATGCATCTCGCCTACTTACTTTAAAATGTATATAAGTATCTTGGCTGTTAGACAATAGTCAGGGCAGCGATTTGGTTTAGCATAGTGTTTAACAATCAAATTTATCAGATTATTTTTCCAAATCATAATATGACGAGGGTTCATGGGTATTATTATTTTATATTTTATTTCGGTAATTACTAGATAAGTAGGTATGGGTGTACATTCAAATTCCGAATTTTTTTTAAAAAAAAAAAAAAATAGTATTTTCAGAAGGAAAATAAGAGATTTCTTCACCACGTCCTTTTATTTTAACCCAAATATAAATTAAAATGTACATAATTATTCTCAAAAAAAAAATTACTATGGATTTATATTTTTTTTTTTTTTTGATTTAAATACCATAATTTTTGTCTCGGGCTTTATTTTTAATTAAGTTATCCATACGATTTTTATTGAAAATTATTAGTAAATTTAGGTGTTTTATGTTATGGTACGTACCACTTTTTGAGTAGATAATATTATGATATGGCCTCGTTGGCCATGAAACTAATAGGCATATATATAATAAATCAATAACTAATCCTACTTATAAATATTTAATAGACTAACCAAAAAAAAAAAAAAATTGCCTACGTACATTATAATATACTCTACATTCATCAGTGTTAGTCTGTTGTGGCCTGTGGTCGATAAATTGTACTAACTCAATACTATTTAGTATTAGTATTAGTATAGCAGGCAATGGTATTCGAAATCAATACTTTCAATGTATCACAATAGTGATACTAGTGTGCTATGAGCATCTATAGTTTCTTACAATCACCGCTACGTTTTTTTTACGAGTGTAAGGCGTCTATACAAAATAAGCTTTTTTTGTTTACAAGTAGTGCGCCAATTCTGTTTGACTGTGTCTGTTGAAGACATGTTTGATAACTTCTTCGATTTTTGAAATTTTCTGTTTACCAACTATTTATTTACATTTGACGTTTCCGGTAAAAAAATAATAAACTAACTTGTACGATTTTACTTGTTTACAGTTTTGTAAGTTACATATTATTTTATTTCTTTATGCGGACTGAAATAAAAAATAATATAATTACAGACTATTTATTATTTCATTAATGTTAAAATTTTATTTTGGTAAAAAGTAGCGAAATTTGCGAATTTCTCTTTGTAGTATTGTTACTTATCAACCATTATAACCGTACGCTACCGGTATTTATACAAAAATGATAATGTCACTATAAAAATACCGCGCTGCTTTCCACCACTTGTATTGTATAGATATTGATTTGAATGTTTAGTATTTTATATAATAGTTAATATTAAATATTATTAAGAGATTAGATAGGTACCGATATTTTCTTTGGTTATATAGTACAATGGTTCCCAACTAAGGGAAATTTCCTCCCCAAGGGAGAATTTAGATATTGCACAGAGGAATATCTCCATAGAGAATAGATACGGATTCCACGGAAATAGACTAAAATTCCTCACTAAAACTCATTAAAATTGATTTATCTAATTTTACTTATATTCGATTTTCAGTTTTTGTATGTTTATGTATTATAATTTAATTGATATCAGTACAAGATAAAGCTTTCGAGACAATTGAGAGAAAACTATCAGACACACTTGCAAAAATGGATGAATACTTTAGAGCAAACTCCCTACGCCCCAACTCAATGAAAACAGAAGTTTGTGCATTTCACCTCAGAAACAAGGAAGCGAATAGAAAACTCCACGTAACCTGGAAAGGTGTAGAGCTAGGCAACAACCCATATCCTAAATATCTAGGCGTAGTTTTAGACAGGTCACTAATACACAAAATAAACTGCGAAAAAACTAAAATGAAAATTAATACGAGAAATGGGTTTTCGCGTAAGCTGGTCAGATCTGCGTGGGTTCTGAACCACATGCATTGAGAGTTACAGCTTTACCACTCTGTTTCTCAACCGGAGATTTTGCAAGTCCAGTGTGAAAAAGGTCCGCACAAAACAGACACGGCTCTGAATGAGACATGCCGACTAATCACAGGCTGTTTAAAAAATACACCAATAAATAAGCTATATACCTAACCTGGATTAGAAGGCAATAGACATGGCCATACAAGTACTAGTCAAACGATATATGATAATTTCTGATAGTGGAGACTCAAATAACCAAAGAAGTTACCAATAAATGTTCTATTTATTACGCTGTAATCCGTAAACATAATATGTACCTCTTATTATATTGTAGTTTTATTTTTATGTTACCTAATTTTTTATTATTATTATTTTTTTATTTGTATTTTTACTGTAAGTTCTGTTTTATATAAATTTGTTTGCTCGTGATTCCAGTGTACTGTAGCCTAACATGATATAAATAAATTGATTTTAGTACGTTAATTTGTTTTTAAAATAATGTAATTTATATACCTACTCGTAAATTCATTTCAATAAATAAGAAGAAATAGTCATTATGTATATTGGTATATTGTATAATTTTGTATAAAATAATGGTACAATTTATCAAAAAAAAAGATCATTAATTTTTAATTTACGGGGTGGGGGGGGGGGGCATGAGATTTTTGAAAATCTACAAGAAAACGGAGAATAAAACAATTGAGAACCACTGGTCTTTTAACGTGTACACAATTTACGCAACATAACCATCAAGAATAATTTCCCTTTAATCATTCCAATTAATTTATAATTAGAGCGATATGAATTCTAAAAACAGACATAGATTCAGACCGGCACTCTTTTGAATTTCAGTTCAAAATTTCTGGAAAATTTGATTTAAAAATGTATACAGTGTTCATTTGCCTGTTGCAATATCTTCTGATATCGGTAATAAAGATAATATTATTTTATTTTTTTTTTTTCATTATTACTCACAATGATACGGATTAAAAATATGTATACATCAATTAATTCTTTATATTTTGGTAAACATAACTTTTTATTTTATTATTTTTGAAAAAATTGAAGATACCTATTTTACAGAGTTAATTTTTGTGACAATTTGGTCGTATTAACTTTTTATTTACATTAAATTTGTGATTTTTCAAGTTCAGAGAAAAGTACTAATAAATTATAATACTATGCATCAGGCTGTAATCCCATTCGCATCATATTTATTCACTTTTTTATCTGAACTTTAAAAAATCATTATAATTATTTTATGAATATAATTGTTTAACCGAAATTAAAATTTGAGTTCAAATTATCAGGTTACAATCGATTACGATTGAATGTATTGTAAGTTTATCAGAATTTATAAAGAATAAAATAATTATGTTCTTATAATATCATATGTTAAGTAGTATATCTGTACTCGTGTTTACCATTTTCATAGTACTGATTATTAAAATCATCTTTTGCATAATAATAAACATCAGTAGAAAATATGAACTTTATAATAATACAATTTTTATAACATTAACAATATTCAAGAGCTACGATATTTGTAAAATTAAATATTGTTTTTTTAATTTACATATTCACTTCACGTTGTTTTTTTTTCTTTTATTACTGCGTAGATGTACTCTCTGAAAATATTTAGGTGTCGTTTACTATTTTATGAACAACTTTTCTTGTAGCAACTGTCCCTATAATTTGCATTTTTTGAGCAATATATTTTTTATTTTTAGAGTAACAGGTTTCTGTAATATTAATAAAAAAAAAAGGAAAAAACTTCAGTGACTTTTACTTGCGTTTTGAATAACATATTTTTTTCGTTCTTAAAGTTTTCTTAAAAAAGATTCCCTACACTCTAGAGTGTTCTATCTGTATATAATATATATACAATATATGTAAACTATTCTCCAGATTGAATTAAATAGATAGATAGATTAAGTATTTAAATCAAATTAAAAAAGCCGTATACATAAAGAATGAGTAACCAAGCTTGCTCATTCAATTTTTTTGATTACATTTTGCATGTATTAAAATTCTGGTTTTTGGAATTCTTAAATGTAGTTAAAACAGATACTTTCGAATACTTAGATTTTTTTACAAAATTTAAGGAGTATCCAGTGGTGATACAAACTTTGGTTTTCCAAATGAGAACTTACATAAAAAAAATTCCATTCGTAGAGGAGTACGTTTAATTTTCGCCAACCTGTTAAAGAAATATTCCGTTTATAAGATTAGGCAGAGAGAACAGTGGAGCACTTATAAAACCCTGTATGCCGTGTTGCCACACAAATGATAACAAACTATATATTATATAAAATATATACATACCTATAAAATCTTAAAAATTTCAGTTTTTTTATTAACATTTTTGCTTTCTGGACAGTTAATGTTATCCTCCATATGATTATTCATATAATCAATTCTAGAAGATAGAATACAGAAAGGAATTTAATGTTTATCTGTAATCAACGATAAACCATTGTAACGAAAAAATATTCCGAGTGGATTTCAGTTTATCAGGACTTGCATTTGAAGAGAAAATTTCATTTTCCGTTATTCATCTTGTGCAGTTTCTTAATTTTTCAATGAAACCGTATGTAATCGTTTACACATGTTTTCTTTTAAATATGTTTCATTTATTTACAATTTATAAAATAATAACAGTAGAATGGTTCTCAGTAGTATCACCCGACGACAATAATTAAGATCTTAACACAAATCACCTAGTAAATATTATTATTTATTATTAATAATTAGTAACATTATTAGAGTTACCTACTGCATAGTGAATACTTATTATTAATTTTAGCATGCAGAGTTTGCACAAAGTGCACTGGATAGCGAAAATCGAACAACAAAGACGAATGATAGATCAAACTGCTTTTAGCCATTTTACGTAAACTTAAATGTGTGGTTTTTCCAAATAATTCTATATTTTTTTAGAAATTACTTTAAATAAAACTACCAACATTATTATTGCATCCGGCTATTAGAGATAGTTAAAATTAACTGATAAAAATAAATCTAGTAGGTAGAAATATTCAAATATAAAATATAAAATGGTATTAAAATATATTATTTCGTTTTGCGTTTTGCGTTCTGTTTTGATATTTTTGATTTTGATTTTTGATTTCGTTATGTGGTATGTTTTGTGATATTTTATTTTTTTCGTTTTCCGTTTTATTACGTTTCCAAATTTCAATCGTTTTTTATACCGTATAACGTTATAAATGTTACAATCATAACATTATTATAACGTTTTCAAGCGCTGATTGATAGTGATGATTTTTCAACAGTGTATAATATGCCATATTATGGTAAAATAATTAAATAAGTATTTCATATTTTCTTTAAAAGTACTTGTTTAATATTGTTCCTATTTTCCCGCCCTCTCGGTTTTCCTATGTTTTTTCCCGGTTAAGTCAAATATCTAAACCTCTTTGTTCCCTCTAGAGACAATAATGATAATGACGTTCTTTTTACTGTTTTCAAATCGTTCGTTATGTACATATTCGAATGAGCACCGAACCAAATAGCAATATGGACGAACACAACGAGAATAAAAATTAATATAATATAATATAGCTATCATGGATTATAAAATAATCTAAATTGTTGACTTTTGGTTGTAAATCAGTAAAATAAAATATAAATTAAAACAATTATAGTGCAGGTCTTTAGTAATTATTTCAAAAAAAAAAAACCTTTAAAATATTAAATAGAAGAACAAATTGTTACACTTGTTAAATAGTCCTGTTACATCATGTATATACTGTATAGTATATGGACTACTGGAATAAAATCCGCAGATTACACAAAACGTATGTAGAATATACGAGTATAGACAATGTAATGTAATTACAGCTAAATAACTTACTGTGAAATAAAAGAAAGTTATAAGAGCGGATTTGATACCGGCGTGTTTAGTCCTCATCTTATACAACGCACGGTATAACGGACGTTTATAGCAGAGATAATTGTAATTATTGTATACTATCAGTTTTTAAATTAGAACTAATCAAAAGTAAAATCATTTTTAGATTATTAGAATTATTGTTATTATTATTAATTGTTATTAGAATTATTGGCAGTGTTCAATACAATTTTTCTGGGGGGGGAGGGGCGTTGCTAAAATTCTAGTAATAACCTTTTTTTTCATGCTTATTTACTCCTCTTACTAAAACCAATCAAATTTGTTTAATTATTTAATTAATTATTAATTTAACAGTTGGGGGCAAAAAAATTCCAGGAAGCTATCGCTCTCCCTGTCATATACCTGGATTCAACACTGATTATTGGTGTGCAATTTTAAGTTGCGATATTTCATACAACTATACCTACTTGTAATATCTCGCTTAGCAATTAAAATACCGAGAATAAAAAATGTATGTAAAAACGCTCGGACAATGTTCGTACCGTCAAGTTCGCCGGTGAATACTATTAAAACCAACATCGTAAAATCGTCCCGGCGAACGCAAATTATTTATGCCTTACGTTTGAAACGCGGATACGAGCAAGATACCACAATACGCGGGAAAAATGTTACATTGCGTTCTTTTGAATATTTAATATTGATAAAAAAAAATAATAAATAATTATTATTACTTACGATGGCTGATCATATTAAAGTAATAAACGTTAATTGAACAAAAAATTTAACTTGAAATATGTCTGTTTTATAAACAGTAAAAATATACGATTTACGGTGTTTGCATTATAAATTATAGTAATACTTTAAGCAAAACTCCTAATGAAGAATGCGAACAAAATAACAGCGTGGGTATTTTAAAATAAGAAAAGTAGATTTATAAACTCAGTACAATGAGAAGTTTTAGGATTGTCGAACCGATGTAAACAAATTTTTCACGTTGGGTACTCGCGAAACCGAATAAATATTAAAATCTACCCCTTCCCCCTAAAGAAAGGTCCTAGTTACGCCATTGCCATAAATAATTGGCGAAGAAGATAATATTATGTTGTAGAGAGCTGTATGACATAGTGGTCTTGGCAACCGTGACCGGTTTTATAAAAGAAAAAAAAACTAAACTAATGGCTATTTGCCAGGCCATATAATGAGAAGAGGAATGAAAGCGTCGGGAGATGAGACCTAATGGTAGACCCAGGGAATGGTGGCTCGACATTTTCAAAGAACACCTTAAGGAATCTGTAGTTAGTGTAAGACAGGGATAGATGGCGCGGTGTTGTTTTGGGAGCGAGAACTCTTAGAGCTTTTGTCAGCTCATTGTAAATATTATTTGAATCTTGTGTCGTTTTTTTTTTAAGTTATTCGTTTGTAGTTGAGTAAAAAAATATTGTGCAAACGGATTAATAATAAGTATAGTATATTATTTAATGTCGATTAAATACAACAGCAAAACGACCACCGTTATAAAATAATCTGGAACAATTGACCGTCGTAAAATCACATATAAACGTTTTACACCATACCTGTACAATAGTATGGTTTTTTTTCCAACTTAACCATAGACTTATAATATATAGACCGTGCAATAGTGAAATATATTGAAGCCAACATATGTGCGAAACGGAAAGACTCTGGTGTTACTTTTTCAAGGAGGTTATAAGCAATTTCATATTTAATTGATTACTGATAACGCTATCATCAAGATATAATACAATTTAAAATTGTAATTATTTTGTACATTACCAATTTCGTTATCCTTATTTTGTAATATAAATATTTATTATCTCAAAGATTTTTGTGTAAGTTTTTTATTAATTACTTAAAAAATTTACGTCAGAGTCTGTTTCTCTCGCACATATATTGGCTTCAAGGTTTTATACACAAAACGGTCGTAATGCGCAGTCTATATATTATAAGTCTATGAACGCAACACAATAACTATGATCAACAAACGTTAACAGGGTGTGTAGGGCGTTCGCGATGGAGATTCAAGAGCTTTAATTGGGGTGACGGAGGTAAGTAATATTTTTAATATCAATGACAAAAATAAAAAAAAAAATAATAATAACAATAATATTAATAATACAAATCAATATATTTTTGTCATAATTCTAATACCAATTGCCGATTATAACGAAAAACGTTAATGCATATAACCAATATGGAAAATAATAATAATAATAAAAAAAAAAAAAAAACATTAAACAATAAACAAAGACCATAGTCCGATATTTAATTTTGTTTAGTAAATATTTATGAAACGTCGTCTTCGTCGGCGCGTATGCAAATTTCATTATGCGAGTATGCGTATTTATTATTTATTTACACGGGTAGTGTGTAAATTCGTGTCTTAAAATAACATTCGATCGAGCCCGTATTTTTTTACATACTTTCGTTATTTTCCTGTCACTACCATGTATAAAATAAATTCAGAACGGATCATTGACATGGTGTATACACTATACATTATTACATATATTATAGGTGTAGGTAAACAGTGATTTGTGCCATGGCCCGGGGATTTTCAAGTACAACAAAGAATTAATTTTAAACATGTAGGACGTGGGTACATCTAGAATTTTAAGAGTCATATAACCTCGTGTGCCGTCACCGTCGTACAAATGCTCGCATTGGTACGAAGAGTATGGATATCAGCTATTATTTTTATTGGTACACAAAATTCAAAAGTTATAAATAGATTTCTGTTGTGAGGAATATAAGTCATACTATGTACAAAATTAATGCTAGTATGACAACTGATAAGTAACCATCGACTTTGAATAATAAAATATTTGTTAAAGTGTGACGTTATTGTTAGATTTCTTAAAACACGTATCGCCATAAAATACAAAGCAATCGCCATGAAACGAAAGAGGTATTTAAAAGTGGGAGTATCAAATGAAATATTGCAAGAGAAAAAGAAAAGAAGAATGCAAAAGTATTGGCTAAGTCACGTCGTATGACTGAATATATTGTCTGTAAAAGTCAGTCCCAATAAATGAATGGCAGCTATGTGGTAAGTATATTAGGAATAATAAATCATAATTTCTTAATTATGTCGCAAGCATTCAATTTATACAAAAATTAAAAACACTTTTCGAGGGGACCCCTGCGCAATTTTTTTTAGATCCCAGAAATTAGAAAAATTTATATGAAAAACATTTTTATCTATAAAAATGATTTTCAGCTATTTGGTTTGAAAAAATGTTACCTACAATTTTTAAATTGTTTTCTTTAAATTTAAAAACCATTGATTTAAAAAAAATTAAAAGGAAATAATAAAAATGCTTATAGTTTTTACAATTTTTTTCAATTTATACAAAAATTAAAAACACTTTTGATAAAAATCGGCTTCTGATTTTCATGGCGGATGAAAGGCTAAATATTTTAGTTTTGATGAGTATAGAAAACAATATTTGAAGGCACCTTAAATGTGATAACATGATAAAAAACTTCACTACAATCAAATCTAGACGGAAACGAATTGGCCACTAGGACATTTACTCCAAAAGTTAATTTGTTGTTACTTAAATTATATATAATATATACATTTATAAAATACTGATTTTTGTATATTTTTTTACTACTTACCTTTTTGATTGATGAATTGATTTTGATGAATCATTAATACTTTTATTAATAATTTATTATTTTTAATTCAAACAATTTAATTATAGAGCTACACCTGGATGGAAAGAGGGGTGCAAAAAAAAAACAGGCAAACAGTCATCAATATATTAAATATATTCCTATACCCATGGCAGCGACCGCACCATAGGCTAGCCCAGGGGCCAAAATATCATAAATACGGCCCTGGTTAAATCATGTGTATCGACTATTGGAATAAAATCTGCATATATACCCGAAACTTTTGTAGAACATACGAGTAGAAAATGTAATGTAATTAGTAATTACAGATAAATGACACGCTGTGAAATTAAAAAGCGAATTTGATATCCCCGCGTGCGTAGTCCTCGTCTTACACAAACGCACGATACAGCAGACTTTTAACAGGGACAGTTGCAACATGCTGTCAGTTTTAATATTAGTATAAATAGTCATTATTTTTATCGAACTAATCAAAAGGCAAGAACATTATCAGATTTTGTTTTTGTATACATTTCATTTTTTCTCGATATTTCAATTTTCCTCGGCGAATTATAGACAGCTGTGCATTAATAAATTGCGATATTTGGTATACCTTCTCGTAATAACTCGCTTAGCAAATCGAAATATGGCGAACAAAAATTCGATATACAAACACACGGATAATGTTCGTACCAACAAATTCGCTGGTGATTTGGACGATTCGCCGTGTACTATTATTAAAACTAACAGCCTAAAATCGTTTCCGTTAAACACAAATTGTATATACTTTACTGAATACCGAAATACTAAGGAAACCGAAAGACTGAAAAGAATCGCTTAATACCTATACGAAAAAATGTACCGTTCTGAAATTGAAAAAAAAAAGAGACAAACGGACCTCGTACTTTGGAAGATGGAAATATGGAAAGATGGGTGGGCCACTGTTATAGATGAGAAGTTGGAAAGATAGAGAGTAATTTAATGTGTATCTGAACTCAAAGATTAATTACTGTTAACTGCTAACGATATTCTTAGCGGAGTTCGGCTATACATGTTTCAAAATATTTACGATTTCAAAATAATACGTATTATCGTAAATTTTCCCGTATTTCCTAAGTCATTCACGATTTTTCCCATTTATTGAGAAACCTCCTGGTAAAATCAATAAAAACACCTGCTTAAAGTCTCATATGTCAGTCAGATTTAATATCAGAAAAAGTGCTACGTTTAAAAATCAGGGCGACATTTCTGATAAGGAAGTTGTTCGCAGAAAAAAAAACATCATTGTAAAACTAATACAGTCCTCGTTCCGCTCAGAATCCAAAACATTTGCCTCTTGGACGGATTATTTGGAGTTCATGGCTACGCACTGTTATCGAAATAATATTTGATCGAATTTACGTCTAAATTCGAATGAATCAATAATAATTAAATATTATGATTATTCTAAAACGGATGGGTAATGCGTACGGTTTATAATATTATTATGTTTTTGCCATAATATATCATCGTATCAGTTAATATTATCGTATCAATCAACGTTCGGTGGACATTTTTTAAATATAGTTTTTGACCATTGGTCATATATTATATTATTTTAAACTAACCCTCGCTGCAGCCGGGCGCTATCATTCAAACCTTTCCTAGAAAATAAACGTCCGTCCGTTTGACGGTTAATTTTGGTCTGTCAATATTTTCCTCCGCGAGCTGTATTTACATTTGGACAAGGGTTTTTGTCACAAAATTCAAATATAGAATAACCGTATGAATATTCATATATTATATATTATAATATATCTGTTTATCTTTCGCTGTGGTATTTAATCATTCAATAACTAATTTAAATATTTCTATGAAATAAATAAATAAAAAAAAAAACAGTAGAATACAGAGAGAGTTCTTTTATTTATATATCTGTTCTCAACGAAAAATGATTGTGCAACGAAATACGATTCTGAGCGAAGTTCGGTTAAATACGTATTGAAATACCGCGATTTTTGCGATTTTTGTTAAAGTTTAAAATTGAAAAAATTAACAAACATTTTTTTTTACCACCGAGTACAAACTATGAGATGAATCTTGTGTTAAATTGTCAAATATTTCTCTCCGCTCTAACATTTTTATCTATACAATTTAAAAATGTCAAATGTCAAATGCCTTATATAAAATTAGTTTATATAAAATTTGTCAGTATATGTTATTAATAATTTACCAAGTCAATAAAAAGCTAATGCGTAATAGTATAATTTGTCAAGTCTCCGTGAATATTTTTAACTGAATTATAACAAAAATGGAACATTACTCCGGCTTCCATAAGTTTTTTCCAGATAATTTAGAAAACTGCAAGGAAAATCAAAGAAATTATTTCCCTAATGTATAAAATCGTTCAAAAATTTTACAAAGAAAAATCACTCTTGTAGTTTATTTTATTTGGAACAAGATTTCTGGTAGATAAGTTGTTTTCAGACAGAAAAAAAAACAATTCCTTTAAAATTTAAAAAAGAAACGTAATATAAACTTATTTGTGCGGAATTGATTGTTCTTTCACGAAAGTTCATAGTTACTGTCGCTCTGTTCACACGACGGTAGTTCGTGGTAGTGAAACAATTACGTTTGCGAATTTCTCAAATATCACGTAAGAAACTATATAGTGGACCAGGCTTTAATTGTGAGATAGTTGAATGTATAGGTAAGTAAGACTTATTATATATTATTTGTATGCATTATTACATTAGCGGATATGGGTAAACGTACACCTGTCGTAGTTAATGCCGATGCTTTTTATTTGTGTTTTAAGCACCCACCACTTTTAGAAACGGATGTCGAAATTCCTCGTACGTGACTGAAAACTTTTTTGGCACATATGGATTACTGTGGTTACTTCGAAGGTTGAGTGCAATTTAACGGAGACCCGAATAAGTAGTACTCCGATAAAAGGTATGGCAAACACGCCAATAATGTGCTCAAGTATAATATCGTATTAACAGGGCGACGAACGCTCAACGGCAAAAATAATTTACAACACTATTATCTTTTCCTTTCTTTTTTTTTTTCGGAGGAGGGGAGCTTAATCTTTTTATTTCACAACGAAAATATAAAATAAAACGTTCGTTTCATCCTTGCACGATATTGTCCGCTAGTTTGATAAGAATTAATCAAGGAATTCGTTTTGGAAAAAATAATCGTATCTACGTATTCCGTATCCTCATATTATTTGGAATGCATACTACGCAATAAGAATTTATTTTTAAAGGCAGCCGAGTCGGTTTTAGTAATTCTGTAGTTCTGCAAAAATGAAAAAGAACCTAAATTGCACATTTGAAAAGTAATTTCAGAGTGACTAGGAATTATAGGGTTTGAATGTTGACCTGATGGTTTGCATCTATTTTTTTGTTTTTGTTTGTAGATTATTATAATTTTCAGCAAAACTGTAGTGGGTAAATTATCATTATTCTCACTCTAACCGGATGATTTTAAATATTATACCAAAATGATTGTGTATTCATTTCAAAATCCATGTATTGACATATTATCTAAATTTAACGGTTATATGATATGATTTTCAAACGATAAAGTTTGACGGATCCGTTACCTAAACACATCACAGCGATATAAATACCTAGTGAATTGAAAAAACTTTGTTGTTGAAACTGTTGGACGTTAAAATGTAATCTTTTATAATATAAAATATACAATATAAAATATACAATATAAAATATATCGGTAAACAATAAAGTTTTACAAAGTTAAATTCGATAAAGTGTCAACAAGTTAAACGAAACTAAATAGGTACCTAAGCAAATAAACTAAAATTATATTTAGTGTTCCACCTACCCATATTACGAGTCATGTTTTATTATTATGATCTTAAAAAGAGACTATAGTATTAAAATAATTTAAATCATAATTTAATAACAACAATTTTATATTTTTATAAATGCGAATTTTAACTATATATTTCGCGATTTAAAAATTCTGCATAAATAATTAGTATAATTTAGCGAACAAATTTAATTGCAGATAAATGAAATACTCACTAATAATGCATTTTTAAAATAAAAAGTTTGCTATCATCAAATATTTTCCTCGGTTCTAGATTTTAAGTCAGGTTTATATAAGAAATGTAAAAGACAATAGCCCACTCGACCACAATATGGGTAGGGATGAGACAAGTTTTGATTTTTAAAAGTATTCTAGTAATCAAAGGCGAACTTATAGGGCATTTCTTTTGTTTTTGTCCTTTGTGTGATAAATGAGTTTTTTCCTTATTATTTTAACAGACTATTTTTTTTTCATTCCGTGTAGTTATGAACAAAGTTGTTAAGAATTTCTCTACACTTGATTTAATCAAAAAGAGGAAGCAAATAATTCTCTGGACGATTATGTAAAATCTCTCAAAGGCTAAAGTTAACTTATTATTTTTAGTATTTGTAAAAACTTTGGAAGCTTCTTCCGAACAATGCCTGTTAATTGGAAAATACTTTATAATCTTATGAAAAGGTTTTCATTGGTTAAAAAATATACGAGTAATATAACAATGCTTTTTCAGATTAATATTTCATTAGAAAATAATTTTAAAAACCTCTAAAAATACCAAGCGATTGCGTATTTTTTATTTATTTTTAACTATTTGTTGGTTTTAAAATTGTAATATTCGTGATATTATATTTTGAATTAATATCATTAACTAATAAATGATTTTTCGCATAAAATACATGCAAAGATTTATAATATCGTTAAGTACGGTCTGACAGTCAAACTTGTCCTACCTACTGGTAGGATACCAGTGTGTACCTGTTTACCTGTTTACTGTACAAATTGGTTTACTTAAAATGCTTGAAAATTTAAGAGGAAGTTCATTATAAGTTATACTTATTGGCCGAAAAAATAAATTGAATGTAATCTAATTTTTTTTTTTTTAATAAACGTTTTTATATTTTACTATATTATTCTTATGTATTATTAAGTAATAAAATCTAAGATATTTCAGCCTTTCAAAACATGTATAATCGAACTTCGCTCTGAATCGTTTTACTGATACAAATTAAATAACTGTATGTATCCTATCTTTCTCAAATTCCTATTCACAATAGAGTCTCAACCGTTCTCAATATCACCTCTTTTTTTAAATTTTTTTTTTGACAAGTTTCCTTTCTTTTAAAAATAAAATATCCTATCTCAAATATGATTTTGATCATCGCATCCATAAAAAAAATATCACTATTGCAGAATTTCGTCACTGTCTTTTGTTTCTAACTTATTTGAAAATAAAAATGATTTTAAATAAACCATTTTCTGTTCTTAAAAATTGCTACAGCTAATTTATTAAATATTTTCAAATAGTTATGATTAATATAATTTTTTTATTTATTGAATAGTGAACGGTACTTACTTTAGCAGTTATTTTAGTGAGTATAAATTATATTTCTATACAATTTGAAAAATTATTTATTTTATACGAACAGCAGTTCGTACTATTTTTAATAATAGAATATTATTTGTATGTTTAGACACATACATACCAGTCGTGTACAATATTCCAAGGAAATCTCGTTATTTTTTTGTGAAAACATATAGAGAATTTTTTTTTTTTTATCAGAAGTATACCATTATTACTCTTGGAAATATTCAATAACTACTATTGTTATGCAAAATTGAATAAGTGTAATTCACAGAGTAAAGACTACTATTATTTATTAGGAAGCAAAATCGTACTTCCATAAATACGAGTAAACGATTTATTAAAATTTAATTAGTTTATAAATTGGAGTTTAAATTATGTAAAACTACTATGTTATACACCTTGGTATGTATTTTTTTTTTATATAAAGAAACCACATTTTTATTATTTGTAATTTGAATAATATTGAATTTTATAAATGTTATAAAATATTAAACTACACTGATACACAGTATGTTTAATTTTATACACCAACGCTAACTACGAATAGAAATATGGAACTCGTAGAGCCATGGGCAGGCAAATACTTCAATTTCCGGTTCGGCTCTGGATAATCAACTTCCCTTACATAAGTACTTACTTACCACCACTTTCATATTATTCTTCCGAAACACGTTAACCCTTTCAAAAGTAACATATCGATATAATATCCGTTATACACATATCGATTTGTGTGTTAAAAATCCATTTATTCTGAACAAATGTTGTCTTCGATAATATTATTATGGTTCTTTCTGAACAGTCCACTTAAAAAAAAAAGAATAAAAAAAAAAAAAAACGCATATGTTTATAATGGCGTACGATGTCTTTGTTCGGCCATTTGTATTTGTTTTTTCCACTACTTCCTCTGCCTTTGCACTTGGCGTGTTCGCCTTTAGCCAGTAGTAATGATAATGTTTATCGCATAAATTATTCATACGACTGGTGACCGAATGCTCGTCTCCGGTAATTTCCTTAATTTGTTTGCATTGTCAGTGATAATTATTTGACTGGCACGTCAATTTCGTATTTTATATCAGCCAGTAGAACTTCTAAATTATTCAAAAGGAGCTGGTTAAAAATTCACTTGTGGTCTCCCTATTTGACGGGTAGACATGTGTGGTCATTGGTGACATTTGGAAACAATTTTAGTGTCTATCGTAAATTCGCACACATTCGACAACACCATATAAAGTGTACATTACTCGACAGGAATTCTTTTAAATTATGGAAATTGCATTAACTACGCGACTTATATTTGAATGCACTAGTTTATGTTATGGTATACGGTGCAGTTTGTTAAAATTGTTTTAAAACTGATGGTTGACTTATGGAGGTTTTCCGTGCGACCGTCTCGAAAATGCACCATTCCAAATTTCGGAGCGCGAATAAATCCTGTCTATTTAATATGATACGGCAGCCGGTAGCGGTCTTTGATTCTATTACGAGTACGTTTTCATTTTTGTACACACAACGCGACAACTTGAATATCGCGGTTTCCGGAAATATATGTAACTTGTATTTGGGCGTGTCGAGTATGTTTGATAGGATTTCGTCCATCAGCAAAAATATTTGTAACAGAACATCTGGTGTTTGGTTGACGGGACGTGACGGAGTTATTATTTGTACCTTAACGGAGAACGTATCTGTCGGGTCGATACCTATATTCGCAAACTCACGTTCTGCGAAACTAAGAATATGGTTATTGCAGTCGATAAGACTCGCTTGGTGGTGCCGGTGCGACGTATTCGTACTTTTTAAACGGCATATTTAAACACTCGTAGAAAATTGATAAACACTTTGTAAAAAAAAAAAAATTCAAATGCTGTGATCACCGGACAACGACGGCTCGCTTCTACGGCTGCGGCGCGGATAATGATTTAGTCGTCCACCTAAAAGTACGTTAACGAGATAATAAACAAGCGAATACGGGCGGGGGCTAAGAGACCAACTCATACAGAATCGTACAGGATCTTACAGGATCGTACAGGACCTTACAGGTGTGGGCGGGGGCTAAGAGACCAACTCATACAGAATCGTACAGGATCTTACAGGACCGTACAGAAACTTACAGGATCGTACAGGACCCACGGGTGTGAAACACGATGCGCACTGTAGATTCGTGAAAGAATTTCTGCATGATCCGACAGGAAAACCGAGAACAATGCGTTACACGCAAGAAACACACTGTGCGTACGCTGCTGACAATGTGTGCACGTATAAATATACTTATTTTCGCAATAGATTCTCGGAACGACACGCACTATGTGTGGGGGTCCGTTGTCGCCAACGATTATATTTCGTGTAGGTGTACGATTATAATTTCGCATTATACAGGAGCTAGGAGGCGACGGGGGTTGCGGCGACCGTTATATTCCGTACGGGTAACAAATCGCGTACGAGCAATATTATTTTGTCGAAATATAATAACAGATGGTGGTGTCACGGACGGGGAAGTTATATTTCGTATACGAAACACTTGCTATGTATTTGAAACATCATCTTGCGATAACAGTAGGTATACCGATATGTGTATTAGGTATATTTCGTGATGACAGTAGGTGTAATCGGGCGTGACCTAAATGGTCTGTGAAGTGGTGCGCAATTCGGGCGGCCGTGTACTGGGTATAGCACTTCGTCCTTGCTCCTGCTCCTGATTTAGAACTCTCCTTTTTATGCTACTACCGAAAAATGTACCGAAGCAAAATCTGGACAATTTTAATTTTTAAAACTCAACAGGCAAAATCTGTAACGACAAAAAACTTCAAGAGCAAAATGTTTTGGCACTTTTGATTTTGCATAGTTAGTTTGAAAAAGACTTATTAGGATAATGAGGACGGATGCAGCCAATTTTATAGATAATTTAATGTATACCTGCAAGCAACAATAAACCATTGCTTACGAAATAACGATTCTGAGCGCAGTTCAGTTGATAATGATGCTTTATCAACAATATATATGTAATTTTATAGTAAAATAATTAAATAGGTTTTGTATATTTTCTTTAATAATATTTGTTTAATGTTGTACCGATTTTCTTAGTTTTCCTACGTTTTTCCCAGTTTTCTTACGTTTTATCCCAGTTATTCACACTCTTGGGAAAATCAAAAAATCACCTCTTTAAAGTACCTTTCTAGTGAAATTTTCTTTCAGAAACATTGCTATCATTAAAAGTTGGAGCAAAAGTGCTGGTAGAAAAATTGTGCACAGAAAAAAAAGGCCATAATATATTTTAAAAATCGCTATTATTAAAATTTTGAGCAAAATGTGCCGGTGGAAAAATTGCCCACAGATAAAAAAAAATTAAACACCTTTGTAAAACTATAAACTTTTTCGCTCCACTCGGAATTTAAAATTAAAATTTGCCCATACTTTCCCTTTCCGAATAATGCCGTTCAACGTGATGTCATTACAGATAATGCTGGTCTCTCCAATGTTTTCCTCGGGTATCGTATTGATACTCAACAGTTTATTCCAATATAAAACAAAATAATCAAAATCAATCAAACTTAGGATTGGCTATTACTTTATTACCTACGTTACCTATAGACGTTTAGGCTACAGTACGTATAAGTATGATTGATTGGTAAATTCTGAGAATGTTACTAAACACGGGTGCATTGGATACTTGCTAAAATAAATATTGTTACGATAAACCGTTCGTGAATCGGAGCCATTTTAATATTATCGCATGCGTGGTTTCCGTTAGTTCGTTGTCGTCGGCAGTCGTTTACGCAGGATTTGTGTACGCGTAGACGATGTTGTGTTTTCTGCTGTATTATTGAAAACAAACAATATTTCATACCGCATGTCGTTTAATGTGCGTTTTTGTAAAATACCTAACTACTCGGATATTCGATCGCGAACGATAACTCGTATAATACTAGTACAGTGTAGTGCGTAGTCTATACAATCCGAATTGTAATAGTAATATACATTTGAATTAACAAGAAAACTTATTTGATTATGAAACTACGTACTCAATTTCACTATTACGTTAAAATATTTTCTTTAAAAAAAAAAAAACGAACAAATAATTTAATTACCGGGTAGGGTATAATAGTATTACGACTGGATAATATTAATAATCATTGTTTAGTAGTAAAGTTTAAAATATTTCGTGATTTCAATAACAATTTTATGATAGCTACCCACCTGTACTTGAATAATTACTTTATCGATTTCTATATTATGAAATATTTAAAATTCATTCTACTGTATAATATTATTATGTATCGGCATGAAATTACCCCAGTATACATCATAAATGATTAGCAATTTTGTTTTGTTTTGGTTTTTTTTTTTTGTTAACTTTGATTCATTATCGTTTCAATAACAATATAAACGTTCATTCAAACACTTCAGTAAACACAAACAAAAACAATCGCTTTCCTGTGATGTACCTAACTATTTATTAATTATTATTCAACCGTGATGAATAATTAATAAAAATCAATAATTATCGTTATTGTGTCATCATTTTTTTTATTGGACACTCAAGTCGCCTATAGTGAAATTTAACGCCCGTAACGCGTATTCCGCTTACAGAGGCACGATAATATATTCGAGTAAAAACACTACTCAAACTATATCATATAGTTAATATCTATTGTTGCGGTTCTGGTGCGCCTACACCGAGTGCAAGTGCATCTCGGGGACTAGCATGTGTGCCATAAATCGACGATACAGCGTATAATATTGCAGCCAAAGTGCAAAGTGGGTGTTTATATAATATACAGGGCGTAACGCTCTGAAACAATTTTTGTTCTGTTAGGTGTTTTTAAGTTTTTTTCTTGTAATCATTTCTAGAGACTTGCCCTATGGTTCCTTTGATTTATATTTTTACAAAGAATAAAAATAAATAAGGTGTCCTAGGATTACGGGGACGGGTTATAGCCACTGTTATAGGTGATACATTTGGAAGGTATAGTAGATGTATATCCGTAAGCAACAACGATGAATCGCTGCTAACGAAAAAACGAGCGAAGTTCAGTTGATAGTTGCTTTGCGAACGATATTCATACATGTAATATTACGATAAAACAATTACATATGCATTAAACGGTTTCTTTAATAATATTTGTTTAATATTGTACAACACCTATTTTCCAAATTTTTTCCATTTATTAGGAAAACTCCTGGCAAAAACAAAAAATTACCTCCTTAAAGTACCTCTCCAGTCAGATTTCATTTTAGAAAAGTGCTATCATTATAAATCGAAGTAAAATTGCTGGTAGAAGTTGTCCACAGAAGAAAATAATAAATAACCATCGTTGTAAAATCAATACATTCCCCGTTCTACTCAAAATCTAATATTTTTTTTAAAATATCCAAGAAATCAGTTATATAAATATGTTTTAAAATTAAATTTCGGTGTTCATCATTAGTAATGATGAGTTGTTAAGTTTCTACAATTTTTTGAGGTTTACAAAAATCATTAACGAAATTATTATTCATGGATAACTTGGTGAATCGATTGGTATTAATTAGTAGTGCCGATGAAAACAATTTTAATAGTCTTTTAAACTACAAAAAGTTTTAGAAAATTAACGTTTCATCATTATTAGGTATTTTTAACAGCAAAGTTTTGTTTCAAAATATTTGTATAAAATGGCTATATTAGATTTTGAAAAACATTTTTTTAATTTTAGCCTTGAAAAAATGTAAAATATAATAATCATAGCTTACAGTTCCAGTAATTGCCAAAAGAAAAAGAATAACTTAAAAATATTAAACAGGAAATAATTTATTTCTGATTCTCGTGTTAATGTCTGTATATTTCAGCGTGGGAAACTACAAAATATGTTAAATATTTAACTACCGAAATCTTATTATTAATTAATGTAACGGCAATAGACAACAAATTTTGTGTTATTGAAGAGAAATAACTGTGAATTTTTTAGATACCTAATCGTAAACTTTGAAATTTTCTCGTCAGGGCGAAAGTTTTTAACGAAAACAGTTTAATTTTTTTTAAAGTAATCTACCTTGCAGTTTGAAACATTCGTCGATTCATATAAAATTTAAAAATTATTTGTGTAAACAACTGCAGGATAAATTTATTTTTACTTCAATTTTACGTGTAGATCGTTGTGGGTTTGTACCCGTGAATAAATGCAACACCGTACAATTTAAACTTAAAGTAAAGGTTCTTTCAATTGATAACGTCGATAACGGCCAAAGTATTTATTGGGCGTATTTAATTAACTCTGCTTGTTTTAAGATTTAAGATGGAACATGAAAAAACTTGATTAGCATTTTGGTATTTGTTGTACTTGGTCATATTATGTCCTGCTGATATATTTGATCCACAATTGACGTGTTTGCGGTATCGTTAAATTGTTTTTGAGTAATTTTGGACACCGTGACATTTTAGCGAATAAAATATAATTCTATATGTATTTTTTATGGTTTTAAAATAGACTTACAAGACTGATGCTTTTTATTAAGCCTAGCTTTTGTCAAGTAAGTACAGGTATTATTAATATTTACGGACAACATCATTTTTTCGTCCAATAGAATAGCGTTTAAAAAAAAATAACAGCAAACTAGTAAAAAAAGAAATACCATATGTAAAGGCCCGGTTACACAGTGCGAGTTAGCGTCCGAACTGGCCTAATCAATTTCTACAGTGCAGCTACTCACACCGCGGGACCGCATCATATGAATTATTGTCTTTTGCGATTCAGTCAGTACCTACCCTCTCATCCGAGTTACTACAGAATTTTTTTGTTTCTACTGTCGTGCTACAACACAGGTGCAGTAGCTGTCATGTCAGAAAACTCGTATCAAGCCATAATTTTTAAATTCGTAATCTCTTAATAGGTTTTAATGCGTTTTGAAACCGGCATTATTTTATATTATTTATTTGTGGTACAGATTGCTATGCACAGTATTCAAAAATGCGTCAAAATAAATCGCTTATAACGAACATAGGAAATTAAAATTTTTAATCGTGGAAAAAATAATGATATGCTTTAAAACAGTGGTGTTTGCCTTTTGTCAAATCTAAAATATAATAAATTAAGTGGCTCAATTACCGGGTCTACTTGTTATAAATGTAAAATTTTAATGGCCCGATTACCGTATACCTTTTTGAAAAAAAGGTTTAATGTGGCCCAATTCACGGACGCCCTTTATATTATGATTTTTGAATACATATTGTGGTGTCTGTCGTCAATCATCGATAAGGTTGAGATTCCAATGCACATTGCATTGTTTTCATGAGCTCGCCGTGCGATGCTCGTATGAAAGTAAGACATTTTATTTTTTATTATATACCGCTTTAATCATTTTCTTTAATTTGATAGAATTTCAGTGAAAAATTATGTAGTGACAGAGGACTCAGAGGTGAATTGGAAAGGATTAGCGGAAGATAGAGAGGACTGGAGGTGAATTTGTCTTACAGAATGGTCTTAAAAGGCCGAAATCCGAAGGAGAAGAAGATCTCACGATAAATATCAGTTAAACGTGAAAACTCATCGTCTGGAAAAAAAGAAAAAGGTGGGCGGCGGTGGGGAAGGTCCCATCGCCCACATCCACCCCCTCCCGTGAACATTCGCCATTGTTCACCGTGCACTGTATTTTTATCTCAAACCGGCACGTCGGGTCGGACGCGCGTCTGTTGCGCGTCGATCGCGCGGTAGTGACGACGGTGGTGTACACGGAACCGTGCGACGTTCGCGGCCGATTCCGCCGCGCGTTCGTAATCCCTTCTCCCGGGCGGTGATCGAACCGCGGTGCCGGACCGAAAAACGACCGTCGCGGGAATACGGCCGCGGCCGCCGGTTCCGCAGTCGGCAGGCGGGACGCGCGGAAAAACGGGCAAAAGGTCACGCTCGACGGGACAAAGTGCGACTCGATGTCACCGCGCCTACCCCGCGCACGGCCGCCGCACGCCCGGGCAAATTATCCGCGAATAATATAATATGTCCTCCGAGGCCGTAAATGACGTGCCCATTAAATTTAATCCGCCGGGTCCTTCCCCTCTGCCCACCCCTCCTCCCCGCTCGTATAGTACGCGTATAATAATAATATTATGATATTAACGAGGGAAAAAATGACGGTTTATTATAATATTGCCACCGTCATTGTACCGTGTTTGTTTTTTTTTTTCACATATATATATATATATACACGACATTACGTGCGTACGTACGCCCGTAAAGTACACGGAAACCGCCGCCGCGTTCGGTCCGGAACGAGGAATCTTATCGGTTATACCTCTTTCCCGTGATGGGCATCGGACAAGCGGAACGGTGGAAAAGTCATAATATTAAGGTCGTCATTATTTTTTTCTAGCTTACAAAGATCACAGGCCATTAATTACCGTTTCTACAGAGTTCCTCCAGTAGCGTCCGTTTTCTGCATCTTTCAGCATTCTTGTTGCTACGTTCACCTGTTTAAAAATCACTCTTTACTCGATACGGCCATCGTTCTCGCGGATTTTCTCCGGGAACGGCACGTTTTAATTGGATTACCCGTTCCATTAGACTATACTTATCACAACGTGTATTCCGGTATTCCCGAGACAAGACATTTTTGGATATTTTCGGTCCGTCGAAGATTCGTTCAATATCCGCATCGTCCGTTCCCCGTTTCCGTATAAAAATATAATATGGGTCCGACATTTGAATAATATTCTCCCAAGAACCCGCATTTCAAAGGGTCGCGACCCCGTCTCGCACCCATTAGTTGTCGACCACGTTTCACAACAAGGTCGTCATTAAAAGCGTAATGGAAATTCGGAAAACCTCCATCGATCCCCGCGAGATTTTCGAAAAATACCGTACACATATTCGCCCGTAACGCCTGCGTATGGTGCATCTACTTGACCCGTGGCTGTTGTCTTTCCGGAAACGTTTTCTCATCCACACGCACACACACACCGCCTCCCCCCCCTCCCATCCGCTACCGTCACGTCGGGTTCTTACGGATCCGAAATATCACGCGGCATTGTATTATAGAACGCGGTAGATTACGATTGAACGCGGTGCACAGGTACTCGAGCATAATGCGCGCATTACCACGGTCGTAATGTAGTGGCGTCGCGGGCCGGAGATTAGCGCAGGTGAAATTTAAGACCCGGCCGTATGACGTTGCGGAGACGGCGGCCGTGGCGGGCGCGGGTACGTGGGATAGGTATGGTATCATTACGGAGCGTCTGGGAGCGACGGCGGTAACGGTCTACGGTCGTTACTCGTTCTGCGTACGCGGCCGCCGCGGCGGGTACCTGCGCCGATATAAGAGGTAATCCGAGGTTTAAAACTTGACCATAAAATCGCAATCAACGCGGTCCGGAACGATTTATTTCGCTCCCCGTGTGATTTACCGCGGGCGCGCCGCAAAAGCGGTTTTAATAGACGCGGCGGCGCGCGCACGAGCCCGTCACGCTGTGTCGCGGGCGACTGCAATAACGCGACAACAACAACGCCAACGATGATAATAATAATCTGTTGTTGTTGTCATCGCGTCTATCCGGTCGCTGTGCGACAAAAACCGAGCGATTTCCCCCGCGCAGAATCGGTTTAGGTTTCTCTGCCGCCGCCGCCGCCGAAAAAAGTCGTTTGCGCGCGCGTGTACAAGAAGTCCGCGGTCGGACCACGGCGTTGTTGTACGCGGCGAAATTAATTAATTTTTTTCTTCTTCTTCTCGCTTCACCGGTGTACTCACCGGCAACTTACGCGCCCACCCACCCCGTCGCGAGCGAAACATTTGGGTTACGGACATTATTACGGCGTATAGTTCGCGGTCGTTTTCGGCCGTGTTACTTGTGCGAGACCAGTGTTATAGCGTCGGTTTATTATTATTATTGCGCTACAAACGACACCGCGAAATTGATTTACGGCCGCGCCGCTATGCGTTCCGTTCCGTGCGCACCTTGAATATTATTTGTTGTTATTATAATTGTTTCGTCGTGTACAGCCGCGGCGGTCGCGCGGTTTACGCCGCGTGTAAAAATCGTTTCGGGCGTTTGCGCGTTTTTCGTCCGTGCGTACGGAACAACTGCACCGCGCACTCGGCGTTTCCGCGGAGGCGACTAAAAATAAACGAAACCGAAACCGAAATAACACCCGCGCGTTAACCGGGAACCGCGGAACAAAATATCAATATTTAACGCGTTTAACACGCCTACGGGACGTGTTTGGATATTTTCCACACGATACTCGTGTAGTGCGTTTAACACCGAATTATCTGCGAAATAAACGAGCGATGTGACGTGGTCAGGAACGGACATTGCCGTCACCGCAAATACCAGTGTCGCCACACAAGTGCGCCATAAATTATTTCACGACGAATCGCGCGCGTCGGCACCCCGCGCGGCGATCACACAAGACGCGAGACGCGTACATCTTTTCGGCCGAATCGCCACTCTCTCCTACATCTCTCCAAAACCTGTACGGCATTTGCACGTACCACGGGCGGTGTAACGTCCAAAAACGACCGTTTCCCGTTTTTAATGGACAAGCACACATACCGTCGATATGGTCGACCGGTTAATGGATTACGCCCGCGTCGGCGGACATGTTACGTCATCGTGAACAATAATTCCCCCCTTCCCTCCCCGCGCAAAGGTCTATGCGATCGCGATCTGTTGCAGTTCGCAATAGTGTTATATTTTCGACTACGGGTCGACGGCCAATCAAATCACGTTTCCCCTTATCGCCGAGAACGTCGGCCCGCGGCGACGTGTGCGCCACGAACGTCACCGCGCTCCGCTACCCAGATTTCGTTCGTTTGTTCGTCCGTTTCCTTCTTCGTGTGTACACCTCGTCTCGGGATTTCCGTCACCGGACGGTTTTTAGACACAGTTCTCGTAATAAAATACTCCCGCGCGTTACACGGATTCACCAATTTTTGCCGCCAAGAAAAGGTCGTGTACCTTGGCACGATTGCATGATGTGGTGCGTCGAGCGAATCAACGAAGTGTGTCCCGATCCGGTCATCTTCGGGAAAATGATGGTAAGTAATATGCATGCAATTTATTAATTGACCGATACCCCGTTAGTTAGTTAATTAGTTTTTAAGGTTTCTCCGTACGAATGTGTTTGTATAAAATATTTTCTCGTTCGTATAGTAAACCCTTCCGATATACTTATGGAAATCAACCAGCCAGATTTGTGTGTCCGTTTCATTATGCTTACACCCCCCCCGTATTTTGTTTTATTTTATTTTCTATCCCCTCTAAGTGCTAGGTTTCGCAACCACGTGTGTGAGTATTTAAAAAAGGGAATGTGTATTATAGATCGACGGATCCTAACCTAACCTAACCTAATCGTATGGTATTGCGTCGCTCTACATTACTTTACTCAGGTAATCGTATGCTTTATTGATTTTCACGGGAAATTTGAGTTTGCTATCAGCTACGTGCAACATGAATATTATCTTCTAACGGTAACAATCATGAACGGAACCATCTCGTATTATTGTGTAAAATAATGCGTCTACATTGAAATATAATTTTTCCGACACAGAACTTGCGTAGTCCAGGGACTGGAACCATTACGGTCTAACGGTTTCGGTTCTTAAAAAAAAAAAAAAAAATTAAGGGGAACCCTTCTTGTGGATTTTAAAAAGTTGCGGTCTTTAACCGGTGTTTTACGGTACGGACTTTCAAGGTGCCGGCCGACCGCGGACGAAACGCTCATGTTTTCGTTTCGCCGTGAAACGAACCGCCGGGCTCACTCAACTCGGTATGCAATAGTGCGGAACGCGATATGTTTAATATTGATATCAGTTACTTCAACGCGCTACAGAGGTCAAAGACAGTTCGACGATTCCGATTACAACACGTGAAACGGGCGCGTGCGGGATTTCCCGGAAAGTCTGTGTATCGATTGTGATACACGAGCAAAACGTAGTCGGGTTTCAACAACGAAACCCAGCGCGAAAAGCGCCGCAACGACAATTCGACTGACAGAATACCGAAATCGCCACGGATGTGTTTAAACCGGAATGCCGGGGCCCGGCGCGCGCGCGCCTTTCGACGTCGGTAAACGCGCCGAACGTAGCGCACGACGCGCCGTCCGCCTCGCGTCCGTCAACTGTCCGCCGCGAACAGCGACGACACCGCACCCGCAAATACCGGGTGCACAGTCGTTTATCGGCTCGTGCACGCGTCCGACTTTTCGCCCGCGAAACGTCTGAAATCGAAAACGATTGACACCCGGCCGCCGTTTATCGGCTGAGTAAAACGTCATAAACGGCGTCTAACGGAACATCCGCGGACGAAAACCACCCGCTTGGCGATGCGCATTTGTCGGGCGTTTTTCAAACGTGTGTACCCAGTAAACGCCTGTTACGCGTCGTTAGATTTTCGTTTTTTCTCTCGTACACAGAGTGCGCAAGTAGTCGCGCGTTTGTTTTCGGAATGAACATCCACAGCCGGTGTCTGAACGCCAACTGAAATGATATTTCACGGAGAACGTCGCCCGTTAGACGCGCGGTTACCGAAAGAATAACGCGCGCGCGTGCGTTCGGCGTAAACCGCACGTGTGCACCGGGCCCTAAGAGAACACATTACGATTTATATTGTAATATATAAAAAAAAAAAAAAAAAAAAAAAAAAAAATAACAATACGAAATTTAACGCGCTTCTTATTTTTTCGATAATTTTGCGGTATAACAAATTTATTTGTATCGTAATTGTAAATGTATAAACTATACGATGCGACAATGGATTTTCACATCCTTTACAAATTTTAAACGTATCGATTGCGAAAAAAAAACCGGCTAATAGGGTGAGGGGTTAAACTCCTCGACCCCACACCTCTGTGAGTTCGCCCATGTTTTAAACGACAGCCCATATTTTTCGTTTTATTATGACGTCTCGCTGCGGAGTACGTTTTCTGGAAATCGGAACACAAAAGGTATCGAATGCGAAGCCGGTTAATTTTCCGCGCCCGTTTGTACTTAAAAAAAAAAAAAAAAAAAAAAACGTTTGGAGTATAGTACGGCGGTGACGAGGCTTAAAAATAATTATCGTTTATATTCACTGAAATTATAATATGTACACTGCGGCGAATTTGATTGATTATTATATTTTGTACCGCGGAAATCGTTGAAAATATTATATTTTACGTCCGCGCTATTCGAAATTAAACACTATTTACTAGCGCTACGCATAATCGGTTTTCGAAAATTTCAAACCTTAAATTAAATTCAAAACAAAAACTTCGAATGCGCCGGTATATCTGTATACCAATAGTTTATATATTATAGTACCCACATAGCATTTGGATGATAATTCTATTAGTTAAAAAATATTTTTCAAACGTCATACGGAATTTTAAAAATAACCATTTTTTAAAATTTATTATCTGTAATGACATCATGTTAAAACCTTTTAAAATTATTACATGTACCTTTACGTTAGGTTTGATCAATAGGGTACCCGATTCGAAACCCGGCTGTCGTTCGCCGGGTTTTCGCAAATTTTTTTTGAATTTCTCCTCCCCTCAACTATTAAAATTATTATATCAAACGTTTCTTTTTATCTATTTTTGTGTATTTTCCTATTTTTTTTTTTTTCAAAAACCGGCCCTTCTCTCTCAACAAATGTTTTCAAAATATAATAGAAACTATTTTTGAAGTGATTAAGAAACATTTCAATGATTTTTTTTTTTTTGCGACAAAAAGTGTGTAAAAATATTTTTAAAACGTACGAAGATGAAAAGAAAATCATATGAAAATATTTTACGTTTTCCGAAAGATATTTTGAAAATGTAATTTTACTTTGTGGGGAGGTACCTATATTATTATGTATGCACTATATATGCAGTATGCACACCGCATTAAAACGAAAGTGGCGTTATGCATAAATTATACCTGCGATAATATTATAACACTATATACTTATAGAATATTTAATCAATTGAATGGTGCCGTAATAATTGACATACTTCACAATTATTAGACACATTTACGACGTTATTATAGGAATGCGCGCATCAATGCAATTACAAATTACTATTTGAATACGTGTCAATTAACCTCATGCACGATTATTATACAGTTTTTCAGTTCTAATTATTAGTTTTTATTAATTGGAATTGATTTACAATTGTCTATTCGGGAATCAACTTTGTTTTTGTTTAATTTGATTGATTTTTATTATTTTTTTTTTTTGAAAAAGAGCCGTTGAATTGAAGGTATGAGATACAAAATCTATTCGTTGGAAGATTTCTTCGGAAAAATATTTACGTGATCTGTCTCGAGTTCTTTTATCGTTCATATTTTCCTTCGATGATATTGGTGATGAACTGTGATTGTGTCTTAGCAGATGACCGATTTGCTTCATTTTTCTTTTCATCAATGTATTTTTTTTTCATCATTGTTCTTCTATCATTAACTTCGTCCAGCACTGTTTGTTTCATTTGTCGTATGTTCAGTTTGTTTCTGTAATTCTCCTCAATAGCCACATCACCATCGCCTCCCGTCTATATTTCTCGTGTACCTAACATTACGTTTACGTTTTACAACCATATAATAGAATTCTTCAAATATACTTAAAGTTATACCCAAATGCCGATTGATACCTAATAAGTGTTTTCTCAAAAACTTGTTTCCCTACTGCAATTTGTTTTCTTATTTCTTTTGTAGATTTATTGTCGTTTGTTGTCAGGCATCGTAAATAGCAAAATTCGTTTACTTGTTGAATCCGTTTATTGTTGATATCTGTTATGTTTGCATTCAATTTATCAATTCCGTGTTAAATTTAAGCAACAAATTTATTTCTTCTCCGAATTCTGTTAGAATATATGTATCATCTGCAAAGTGAATGGTATCCATTTATCGATATGCTTACAGAGTTCATTTCATTAATTGCACATTAAATAAACAAATTAAACAAATATGGAGACAAAGAAAATTTTGTCTTACTACTGAAAAAAATCCGATTTCAATGATTTTTTCTAAAATATACAAAAAAAAAAAAAAAAAGTAGAGAATCGTATCATATTATTTGTTTATTTTCAATACCAAAGAGACGTGTGGAAGCCCAGGGTCATCCATTATAAAACATTACACATATTCTTATAACATAATAAACATGGCATAACATAAATAATACTACAATACATATAAATATAGACAGCCAATTGAAATATTACCCAAGATTAATTATAACTACTGATAATTAGAACACGGTAAATATTTTATGTTTAGGCGCATTATATTCGTATATTAGAATCAAAGAGAAATATTATTTTTGAATAACATTACCGGCATGTCTTTCTAATCATATGGCATTTTATTGAAAATCTGGGTCCCTGTAGGAAATCGAATACCTTTCGGCAACTGTTTTTTTTCTGGCTAGTCTATGGAAAAGTATTATAGTGTATTATCATATCATATTTCAAATATTAAATTAGTCCGTTTTACATTTAGTTTGTTTTGTTTTGTTATTTTTTTTTGATTTCCAGCCTTTAATACCACCCAGTAAACCGACAAAATCTTCCCGGACTGTTAATTTCTATTGGTCCGCGGTCATTTACATCACTCCTAACGTCACGATTTTCCGGATTTAAGCGCCGCCTACCAATCGGTCGTTTTCGTATTGGGTGTTTTTGAGTTCATTGTACACACACCATACACACGACGTAAACGAACAAAATAACGAATTTGTTATCCCGCGTTTTTATCGAGGACGTATTTCGATAGAATACCGAATATGTTAATTGTATCTGTTCGTGTGCGACGAAATGTCCCACGGTTTTTTTTTTTCGATAATTTAAGCGCGATCCAAATCCGATACTGCAAAACGCACATCGAAATAATCGCAGCGTTCATGCGGCGCTTTATACGATATTATTGTTAAAAAAAAAAAAAAAAATAAAAAAACCCAGTCGGTTTTTACGGTATTCGCGTGTAATACGATAATATTATACGATTATTTCCGAATAATTTTGTACGCGGTCAATTTGCTTGAAAAAAAAAAAAAAAAAATAAAAAATATCTATATGCGTATAATATTTTTTTTTTTTTTTCGAAACACAATACACGTATACGTAATACAGGTATCGCCACAGTGCCTCGTACGTAGTACACGTATACGCGTATTATACGAATAGGTACCGTATAAATCATTTATTCACCCCGATTTTCGAAACGATCGCGTTCGTTATTATATACACACGATATTATTTCCCCGACTCAATCGGTCTCGGTGTGAATTCATTACGTCCATATTTCATTTTTATTACCGTAATTATTATTATAACTAATTTTTTTTTTTTTTCTTTCTTTCTTCTTTTATTAAGTAATCGGTTATGGTCACGCCGATGTCCCGCGAATAATAATAATAATATTACGTACGTTCTCGTTCCATTATTGGGGTAGCAGGTAATGCTACTAATAACACATTATGTACGCGCATTAAAATGTTTTATACCTACTCAGAGACTCTCGGAATAATATTTCTGAAACGTAACGTTTTAAATGCGTATCGCGGTTTTTTTAATTTTGTTTTATTATTAATATTAGCCCCCTAATAATAATCGCAGCGCATTACGGTAAATGTACACGGTTTAAACAAATAATAGGTAGGCAATAATACATAGTGTTGTCGAGTTTTTAATTTAATTTTTATTATGAAATCATCTCTTGTTTGAAAACGTGTTTTGTAATATATACCTTTGTTCTATAAAGTGTACAATATAAAAAAAAAAACACCTATTTTCCAAATATTACGACGGTATAATTTTAAATACTATTTTTTATTTTTTGCAAAGGGTCTACACGGTTTTTGTGTCTGTGTTAAAACTTTTTGTTTGAATAAATTAAATACGGGCGTAATGTATATACTTATATATATGTATGTTGTTATGTATATATTATATGTGTATATTTTTTTTTTCGAGAAACCTAAATTTTACAGGATTTTCATTGGCATAAAAAAAAAAAAAATAATAAAATCTAATAGTAATTTTTAAAATAAAATAATAAAATACGTATGCGTTTAAAAGGGTTGTTTTATTTACCCGTCATATACAATTGATCAGTTTCCCATTTCGAATGCGTCGCGTCTTTGTCGTCTAATAATACGATTTTGTTCGAGTCCAACCGGACGATGTTTACATCACACTGCAATCGTGCCGTTCGCAGGGAAGTTTCGGGCTTTTTAATTTCGATTGTTATTTAACGACTCAGAGTATACACCGCGTACCTGCATATTATAACATTATTGTGATCGTAGACCATAGGGGTTTAGATTGTTATTTGATAAACTGAAATCCATAAATACGGAATTCAATTATTATATCCGTGCATAATAGTAGTATGCACAATACGCGTCACAATATTATCGCGTAGCGGTCCGACAAACAAATTGTCACGAATAACGTTACCCGCTCGTATTTTATAGCCAAATAATACAGCGATAATATCCTTTTATATGCCAAACAGGCAAAATGCAAATACGAGTGTGTAAAGCGCACGTTGATTTAAATTTTTATTTTAATCGTCGTTAAAAAAAAAATATATATATATATGATGTCGAACAATCGTACGTCTATTGTGCGCGTTTCTACTAATAAAAAGTCGTTGAATTTCGCAGTACAATATTTGTTCCGTGAATTCACACGGCACTAGTTATCGTGCTAGGTCTAGCGTGATAGCCAGTATCCTAAATTTTGGCCCGTGTGAACAGCGCGATAGTACACTGGTTAAAGAAATCACGCTGGCCAGTATATATACTAGTTTTGATATTAAAACATATCATATTTTCCACGCCAGTTAGCGTCGTACAAATATTTGGAACCAATCAGAATACAGACATTTTATCAATATTTATTGCAATGCAATCACGACTGTAAACAATGTTTTACAAAACAATAATCAAAAACCGTAGTATAAAGAATAGAGGTGTTTTCTTATCGTCCTTCTTATCTTTGCTACTAGTTTCTAGTACATTTTATAGTGTATCGTGCATTATGGTCTGAATAGAATATATAGTACAGGTTCTAGTACACTAGATTGAATGCAATATATAAAACTAGCTAGTATGCTAGAGATAACCCCCCAATAACTAGTATCGTGTGAAACGGGCCTTAGACTAAAACGGACATCACATTTTAGGTTATCGCGAGTCACCGTCATCTGTTTAATGCGGTTTTGCGCTTAACGTGCACGTTCGATTACGTTTTGAACGCGGCGAGGAATTTATCGGTTTATACAGAGCCGTGGTAAAGTAAGGGGGAGGGCCAATAGGGACGTCAAATTTTTTAAAACTACGGACCGTCCGGCTCAATATAAATCTCGAGTTTTAATTAACAATATCATTATTATATTATGGCGCTTGCTATTTATTTTATTTTCAAACGTTTTGCTTAGAGCGCAAGTAAAACCAAGTAAAGTAATATGTATACCCAGAAAAACATTCAGTAGTAAGAAAAAATCCTATTACTTGACGGAGGTAAATTGTATTTAATAAAATTGTAATAAAAACTATAGAATTCGGCGGAAAAAACCTTTCAAATCATCCCCACGTAAGACCTTCAACAGGGACCGTTTAAAAATTGATACCCCTGGGCGACCAATAGTTTAACACGGTTCTGGATTTAAATATATGATGTGTTTTTTTTAAATTTTATTTTATTCTTTTTTAGTTACAATCGACTTTTAAACCAAAAATATTATTCCGATTTTCGAGGATGGTATCTTGTCTAAAAGCAAATTGCATCATTGTATCAAATTATCAGTTATGATTTTCTTTGGAGTTTTCTAAATAATTGAAAAAACATAGAAAAACTGGAAAAATTTACGACAATCACGGTTTCATTATTTTAGATAAAGTTTTTTTTTTTTTGGCTAAAAATATAATTATAATGACACAAAAATATAGAATACATTATAAATATACTTGTTTTGACCTTTTATAGAAGTGGTCGAATTTCAAAAATATTATGTTAATTTTTAAGCTATTTAAAACCATTTGACATTTATACGTATTTTTTTTTTTTAACTTTGATTTGGTTTAATGCTAATAAAATTATTTCGTCCAAGGAAAAATGCTTGAAAAATTTACACGAGGTTAATCATAAGTTATTTTAGTGGTATAAAAAAAAAAATCGTGTAATATAAAATAACTTTTAGTAGGAAATTTTTAAATTCAAATTTTAACCAAAAATCATTTCAAAAACCATGTAACCAAACTTCGCTCAGAATCGTATTTCGTTAACAATGATTTTGTGTTGCGTACAGATACAAATTATATAACTATAGGCATCTTAGTTTCCAAATGTTTCATATTAGCATTCTAAATCAATTAGTAATAAATGATGACTTTTGTATGGTGTTTAATGAAACGTCTAAAGGATAGTAGGTATTATTATTATGATTTATAAGTATAATAATGATTGGACCTATTCAGCTGTAAATTTTAACGTAATTCTATACCGGTGATATCGTTGTTTAAAATACCTATCGATTATATTATTATATTTGCATTACGAACACGTTTGATTATAATGTCCTTGCAGCGAGTAGCCAGATGGAATTACAGATCGATGTTCTCTTGAACTGTAGAGGGTACAGTACGGTGTACAATAGGAGGCGAGGAAAAGAGGTTTATACCCTTTGACTTGTGCGTTATCACCATGATCGCGAGCACGAAGCACTCGGCCGAAGGAAGAAAAAAGAAAAAAAAAAGGCTCGAACGGTTTACAATTTTTCAACCACGATAGTATCTTCGGTCTTAATGGCTATTCAGCTATTCGGGAACATCCGAAGCGGTGAGTGGGGGAGAAAAGTAAATGGCGGAGGGGGCGGGGGGAGCGACGGGGGTACACGGGGACAAAAACTCATTACCAGAACATAATCCGCCGGGGCGAGACGGTTGACGGGGCAATATGACAAATGAATTTTTATACTCCCCGAACACAATTCGTAACGCGAAATTAAAGGGTTTGTGTCGGAATGGCCTGTCAAATGATACACGACCATTGCCGCCGGAGGAGCGAAATCCGTTTCCATGTGTGTACGCGCAGGACATGGTTATAATATCATATATATTTTTATTCTCTCTTTTTCGTTCCGTCTGCAAAACAATTTTCGGACGCAAAGCGGAATGAAAAATGACAACCCAGATAAATTTGTGTAAAATGACACTGCAGTACGATAGCGCGAAGTAAACAGAAATGCCTAAGTATAAAAATGTGTTACATTTTTTTAATTTAAAAACTCAAGATTTTAAATTTTGATTAAAACACTATGCGGTGAGTGTTATAAACTTTTTGAAATAACCCATTTAAATGTTTTTAAAATAATAAAACGTGTGTTCTTCGTAACGAAATAATAATAATAAATAAAAAAAAAAAACAACGTTAATATAATATATTATGTTAGGTACACAACATCTTTTTAATTATTTTTAATTAGAAAAAACATTGTTCTCTTTTTCTTTCGGAACTTGCGTAGAATTTCTATTTTATATTCCGAGCGAAGTATTCGAGTAACAAAGAACTCTCGGAGTTAAAATGATAGGTGTTTTTTTTCTTTTATTTATGTTCTACCATCACGTTTTAAGTTGATTGAGTTAAACAACTCCGAAAGACTAATACACCTAAAACTTATAATTTTATGGGAAATTAAATGCATGTACACAATACAGATGTAATTTCTTTGATTGATAATTTTGAATTTTATCACACATCTTAACAATTGAATCGTGCTGAAATCATATTTTATGCGGACAAAAATCTCATTGTACGTAAACTTTTTGATAAGTTAGTTGTGAATTTTATTTGTTTTTAAAAAGAGGTTATTTTTAATTTACCCAGGAGTTTTCATAATAAATGATAAAGACCAGGAAAAGTGGAGGGAAAATGGGAAAATGTACCAAATATATTGTTTTCAAATCGTAAATATTACAGCATTTCAAAACATGTATAACCGAACTCCGCTCAGAATTGTTGTTCGTTAATAATATTAATCTTCACGTAAAGATATACATTAAATTTCCCCTCTACCTTCCCAAATTCTCACCTATAACAGTGGTTCATTCATCCTGTGAAATGTCTCCATTTGTTTTAGATTTTTTTTTCTTTGAATTTTATCATAGGTACGATTAAAATAAAAACTGAAAAAAAAAACAAAAAATGAATTACTATATAACGCTCAAATGTTTGTTTCATTGTCAACTTACGATGATTATTCAAGTTTATTTTTTTTTAGCATTTTTATGAACCAAGAAATATTTATCTACATAAAACTAAAGAAGAATTTTAAAATTTTAAAAGGTTATAGATAACCAAAAATATCCTAGAATATTATAAATATTTCACGACACCTATAAAATAAGTATTAAATTCTATAAGTCTCTAGGATTATTTTTCACCAAATAACTACGAAATAATATACAGAATCGAAAGAAAAAATCGATATATACTTTCGTTTATCCTATGTATTTTTGTGGTTTTTTCTCATTATTAAGAAAAGTATAGAGGAAAATATGACTTCCTAAATTTTCCAATTAAACAAAATTTTTTATCCCAAAATCATCACTAGAGTTGAAGATTAAAGCAAGTTTTTTAGTTGAAAACTCATAGGGAAACGTGTTTTAATACTAATATAAAAATATAAATTTATTAGCATAAACACCGGGCCACCTCCCCACAATTTAAATACAGATAACAGTTCGTAATTCAGCGGCTTGGTGAACTATTTTTTTATATCTATGAGACCAACAAGATTCGGGAGACTCACTCTTTATAAAAAAAAAGTCGTACTACAAAGTAGGCCAACTCAGAAAAATATGACAGATAACAATTTATTTCTGTCAGGTATCATAGATATTTATCTTATGTAGGTACAAATTTAGAAAAATCAGCAATTTTTAATTATTGTCACGTATATATATAATAAGGAATAGTCTTTTTTTTTTAGTAGACACTTTTCAAATCCTTACCACAAACTTCAAATTTTAGGCTACGCACTTTGTGTAATAGTTTACTAAACAATTAGGGACTGCAGTTCCCTTTCATCATTTTAAAGTTTATAAACACCCAAAAAAATATCTATAATATGCAAGTAATTCGATTAAATCTTTTGCTAACATTACTCAGAAATATATGCAGTTTGCCATTTCCACCGAAATTATTATTTAAACATTAATGCTATACATATCACTATATCGATTAAATATCGTACTTATTTGTACAGTTCTACCGTATTACCCATTTCAGTTTCCCAGAATAGTTATTATTTTAGATTATGTACACATAGGTACAATTAATTTTGATCAATTACAGATCATAGAACAATATGTCATATGAGTCACCAAAATCACCCACCGTAAAAATCGAGAGACTGTGGTTTCTCTCTAAAATCCCTCAACCCTTCACCACGTCCGTCCAGTGTCTTCTGAGATAGTATACTATTTGACCAGTAAATCTCTGTGTGCGATGATTATTGATTCATATGAAATATATTTTACCGTTAAATTTATTTAAATTTCATTACTTATTTATACTATTTTTGTTGTACTTTAATGCGGACAATTGTGGGGAAGTTGTGAAGCTCCCTTAACCCTCCTCCAGGTATGCAGTTATTATGTTACTTAATTTTACAAACTGTTTGTTACAAGTACAGTATTATAATTTGGAAATATTTGGAAGTATTTCTACACGTGTGTTGACAAAACTATAATACCATTCTACTTCTATTGTATTCGCTAAAAATTATTCCGATCCCTTCTTAACCTACAACGGTACCCTCTGCTGTTCCGCCCTACCTCTGCTCTTTCGTATGGAAATAAAATTATTTTTCTAAGAGTAGAAAATTGAAAAGATATATATTATATAAGTATCTCTAAACAATGACAAAAGAACAATGCGAGTCAACAATGAACTTGGGCAAATATAGCATTATATTATATTATAATTGAATGGTAATGCACTAGGTAGGTACCTACCTAAGAAATATTATGATGACTGAAACACACTTACCTGCTGTATTTGCACAATATTATTATTTATTATGTCTTTCAGTTAGCTTAACATATATTGTGTAATATTATATGATATGCATAATCTGGGTGGTCGAAAAAAAAATGTTCATTAATAGTCAATAAAATGATATTATCTAATCCGGATATACACTTGTGTTACACAGTACGTTTTAAAATCCATACAGTTCGTCTGCTAATAACTCTTAAAAAATGATTTATTTGTTTTGTTCCAGTGTGTTAGGAAAACTAACGCGGATATTGAGAGCGATTTCCACGGTTCTAATATTTAAAAATGCCTCGTACACGAATGATTATAATGGTTGTGGCATATTTCGAGAGCCAAGGCAAATCGAATGAGAAATGTGTTTGTTAGCCACCTAAATAAGATGTGAACTCGAGGAAGGCCGTGACGCCACGCTAACTTTGACTAGATTGAGTTAGGAAAGATACCAGGGAAATTAATTAAGCAGCAAGTTGGGAGGAACCAGATAACCTAGACGGACAAAAGTTGAAACTGCAACATTAGACCCGTATAAGCTAGACAAATTGTTTTTTTAATTTGATTAACAAAAAAGTCTGTGTACTCGTTTGTTGCTAATTGCATTGATTATATGACATATGGATTTTAAAACTGTTCTGCGTTCACACGATTTGAAAACTTTTCGTTATAACGTTATTTTCCAGTTTATTGTTGTATGAGTATTTTTGGTTTGTTTTTTTAGAGGTTTACTACTTGTAGCGTTTAACGAATTCAGTTAATAGGTAGCTATATTTCCATTAAGTATACAAATCGCATTAGAATTGAATTATATTAATTTATATTGTTTCATTAAGTTTCAACTGTGTGGGCCATATTGAAATGTTATTTTTGATAGTGAATTCGTATAATACCTGCCCTCGCTTCTTGAAAAGTGGTCAACGACAATGTACGTGTAACTGACCTACTTTGAAACATTGGCATTTGAACAAAAGACCCTTTAAAAAAAGCTGTCACCGTTTAAGCGGTCGTTTGTCCTTGTCGCAAAAGTATTAAAAAAGAAATAAAACGTATCGCAAAGTATTATGAATTTATTTTAAAAAGCAAATGCCCGATTTATTTATTTTTTTGTTAATGTTCATAAAAATGATGGAATAGTCTGAAGTCCTTTCCTTTGAAATGAATATTTAATCTGATGCATTAAGCCTTTATATTAAACTCAATTGACAGTTTATTTTTGTGATTTTCTCCAAATAGAAAAAGTTTTCTTTTCATGCTTATAAGTTAAAAAAAAAAAAATAAAAAAATATACGTATTAAATATTATAAAAAATAATAAAATATTAATTGCTGAACTATTTTCATTTATGTTATACGTTTTTTTGTCGGAAATAATATAAATTTTAGTGAACACTGAAGAGCGATTTTTGAGCACTCATGTGATTTATAAATTAATTTGGACCAAATCTTGGTACACTAATTCTGTTCGTATCACTAGCCATATTGTAGAAATAGATGTCCTGGAATATGTAAAATAAATAAATAAAATGTTATTTGCTAGATTTAAAACATTCAGTGTTTAATTCAATTAAACAGGTTTTTAAATGACAAATATGGAATATGCCAGATAATGTATCTGATTTACTAAGTGAATTTTTATTACAGTAAACACTTTTTCTTTCAGAAACTCCAATCATCAATTTCTGCAGGTGTTGTTAGGTTTGGTACCTAGTGAACATCCCCCTCAGTCTTTATTGAACAGCCACTCTATGCGTCATTCTGTTTTACCCCCGTATTAATCCTCGGTCCGTTTTCTTCAATTTCAGTTTTCCATTCTTCGAGCCTATAATTAATTTCCCCCTTAATTTCTTTCAAACTTCCTACTACTCTCACTACTACATCATCTGCAAACATCAAACACCACGGTTACTCACCCTGCAATAGTCATTTCATTCATTATCAAGAAAAACAGTGCCAAACACTTGTGCACACATACTTTTACCCTAAAACCGTCTGATTTTCTGTTCTTTAATTTGCTCCTTTCTCCGTTATACATTTCCTCAATTAGTCACATACCCCTTTTTTTAATACTCCTTTCTCCTGAAAGTCTACAACACAGATTTATTTTTGTACTCTACTCCATAGGTTCCCAACTTGTGACACGCAGAAAGTTCGTAAGTAGTAATCGAAGTAATTAGAAAAAATAAAATTTTCAAATTTTGACAGTAAAATTATATTTAATTTTTGCCAGACGCGGTAAAATTTTCAAATGATTCTTGCTATTTTTGAGCTATTTATAGCCATTTTAATTTTTCAAGTTTTTTATGTAATTTTTATTTCTGTAGATAAAATTGTTAGACTTAACACAAAATACGTGAACATTTGAAATGTAGATTCACTATAAATTGTACTTAGTGTTAAAAAAAAAAAAAAAACCAACTGTTATGTAGTGTCTTGTTTTGTATTTTTTACAAGTTTTAAAATCAATTTTTGATTAAAATTATAAATATTACGGCTTTTCAAATCATGCATAATCGTACTTCACTCCAAATCGTTTTTCGTTTGCAATAGTTCATCGTTGGTTACACCTACTACATGTACAATAAAATAACTTTAGGTATCCTATCTTCCCAACTACCCACCTACAGCAGTGGCCGCACCCGTCCCCATTATCCGTTCTTTTTTGTTTGTATTGCTATAATTCAGTAGAGTGAAGGATTTATTGATTTTATATTTTATATTTTTAATCTATTTTTAGTATTCTCTATGATTAATTTATTTGAAATTTGAATATATTTACCAATTTAAAAATATTACAAATTACATGCTATTTTCATTTTCCACGTTGTTAGGTTATATTACCAGCGTATTTTAATACGATATTGTGTTGATTTTCTTATTGTGACTCGGCATAGTATAGATTTCGGAAGTGTTTTGATTCAAAGGGACCAAAAATAGTGTATAATATTTGACATTAGTCTGTAGTCGACATCATATTATTGTCTTTGTTCGAAAAGTAGATGTTGCGACAGCGTAAACACGTCTCAAACACTTATAACATGTAAATAAATGTAATACTGGGGTTCTAGGGCTTTCGGATTAGTATAATAATATGCGATATTATTACTGTACCGCTACCCTTGTCGTTATCTCTCGTCAGGTTCATTTATCCATGTTAAAAGCGCGTGTGTGCGAGTTTGTGTTTGTGTGCACACATATGTGTTTTTGTGGGCGTGTATTTCTGAATACCTGTGAATGAAATGAGGACGTCTTCGTTACCCTATCAATGACATTAAGACGTTTGCTTTTCACTGACTACCGAGAGATAATTGTTATTATACGAAACATACTGAATGTACTGACTCGTATTTCATAGTAAAAAAGCTTTTATATTGTATCTATACAGGGTGTCTCACAAAGATTGGACGCCCATTTCGATATCTGTACTGAGATAAAAAAAATGATGAAGGATTACAAATGTTAATGTTTCAATTAAACTCGCATAATATTTTGGCGAAAAAATGAAAAAAAAAACCTTTTTATTTTATTAGTTCTGACAAATTTGAATATAGCCGTTTTATAGCGAGTTCTTCTTCTGAAAACATAACTTTTTATTTTAATTTAATTCATGATTGTCAATATATTGTATTAAACATAATTGTGTTTTGTTATTATCTCAAAACTTATAACTAAACAAAATATATCAGAAAACTAGATGGGATATTTTCGAAACATTATATTGGTGTTATTAATATTTATACACTATTTTTCTCTGAACTAAAGAAAAAATATCATTAATTAAATGAAAATAAAAAGACGAAACGTCAACATATTCAAAATACATAAGTATAAACTAATAAAATCTTCAAATTTTCAAAATTAAAGTTATTTTTTTTTTAAATGTTTTACTAAATTTTAAACAAAATCGCATCATGTATCAATATTTTCAGTCCTTTTTCTTTTGAGTAATATATTATGTATGGAAAAAAAAGAAAATAAAAACTTTTTCTGACTATCAATATAAATATGCAAAAGCATATAAATAATATCTGCACTACTTAAAAAATCAATACAGTGTTGGTTTTTGTTTTCGTTGATTGACGTTTTTATTCATAATCCCGGACCACTTTGAAAATGGCGTATCTATACTTTTTTTTTTATCGTATCATTAATACGTTTTTTACAAGTATCGAGGCATCAATTTAAAAAAAACGAAAGTATAAAAGAATTTCTAGAATAGGAATTTTTGTAGGATTCCTTGTATTGTTTCCGAATTAAATTTCCCGAACAGAGTTTTCAAATGTTATTTTTCCTAAAAAATATAATCCTCGATTAGTATTTTTCCCGAAGAGTATTTAGACAAAAAAAAAAACAAGTTTAATTAAACGATTAGAAATATTCAAACCTACTGTAGAGTACCGGGAAAAATTGACAAATACTATTTGGAGATCAATATACTATTCGGGCAAAACGCATTGTGAGTAGGTATTCGAGAATTTTATCCGGAGAAAAAGGTCGAGAACCATTTTTAGAACACATAAAACAGTGGCGTGATTTTGGTATAATTTCTGGGGTTGCAAAAATAATTCAAGATGCACAGACCCGTAAGATTATTTGTCCCATAACCCCAACGTTACAAATAATGTCTCAATACAATCAAATATAATTATTAAACAAAAACAAAAAAATCATATTATCAATATAAAATACATAAGATAGATAGATAATATATTTATAATGATAAATCTATATAATTCTTATATGGGTACATACTATTGAAAACTATGAATTAAATCACATAATGTTTTACAATTAGTATACAATATTCAGAATTTTAAAACTGTATACCATCTTACTGTTGTTCTCTATTTTAAATTATTTATAGTAATGTTTAATGCATTTAATGGTTATTTAAATTTACGACAGAACAGTTTAAATCTAAATATCGACTAATTTTTATTTAATTTACGATATTGAATTACAATCAATTGTAATGTATTCATTGGCGGATTATTGATAATATGACATTTTAACGTTATTATTTTAGAATATTTATTTTTTCATAATTAAATAATTACTTACAGATTTAAATTTTTTTACTAACGAATAACCATAAATACAGACATTTTAAGGGTAGCAGATTAATACTTTTGCTACCCCGGTATTATATTTGGGGTCACAAGCATGACCTCTTGCCATCTCCCAATTACGCGACTAACCTAAAACCTATAGGTATGAAATTTTATTTTACAAATATTGCCTATCGGGAAAGACTTTTTGAAGACATCACCGGGTTTTTTGCGTAATAATAATAGTGAATAATGTACCTACGTTATTTTCGAACATTCGTTTGATGGCTATAAAATGTCATCAAACCTTTTTGCAGAAAAAACGATTTCAATATAACAAGAAACATCATTTATAATATTTTATAAAATGTATTGTCTTTGGTATAAAGGCGTTTAGGCATTTATACAACGTTTTAATTGGTATACATCAAAATCGTATTATACCATAGTTAGTATCGTAAAATGAATTATTAAAATCAGTGGGAGGTAAGGTATGTCCACGGGGAAAATATAAATTCTGCAACGATTCTTTTGTCAACAGTTCGCTGTCATTATGGCTGCGTCAGTAATAATAAATTTCATATTACAAACGTTTGGATATTTTAATATAGATTGTATAATTTATATTTAACCAATTGTTGTACGCTTGTTAAATAAAATGAATCGACGACGATGGTTTGAAAATAACATTATTAATTCTTCTTGTTTGTTTTAGTACTGTTAAATTTGAAATTTCTATATTAAAAATATCCCGTCTAACGTTCAGTCCCTTTTAAGTAATTCAACAAAATTATATTACAATCTTATGTTTAATTTTCATTTTCAAAGCATATTAATATCTCAAATTTGTAAGCGCAAGTATAGGCGATTTATTTAATCAGTTCCCCAGTTAAAAGTGAAAATGAACTAATTAAATATTTTTTTTAATTGAATAATTGTAATATTTAAAATAAGTTGATACTGCTCACTGGATGGGTATTTTTTCGGGGGAATAGATAAGAAATTAGGATACATGCGGTCATTTAATTAATTCAAAAAGTCACAAATGTGTTTATTAAAGAAGAAAAAATAATCCTTTTGAAAGTAGATTATGAATTTAAAAAAAATCGTTGAAATAACATACAATCAGGTTAAAAATTATCATCTCTTAAGGAATGACAGGCAAGAATCCGATCATTTATACTATAACCATAAAAGTGTTTTATTAAGAAAAAACGCATCTTTATAAAATTATAACACATATAGTTCCTATTTGTTATTACTTAAAATCTAAAACAGTATTAAATTCACATACCAAAAACTTCCCTTCCAATATCAAAACATATTAATCAGCTGAAAGTTATACGAGTACCCAGTGAAGTATTTTCGGGGAAATTATCGGTTCCATCAACTTTTTCCGCCAGAAGCACATACATTTTGTAATACTGGTAGTCTTGGTATGATTTAGTTTGACTTAACATTTAAATTGTGTTAATTCACCCATGGCTAAAAAAATAATTCGTAATACGCAACTGCAAGCATCTATATCATGATATTTTATTCTACCGCTGATTCATTAAATTGTTTTAATCGAATAGATCTGATTTATAATACCTAAAATTAGTTTAAATATAAACGCTCAATTTATGAAAATTAAATCAAACTCGTATATAATTAATTTCTCTCAAATTTAATATGATGAATATAGAAAAGTTGTTCAACAAACACAGACCGATTATGTTATGAAAAACAAACAGATTGCAATAGCTGCTGTAGTGAAGTTGTGAGTATTCCTTTATTACTTTAAGGAGTTGTTTGTAAGTAAACATCTTCAAAACGTTTCTAAGATTATAAATAGTACACGAATTTAAATTAAATAAAGTAAAATAGCGGATAACCTTGATGATTGAATACAAAATATATTTACTGTATTTTAATCAAATTATTTTGTAAAAATAAAAAAAAAAATATCAACATTTTTGAAAATTTCAACTCTATAATTATTTGTTTAAATTAACTCTTAACACTAATAATGTATAATTTTTTTTTCAAATTATATTAGTTTTTTTTATAAAATATACATTAAATAACTAGAAAAGGCTCGTTTGTTAATATTTTGCTCACAATATTTTATTTAATTTAGAACTTATATACATTTCTTTTTACTCATGATGGATTCGAATGAAAGCAATTTTCTCACGTTCCAGAATATTTTTGTTAACGGTACTAAATTAATAATTTTCATACTTTATTTTGATGTTACGCAAACCCAAAATAGGCGAATATATTATTCATCCGCTAGGGTGTTGAGAACTTTTAGCGCTGTCTATTACAACGGATTATTTAAATAATTTAGTAATTTTTGGCGAGATATGATGTTAATAACGTATGACTAATTTAACATGATACCCCAACGTTCACTTTTGGTGTCAAATGTAATAATTAATACATTTAAAATTCAAGAGATATTAGAAAGTTTATTTTATCGTAATGAGTAGTAATGAGTGCTCGGAAGTTATAGGAATTGAATCGGTATATACTCTCGATTTACGGCCGATAAAGCAAGAAATCTGTGCTATTGAGAGTTTAAAAATCGAACATATTAAAGTCATAGTTTGCATAATTCGTCAATTTTCGAGAAAAAAGGGCATATTTTACGGAGTTTCTAATGTATTATGTATATTTAATATTGTTTAAATTTTTTAATTTATGTAGGCTTTTTAAATAATATTGAATAGAAAAATGTAATGTGAAACGTAGGTATTTATTGCCATCAAGCATACACATGTATACTTAATTTCTATTGCGCCCATATACCGAAACATTGTTTTATCGCCGATAAATTAAACACAAACTTATTACTGAATTATTTATTTTAATATGGTACATTTATATTATATACGTACAGGTCGATTTAGTGGCGTAATCGGACGTACGAAGAGGGTAAGGGGCATATTTTTAAAGATTGCAATGTATATCAAAATATATCGAGGGGCTCGGCCCAGCTACAAAAATATCGACAGCATTACCATTGGTTTCACTATCATGTGTGCTTTATTATTTTTGTGTGTAAACAACTTTTCGAAAAGAAATCTTGCTCTGATATTTAGAGTATAGTACCTTTTTTTAAAAGGAAATTAGAGAAGTGGTTTTTTTTTTTAAATATTGCACGGAGTTTTCGAAATAATTGGGAAAACTTTGAAAGAAAATTATAATAAATATATACGGAAAAAATTTACGGCGCGGTACCGATGTCATTGTTTTTAATTTTTGCAACGTATGAATTTTATACTTATACATACATATATGTATATTATATATACGAGAGTAAACTCATTTAATACTGAACCGTTAGTTTATTATGTTTGTAATCGTTTAAACTTACAACTTGGCGAGGAGTGAAATGGCCGAGATTATTGTTTATTACGTAGTAGGTACTACTTTAAGACTAAAATAATATTTTTTTATTGAAAGACTTAGGGTAAAGGTAATGCGTCCATTTTAGAATGTCGTGTTTTTAAAAATATATGTATTTTTTTTTGAAGAAAATAATTATTTTATTGTTACTGTTTTGATGAAAATATCAGCAGAAAATATTATTGATTTAATTTCTGAGAATCGCCGTACCTATACGTTATATTAAACTTCAAAGTATAAAATGTATGAAAGATAATATTATTTCTAAAACATTACGATCTCACTACAAAACTAACGTATAATATCTAAAAAGTCAATAGTACATTTTAATTTTAATAAATACAATACATTGTGAGAAATTCGGATATTTATAATCAGACAAATACGGTCTATTATTATTATTATTATCGGGTATTCGAAAATCTATTAAATTATAACTTTTAACACACATATAATTTAATAGGTTTCTATGACAACTTTTAACACACTTGTCATAGAAACACACACACATATACATATATATATATATATATATAATACAAGTATATAAAGTTTCACCGCCTCGGAAAAATTTGTAAGTTGTTGTTCTTTATTTTCGAGTTAAACGATCGATATCTGGTCCTCAAACTTCATTATGGGATAGGTTTGATTTATGATTCATTTTCGTCGCTAACTTACAAAACCAATAGAAAACTTTTAGGACGTATATATATAACCACATTATCGTATTTTCATTACTTATTTGATCTGTAACATTTCACGATTTCACTTGCGTGTGGTATTTGCTTTCTCGTCGAGTTTAAACTTGTAATCGCGTTGAAATTATATTGTTTATCGTTATAATATAATTCAAATACACACAAAAAAAAAAAAAAAACAAAAACAATGTGTGGGTTCAAAAACCTTTCAAAAATCGTTTATGATTTGTAGTTATAACGAACGCGCTTGTAAAAAATTTTCTCAATGCGGTAATTCGGCTACATCGATCGATTGTATAATATTCTTATCATTAATCGATCGAATATTACAATAATAGCATCAAACATTATGTTTGTACCGTGAAACGGCGAGTAGGTATTGTATTGTAGCAGGGTACATTACGAAATATTCTCCCCCTTTAGTGGAGTAGGGCTACAAACGGTGTCGGAACAATAAATAATGCATACGGTGTCTTATTTCTCTCTTTCGCTTTCATATTTTTTTTTATCTTTATTTTTTTTATTTCCCTAGAATAGTAAATTCTAAACGTTTATTATTATATACCTCCGCGCGTATACGCGACACTTTTATGCTCGCACACACGCTGAAAGTGACAATAACAGTGCACTTACCTATATATATATATTCAATTTGACAACGTGCATTATAGATTACAAAAGAGTACTGGGGTAGCTCTATAATATATTATCTACTATAATATTACACAACAACCGGTACTCGAAATTATGAATTTCCGAAAAGACGTATATACGTGCGCAAATTCTTCACCCGATACTCACCGAAGTCATACAGTGGCCGAGTGGACTTGTAGAGCGTTTGATTAACAGTATTTATGAATACAAATATTCGAATTCCGAATATGAATTTAAATATTTTAAAAAGTGTTTGGAGTTTAAATCGAAAACTCGTTCTACTAATACTTGCACAGTGTTTATAATTGCTTTCCATATTATATTCATTATAATCGCGTTACATGTTGTAAGTTAAATGGATTTCGAGTATCAATACTTGCAATGGCATTTACCGTGTAATTTACAGAAAAATTAAACCTAATATTAAAACGTTTCTACTAAAAGTATGACGTATAATATGAATGTATTTGATAGTATTTTAATGAATTAATACCCGTTGGAAAAAATGAAGCGTTGAATAAATACAAATGTAAAGGATTTAAAAGCTTTTAGCTTTAATAGAATATCAGTTAAAAAATTAAAAATAATTCAAATTTTATTGTAACGTCTTTAATTTGTATCGATTTTATAAAAAAAAAAAAAAAATACGTGTCTAATATAACTTATAATTCTTGAGTTACAAAGCTTCAGTTTTTGTAATAATTAGAAAAAAATGAACTATTAGATATCAAAAAACCATTTTGGGTTTTGACCGGGTTAGGTTCTACAAACTCAACGACCACAGTAATTTATAATCAATTAAATAATAGCCAACAAGTTATGGTAATATTTTTGGATTTAGACAATTTAGCAAAAGCGTTTGAGATTTGACACCGTAGTCTAAAATTTAGCTGAGTAATATTTTGCCTGATTTCGGAGTTAACAGAGAAAGTGTAAATTTCAATAACAAAACGAAAAAAATTGGTTACAGTGTGCCATAAGACAGTTTTATTGGGGCAAATTTCGTATAGTTTATGTATTAATTATATTTGTGATTTGAATGTCAGTGGATTAATAATCAGTTACATTATGCTGACGAAACTTGTAGTCTTCTTTTTTTCGATATATTTTAGGAAACGGTTCAAAAAAACTACTTAAAGCCTAAATAGAGTAAATATTTTCAAGAAAAAAACACCTACTAAAAAATTAACTTTAAATATAAATATAAAAAAAAAAAAAAACAATTTTGTTGCTTTCTGTATTAACAACGCACTCATTTCCATCGATAGTAATATATTTATTCATATACGTGATGATTTTTACTCTAATACAATATATAGCTGTCAGAAAATAATTTTGTTAACACTAGTAATATTCCTGAGTTGATTTATATATTTGAATTAAAGATTGCTTTATGAAATATTGAGAGCACAGTAATGTGTTCGAGATCATTAATTATCAATTTATATAAACTTAACCGAATTGTACATCTTGAATCCATGCGTACTGTATATTATTAGGTAAGTATATTAATATACAATTAATGTATAATACTATTATGCAGTATGGCAGTGGCGGATTTAAGGGAGGGGCCCGAAGGACTTTGGCCTCTCTCCCCCGTCGGCCTTAGTTAAGTTTCATTAATTGAATAGTCGTAGGTAATTTTGTATGGAGTATTATTGAAATATTCAACTAATGCGCGTTCTAATAGATTTTTAAATAATATCTGTATGATTTACAAAAAGTATGCAGTTGAGATTCGTATGCGTATGCGTATAACTATACAGACCTACAACAATAGTCTGTAGTTTTTCATTATTTTGATGTACATTTCTGAAATAAACTTCCCCTAATGCGAACATTATTTTTACGGTGCATATTGATCGATTTTAAATTGATACGTTACTATAAGTGCGTAAATTAATAAAGCAATGCGGATTTATACGGTTTTCAACGGCGTTTCCATTTCAACGGCTCTCGACGGAATATTAATTCAATGTCGGCCAGCAATATATACTTACAGTTCCATTGTTAGTTATAAAGTCTCGGAGATTTGAGACTTTTGTCCGAATTCGAATTGAAATAACATAACGTGTACGTTGTTTTAACCTTATTATAAGTCACACCTCTGTTGTCGTACGGTTCGCATATCATAGAAGAGTATAATATCATTTCATTATCTTAATTCAAAAAGAAAAATGTTACGCGGGTTGAAATTCAATTTGTTCGCGGTCCTTCTAAAATATTATATACGTTTATAAAACTGTGAAGTGCTTAAGTCAATTTTGTAATTTGTTTTATTTTTCGTAGTATTTTTCGGTCTAAATGGCATATGTGCATGTATATTCTAACACATACTACTCGTATACTGAATATTAAAATATCTCGATGTTGCCATAATGCACTTTTTAGTTGCCGAAGAAAGCTCAAAATAGTTAATAAAATTGTAATTGTATCAGATTTATTTTAAAACGTTATATTAAGGTTGGAGCTTTTAGCAATTTCAAAAATACAATTTGCTCGTATTGAAAACTATACAGAACGACTTTTTTAACACTTATTTCTTGCAACCGTAGAAATGTTTCTTCGGCACACTGTCATACTCGTATACAACAATTTTATTGTTTTAACGACAAAAAAAACAAAAAAAAAAAATCAATGTTGAAATAAAATGTATTTTAATGCAGTACACGTACGCCATTTTTACAGTACAATAGATCTATGAAAAACGAGATAATATCGATACCGATCATGTAAATAGATTAATTTAACCGAACGTGTTCGTATAATATCATTGTAGTCACGTTGACACGCGTGCATTTCGGTATTGCGGTCGCTATTATACTCCGATGGCCCCGAATGTTTACATGCAAACAATTCGACTAACAAGACCATATAGATACATCCATGCGTAAAAAATATGATATCCCTTGTTGTGTTTTGTTTTGTTTTTTTTTTCATAGAGAATTTGAATAACCTTAAACGTGCAACGCAGTAAAAAATTGTTATTTGAATCCCGCACCGATCCGTTGTTATAGATTATTATACTATCGATAATCGTGTTTTTGGGTGTCGTTTCCACGTACTTACTTATAGACAGGGTATCCCGCGAAGCTATGACCGCTGCGATATCTCGGAAAGTATTGATTTTTTTTTTTGTAATTCATTTTTATTTTTACAATTTAAAAAACAAGTAACGGCGTTTTAATATCGTTTCCCTATTCTCCCACTACGCGACCTTAAAAGTGGATATTTCGTTAACGGGTTGACGGAAATCAAAAATGTCAATGCCAACATGTATATTTATTAATTATACAAGTAGTCATTTAAAAATCAAAAGTAGGCATAGTTAGTTCACCCCCAAAAATAAGGGCTACAAGTTACAATAAACAATGGTAAAGTAACATTTTAGAACCACTTATTTTTTAAATTGCTAAAAAACAAAAGATTCCGAAAAAAAGTTATTACTTTCCATTATAGTATCTTCGTGGAATACCTCGTACAGTTCGGTAGTATGTTTTCACACAGCGCCGGAATGCGTTTTCCGGATATTTTGAGTGCGTTTCCGCGTATAATTTCGGTTGTTATAGTTTGAAATGTTTGAATGTGTTCACCATCGTGTTGTCGAGTTTTTCCGCTTTTTTTTTCCTATAAAGTGAACTTTCGATGACTTATTCACGAGATCGGAACTGTGAATAGATTCACTCCGTGGCTTGTTTATATTGTCACTATTAAATTATAACACACTAATGGATCGGCGTGTTAATTAATAGTTTTCAATTTAATAAAATATCCGTAATTCTATAATTATGAAAATAGTGTAAAATGCGTGATCATCGTGATATAATATTCAAGCATTATTTTATAATTATAATATTATCAGCCATTTTGTTAATTTAAAAACAAAATTATTTCATCAAAAGTGAGATGAGTGTATACAATTATAATATATACACCCGAGGGAGGGGTGACACGGGTTTGTGAATGCGATTTTTTTTATCAGCTGCACTCTAGATAAAATGTCAAATACGCCACTCTATAACAAGAAATGGACATTATTCGTTTCGAGATACGAATTTTAATTAAACAATTTTTCACTCGTCTCGTAATATGATAATATTACCAAAAATACGAATCGCTCGAAATAATATATTAGGAACCTATGTATGAACGTGCAATATATTTTCTCATAAATTAATGTTTGACGGTAAATTTGACTTTTGCAATTAGCCAGGATAGTAGTAGGTAGTAGTTTAGTATCTAGGTATGATTCAATTATGTGGATATAATACTCATCTATGCTGTCTTTGTTTTCAAATGTATTACATAGCAAATTCGCATTCACCTAGTACAACTTTGCAATGGCGTGCTCAGCTTTCTCCTTTGGGAGGAGGGAACGAACTGTATGTCGCTTTGTCGATAGTCATGCACACAAATTTACAAAAAGGAACTTATATGCATTGATATTTTAGGAGTAGATTGTTATGTACAAATTAAAATTGTAATATATATATACATTATAATCATACCTATTTATTAGATTCTGAGTGAAACGATGAATGTATTGGTTTACAATAATATTTATTATTTAATTTTTTTGAATTTTTTTTATGTGAACACTTTTTCTACCAGAAAACATACTCCGATTATCAAGTATAGGATCTTTTCTGAAAAAGTCCTTAAAAAAGTCCATTTTTAGCGCTTTAATATATATGCATCATAAAATCGAAAAATATGTAAAATAAAATTCCCTATGTTAAATTTAAAAACAATGTATTAATATGGGATTAAAGCGATTTTAAAAATAATCAAACTGTCGGAAACAAACGAAACTGTCTGATAAGATCGACTAACCGGATACGGTCATCTTTTTCGAATCCGTTTAGTCGTTTACTATTAATGTAAAATAGCTAAACCAGTAAAATAGCTCCTATATCTCCTAAATATGGAACAAATATGTAAACCCTATATTTCTATCCTGTAAATAGCACTTAAAACGCCCGAATTAACGAAACAGCTCAACAAGTCTCAAAAATGCGAGAAATAGTGACAACAAACTCCGTTGTGTGTTACCTATGACAACGCAGTGAAGTACAAACCAACAACTCACGGAACCGTAGTTTTATAAGTCGTCACCCTAAAGAAAAACCAAAATAATATGAGAACGCGCTAATACTTCCGAGCCCTGCAGCTTATAAGCGACATCGACTAAAATCAATTATCGTCTCTCGTAAAAATAATTTATTCCCCTCCTACTTTGCGTATCGTTATATTGTTATTGTTGTCGCGTATATATTTTATCGGGACAAGATATAGAGTTCGCGCGCGTTTTAATACGATATGATTCTACGCGTAAGTTTGTCAAACCCTAAACGCGCGCGACCCAAAACAGAAAAAAAAAAAACCATTAGCGATATTAGTATTGAATGCCAAAAAAAAAAAAAATAAAATAAAAAAGGGTCGCGACGGTGTTATTGTAATGTAACAATTATTATTTTTATTATTCTCGTTTTGTTTGTGTACCGATAGAGGGTCGTTTCGCGTGTCTATTCTACAAATGTATAATAATATGTACGTGGGATCGGTCGTCGTATACAATATTACATTAGAGTGAGGGGAGGGCGATGGACAATATTGAAATCGTCACATGCCAAACAGCAATAATATTCTGTTCGTTATAATAAACGTAATTAACGCGACCGAAATTATTGTTAGTGGTGTTCGCGTATCTTATTCCCCAGAGGACGTCTTATGTATTATTATTATTGTTATTATTATTATTATTATTATTATTATTATTATCGTACCGCTATATATTATCATAAAAAACATGATATTTTTTATCTCGTATAGCAGGCACGTGTGTGTGTGTGTGCGTGTGTGTGTATTATGTTTCATTATCTGGATAGGTATATTTATCTTATCTATGGTTATCTTATCTAGACAAACACGAAAAATAAGATGGCCGAACCTTTATGCACGACGCATGAAATCGTAATTTATACGTTTATTAGAAATAACAGGTGAAACATTTCACTCGCGGTTTCGTAAATAAATTATTGAGTCGCGTCAATCACACGCCGTTGTTTTCCATGCGAAATCCGGACCCGTGCAAAATCTGGTACACGTTTTACTAGGGAACTTTACGCTCTTTGTTTTACGATGAAAAATTATATTGAAATATTCTTTTTTTCTATTTCTAATCCAGAAACGCGTATATCTGGTTGTTTTTCGTAATCTAGAAAATTACATTTTTTTCCATGCATTTTCTATATTTGTTTAGACCTGTTATTCGAGTAATGTTATTTTTTTTTTTATCTTTATCTAGATATTTTAACATTTATCTTTATGTAGGACACAACAAGATAAGCCTCACACCAAACGCGTTTACGTGGATGCACACTCCTATTTTTGGAGACGCGGGGTGATACCTACTGACTTTTTTTTCGTCGAACACGAAATCGTTTTTTCGCCCCGAGTTTTTATCGTGATGCACCTGCTCATTAAATATTCACAGCTCCCCGGCTTATATATTATTTACAAACAATTTTATAGCTCCCGTACACACACACACATATATATATATAGTAATAGACAAGAGAAGTCGGCCGAGTGAAAAAAAAATTTAAGGCATTTGGGGGGCAATAAAAATATCGAAAAGTATAAGACGTGTATACTTACTGTGTATATGTATAGTCGGCAAGTCGGGGTCGGTTTCGTGCGGAAAGTACCACGCCGTTGCCGTAAAGTCTTCATGATGTCTATAAATAAAAAAAAAAAAATAAGCTTTTTCATTTCTATACTAGCTGCAATACGAATTAATGGTTTTCAATTTTTTTGTAGTGGTGTAATTTCCTGTCACATAAGGTGATTTTTATTTTTTATTTTTTTGCTTAGTAGCACGTGAAACGGCCTATGGGTAGGTACTCTTAAATTTCAAATTAATTTTTTTTCTTCTCGATAAGAATCTTTAATCCAGCGCTGCGGTCGCAATCGCGGCGTAGAGCTAAGTGAAAAATAAAGAGCTCGTGCGTCGACCACGGTATATTAGACAAGACGATCAACTCCTATTTAACCGGCGTAATTTTACGACAAATAGTCCGACCTCTCTGTAGCCTAAACCAATGAGCTGATTGTTTTGAAATTTACACGCGTTGATCAGTATATTAAGCAGATGGTACTGTTGTAAATTTCAAGTTGATCGGATGATTACAGCCTGAGTAATATGCAAAAGTATTAGCATAGTTTTTACTCAAAACGCTATTTTTTTTCAACAATTTAAAAATGTATATGCTTTACGCGTTGTTATACTTGTTTACGACTGTAGCCGTTTACGGCGAATAAAAAACAATTTTGTTTATTTATTTTATCGAAATTTATTATTATATAGTATTATTAGTAATAATAGTACTATTATTATATAATTAATATTAATACATTAATAAATTATAAAATGGTGATGTTAATATTCACGTCGGCATTGTGTATTTGTGCTCTTAAATATATGTAGCCGCCAAGCTAAGTTAAATTATTTGTATTATATCATCGCGCTTCGTCAAATGCAAATACAATTATAAACAATTTCTATACTGAATCTATAATGAATTTAAGACATTTTTACTTGGCCTTTTTTTGATATCACAACTTTTTTAACAGCGTTTTTTTTTTTCTGAGCGAGGTTTTTACGCGTAGTTGACGGAGGGTTTTTGTTGGGATATAATATACAATTACAACTGCTTCTATCGCGTCACATTCTCAGCTAAAAACAATATATAAATATATTTTTATGTACGACAGGAGTGATAAACCTGTATTGCATTACTTATACATGCTTTTTTAATTCATTCATTAAACCCAACGATGATTAAAGGGAGACCATAATATTATGGTCGTCTAGGTATTGAAAATCGTTTTTGTAATCAGTCAAAATGAAATTCCATTTTTAAATTTTAGTTAATCACTATAGTTTCGATAATTTTATTGCTAACTTTATGAAATCTACCTACAGTGGCGTAATTAGGATTTTGCCAAGGAGGGAGAATCTGGAAATCGTGTCATATTGTACAATTTGTACGTACTATAGGTCGAAGAAAATGTAAATTTTTAATTTATATACTTTTGTGAGTGTCAAATTTATTACACAACCTAGCCTTAAATTGTTATAGAAATAAAATAATTTGACTATACAGGTATTACTGGTATTAGAAATATTATTATTAGTTTATTTAGTGTATTGGATAGGTTGCGTTTTAAACAAAAAGTACATAGGTACGTCGATGTCTTTATGATGTATTCACTATAGATTGTACAATAGATTTTTGATTTTTCTCATCAAAAAGTAAACATATTTAAATTTAAAAAAAAAATTGGATAGTCATATAAATAATACATAATAAATAACGATCAAAGGGAGATATTATATCTTCCCGATTTTCCCCGCCACTGCTACATGGCAACACTACCCATTTATCGAACTATACTACCCGTGACGTTTTTATTTTAATTTTACTATTTTTTTAAATACACAACTATACTAATATTGAGTATAAAATTTATATAATATAATAGCTATTACTTATCTTATTGCGATTACATGTTATTATTTTTAAAAGTTTCTCTACAGTTATGTTATAATCAAATCGTAGTAAATTAGAAATCTTTGGAATTATACCAATCGGTATTATCAAAATATGTATATGTATAAAACTAAAATTTATCGATTCATTGTTTACATTATGTATAGGTAATAGGTATATACAAACACATTGTTATACGTTCTTATTTATACATTATTATCTACTGTAATCATCAATAATGAATTTAATGGGATATACCATAAAAAGTAAATATCGAAACATGTGTTTATTGTAGTGTAAAATGTTATCGGATTGACCTACGAGACTTAATAATTGAACATAATTTACTCACTATAATATACTCGGTTTGTAAATTGATTATTCTCAGTTACAAGCCGTAGTTAACCTAACCTTTACGAACGGCCGTTTCACAGTGCGCTTTATTAAGTTTCCGAATTTCCAAAACATTTTTTTTTTTTCATTTTGTAACCGGCCAGTATAGGAATGGTATTTTTTCTTTTCGAAATTACGTTTGCCAAAAGGCAATAGGCGCTCGTATCGTTGAAGGCAATAATACAGGTATGTATCATTCAAATAATTGTACTTTCGTTTATAGTCGTTTTTTTTTTTTTCGATATTCCTGTGGAAAATTGAAATATTCGCGAGTAACATAATACAGGTACAGTAATACAGGCAACACATACCTGGGTGGGCTATACTATATGTGTAATAATAGTACGTTGTATATCCATTTGATAATTATAGTATGGAATTATTATTAATTCAAAGCCAAAAAATAAATAATAAAACCATTCAGGTAACTTCTACCTTTTTTTTTTTGGCATTTTTTATTTAGAAAGTTTTTTATTCTATATTTATGTAACATGAAATTGGCTTAGACCGAAACTAGTAGCTACCTTAATTATTTCATTATACCTTAAATTAATAATTTTATGATATGTACATATTATTATTAATAAAATATAACCGTCACAGTGTGTATGATAATATTATGTGTAACACGCAGGCAGTCAAATATTATTATGGGCGATTATAATAAAATGTAAAATAATATAATTATTTGGTAATTTTATACGTTGCTCGATTAGATTTTAATAAAAAAAAAAACATACGAGGAGAATTTACAAGTACCGGCCGCCGGTAAGGTTAAACTAACAAATATTCGAACAAATCGTAGGCGGTCATTATGGACAAATGATTTTAGATCGTAAACGAATTTAAATTCCTATCTAAAGTATTATAATAATATTGTTTGTTCGAATATATTACGTAGGTATTAAATTATATTACACTAGACAACATTATAATGTAATAATGCAAAATGAAAACGTTTAAAACGAATAATGTTAATAATATTATAAATTAAATTGTGTTTGTTTAATTCCTGTGACGGCGATAAAACATTTTCTGAGGCATTTCTTTCGGATCCAAATAGGATTAATTTATTTTTCCGATTATCAATTTCCGTGTTTATATATATATACCTACCTATCTGCTATATAAGCATTTCGTGCTCGGTCTTGGATTACAAAAGGGATTAAAGCATAAAAAAAAAAAATGAAAAATAACAATAATAGTTATAATCTTACGAATATTGTTATTAAGCTTTAATCGAAAATCCATCCTTTGTTTATTTTTAATTAAAATATACCTGATAAGTATTTCGGTGGTTACGGTTTGTTTGCCCTGAACGGTCGTCGTCCAAAAAACGTGTTTTGTAAATTTAATAAGGCGCGTATCGTAATTGTATTTGAGCGCGTATCACCAACCCCGCGTTATCTCGTTTGCCCTTGAAATTTAACGCAAGACATATAAAATATTATAATATAATCGGAACTCATATTATTTTTTTGTTTGTGTAGACGTTAGGCTTAAACGATAACGTATATTTTCTGATAAAATATACGTTTTTATACATTATTAATTTGGTCTTTTAGTTCGTGAGCGTATAGTGAAAAAGCTATTATATTTTTAATAATATATAGTTATTTTTTCTCAGAAAATGTTTTTTCGTTTAACAAAAAGGCTGGAACTGCTAACGGATGCGTCGCTGTTTTAGAAAGAATGTTGGAAAGGGGGGGAACATATAAAGCAATTTAATTTTTATTTTTTCGCAACGCAAAATTATTTCTATCCAAAAAGGATCCCGAGAAAAGTATATTTAGTCGTAGTGTTTTCCTTGTTTCTAAGGTAATCCAGAAATCAACAGGAAATACACGAATGATTGCCGGTCTTTTGTATTTATTAAAAAAAAAACTATAAGAAAACTGAAAAAAATTACTTCCCAATGCACTGATTAGAACAAAAAACTACAAGAATGTTCTGATAAAGTTTTTAATAGAAGTAAAATTTCTGGTAGAAAAGTTGTTTCTTAGTAAAATACTCCTTACATTCACTTAAAATCTAAAACACTCCCTAAATCGATATCTTGTTCTCTAAATAGATCCATACATCTTAAAATTAAAAAAAAAAAAAAAAAAAAAACTAGACGAAAAATGACGATGCATATTAGTTTTATTTTTGTTGATTCTGGGGTAACTCGAGTTAAGATAAGGAGGAAAAACCACGACTAATTAACCTAAACCAGTTTACTAAGCTCCGATCATAATTAATTTTTGATTTCAATTTGGTTTTAAGTATCATTAACCCACATCATAATTATAATATACCTTTGACACTTCCTACTTACAACAGTGGCCTATCCATGTCACGAAGTTTATGTCCTGAATTTTTTATTATTATTATTTATATGAATGTTTTTTTTTTTTATCTTGGGTTCGTCGTAACTGAAAATACTAAAAAAGCGAAATCGAAAAGATATGTTTAAGTCGATTCGTGATGTTTATTCGGGTATTCTGTTCGGTTCACTATATTTAAGTCTATTACCGAATAGGACGAAACAATACACGCTGTTGTAGTATTTTTAATAGTTTTAAATTCGATTCTCGTCTCAATCTCGTGTACATTAACTCGAACCAATGTATTTAATACTGCATTATCTCATTGGAACAATCAACTCAACCTCGTACGAAATTACACGTACCTCTTATCCTTGCAGAAACCACGAATACACGTAATCAGGTCAATACCATATAAAACGTTATACTTAGAAGTGTTCCGAATACATCGTTAACTCTTAAGGGTTTCTTATAATACCCCTATAGTCTATGGTTTACTTAAGTTACCGGGATTTCGAAACTAACTCAATATCGTACAGCGTAAATTGATATGTTTGGATTCTGAGCACAACGAGAAATATATTATATTGGATTTGTATGAGGTTTTTTTTTTTTTTACACGGTTAATTTATTTTAAATGGTTTTTTTATTTTCCGAGTAGTTCATTAAAAATAGTTGAGGAATACCAGGGAAAAAAACGTATAGCAAAAACAGACAAATTGTCGACATGAAAAGTTGTTCTCGATTTAGTTTTACTATCGTAAATCTCGCTTTAAAATTCAAATATAGCATTTTTTCTAAAAAATAATTTTATCGTGTAGTATCGGGCGGTCGTTTTCTTATTGACCTTGTAGTTTTCTTGATAACTGGGAAAACCCGGGGAATATGGTTTAACGGGTTATGTGAATAAATGAGTTCAATAGAAATTATTGGAAATTCACCACGACGTTCATTATAAGTTTTACTTAGAGAACCGAAAGAGAAGATGAGTATAGAGTAGTATAGTTTTTTTTTTTTATAAGCGTTTTAATTTCAAAGTTTGACGTAAATCGTACTTACTAATCACGGTAATTCAAAACATGAATATCTCCACTCACTCAATATCGTATTTCATTTGTAATGATTTGTCGTTACGTACGGATATAAATTAACTCGATTCATGTTACTTTTCCGACTTCGTACCTACAACAGTGGCACACTAACCAGCAGTATCAGCTGTTTTCTGTTTGGTTTATAGTTTTAACGTGTGTATTATAAACTACAATTTATTTAATAATACTCATAATGTCATTGAAAAGCTATAACATGAAATATTATTAATCTTATTTATCGTTATTATTTTATTATCATCATTATTATTATCATTATCTTATTTGTCATTATAATATGACATGAATATTAATATTAGATTTTTTTTCCTTCAACTCGTAATAAATAAATAATTAGAACGGAAGATTGGCCATTTATAAGTTGTGTAATAGTTACGCATTATTTATTTTAACTGTTTTATAATTACCGTTTGATAACTAAAAACAGATACGTATATCTTATAGTTTTACTTGATAGAACAACAAATTCCTTTGGGTTTTATTGAAACAATTTAAGTTTAGTTCAAAAGCGATAAACAAAAAACGTATACTAATAATATTTATTTATTTTTTTTTTTTAGACTCTTAAGGAGGTTGGTTTTCTATGCGTGCGGTTTTGTTTTCTGTCCAATCAACTTTTAGGCCAGAATTCTTGTTCTAATCGTCGACTTTAGGGACATAGAAAATGTTGTCTAAATAATGCGTTGGGAAGATCATTCTTTGGTTTTCCTTGCAGTATGTTATAGTCGAGAAAAAAAATCGGGATAACGGGAATATTTCATTCACGTAACATCTGTATTTCTGGCAATTTTCGTGCTATTTATAGCTGTTTCTAATTTTCGTGTCTTGTTAGTTTTTATGTGGTTAACATTTGGTTGGCTTTATAAAATGCTCAAAAACGTAAGACAATAGGTTCATCATATTATAATATGTTGTTATTATGACACTATAATTATTTCGAAAATCCGTGTCTAGTTACAAATTTATATTTTTTTTTTCTATAAATATTTAAACACTTTTATCTCGGGATCACTTAGAATTGTTTAGAATTATAATTTAAAACCTGAAATGATTTACCGTAGCACTTTACGAAATTCATGTTTTTTTAAAATTAATTGTTTTTGTTTTTTTGTAAATTCATTGGATATTTATATGAAATAGCTACCTAGTCTGCACTTAGTTATAGCTATAAAGTTTAAATTATTGCATTACAAATGGTTCGCGTATTTCATTATATGTATATATATATATATATATGTATGATTACGCATTAATAATTAATAGGTACATGTATAGACGTTAATAACAAATTCAATGGAATTTGTATCATATTGCACGTATATTGAACGGGGGCTTGTAAATTATACAATGAGCTCAGTTCATTTTCCCTTTGAATGCCAATAAATTTTGTTGAAATTACCTACTTATTATGGTACACATATCTATTAATCGCTAGTACCGCGGTAAAAATACACAGTTTCGAATATTTAATTATTCGTTACTATTGTGGTGTAGGCACTATAATAATAATATTTATAAAAAATGTACTGCAACAATAATGTTTTTACTATCGTATTTTAAGAAGTAATGATCGTGTAGGCGGGTTTACGGTATTGCAGCTATTGCATCGCATCCAATATTGTACTTGTTGTGTTAATAATTAGTTACTCGTATACCGTCGGGTCTCGACTCCTTCGAAACACGCGTGAAAAAAAAGTAAATGTAAATATTTCTGATGATTTACAGAACGCAGTAGCCGAGTATTGAGTACACAAAGCGTGTTTGGGTGCGGGGGAATTAAAATAGAAAATGTTGGAAACTTTGTAAAATTTGATATCGTGGAAGAGGATGAGGGAGCGTGTTTTACATAAAAAAAAAAAAAACTAAAAACTATCAACCTGTATTGTTTAATAATAATAATACTCGTGTGAAAATAATGTGGTCGACAATATAGTATCTAGGAACAGAGAAGGGAGGCAGGAAAACTATATGGGTCGGTACCTATATACTTTTATGTTTGTTCGTAGTTGGTTTTTTTTTTTTTAGAATATTGTTTGGTCGAGATAAAAATATATATATACAACCCACCAGAGATAGCGGGACACACGGGATTCACCGGGCGGAAGTGTTCATTTTTCGGGATCACTGGCGGAAATTGATAAAAATACGTTGCAAACAACTGCGGGATTCCGGGGACCAGTAATGCTGCCGTGCGCTATGACGATGATGGCGCTGACCGGTCTCGTTTCCCGAAAACAGAAAAAAAAAAAACGTGAAGGAAAAACCGCTTTAGGCTCGAGTGTCAACTTAATCCGACCAACTTCGGTGGGTGTCGGCCCTGAAAGGTACCAATGCATCTCGCGAGGGTGCGTTTGTGAAGGAGGCTAATCCGACGTGACGTTTGTTGTTTTCCGACTCGTTTCTGCTGCAACAGTGTCGCGTAACACAATATATAATTTAATAATAGCTATTTTGAAACATAAACATTTGTCGCTCTCGATGCGGTTAAACTAAAACGTAAAAAAAATATTTGCATACGCCATGGTACGATATTATATCGCCGTGCATTGTGTTTTGTCGAGGAAAAATTCAATATCGTTCACGACGGTCGTATAGGTATCCGATTTCGCCGGTTTCCTTATACGTACGTTACGTTCCAGCGACGACGTTGAGAAACTAAGTTCAACTCGGCAGAACAAAACATGTCTATTTATGATGGTTATTCTGTCATGTATAGTGTAACATATATATAAACGAGTATACCTACATCTAATAATTGTGTAATAATTTCTGTAGTTACAAAGTCAAAATCATTGTTTAAGAGAACGAAAAGAAACTCAAATAATAATTGAGAAAAAGCTTTTAGAAAAAAAAAGGTATGGTTTCTAAAAAATTGAGGCTGAGCAGTGGCATGTCCAGAAATGTATAATGGTGGAAGAAGAAGCATGTAACATATCCTAATCATAATAAATGGTAGAATCTTTTTATTTACTTAACACGGCAATGGAAATTTAAAAACCACATCAGGAAAAAAAATAAGTTTTATTCAATAATTTATCAAGCTTTTTCTCGTAATTTGACTGAAAATTTCAAAATAAAATTACTAAACAAACACTTATAGTTGTTGTAATGAATGGTACATGGAGAGGGAGGATTGGGCTACTAACACTGTGCACCGAGTAGGATAATGCTGGATGCAGAGCTGAGAAAATTATTTAATAACAGGTCAAATATATCTATTATGTAGTTGGTATGCTCAAAAGTCGAAGGATGAGTTGGGCTGACAACGTTTTGGCGAGCAGAATATTTGTGAAATTGTAATTGTCTATTTTGTAATAAATCCAAAAGAAGTGAAATGAAATTTGTTTTTTTTTGGGGGGGGGGAAGAACATTGATTAGAGAAGATTTTTCTTTCATTTTGATGATACAGATAATGATTATTATTATGATAAATTGTCAATAAGTTTTTATTGTTATTTACCATACCAACAAATTCCTGAGAAACCTGAACTTGAGATCTTCCCCCACATTCTCGAGAAAAAGTTTCACTCGACACATCAGCAGTTTTTAAGTTACAATTTGTTGACAAAAGTCATGTGAAACATTGCATTTCACCACCAAATAAGATTCTGTCAAAAAAATGAAAGGAAAAATCTCCTTCCCATAAAAAAGCTCTTCTTTTGGATTTATTACAAAATCGCCAATTGCAAAAAAAATATTTTATAAAAACATTTATGATATCAAAACCAAGAAGTTCATGTAGTATGAAGTTTAGTTTACAGTAAAGGATGTGCTCTGGAGAAGTCACAAAACTCAGTGATATCAATCCTACTGCTCTTAGATGCTCCGTTGGCATGCAATTCAAACAGTCTTAGAACTTTTTGAACACATTTCATATAGTGTAGTGTATATTTAATGTATATCTAGTGACTTAGTGAAAGCAGCAATGGGCATACTAGACCATATATTAAGCAAAAATGTCTAATTTAAGTTTATACAACTGATAAGTTATTCGCTCATAGATTGTACATGGTTAATACAATATACGTGAATATAAAACCATTCTAAATAAATAATTGAAAAACTGAAAAACTAGACATTATGTTTTCTATTGTTCATTGTTTTTATTATTTTTTTTTTTTTCAAATAAAGTTGATACCCTTTTTCTAATTTAAATTGTAAATAACGTCTATCGAACATTTTTTAACGCAAATCACTATGCATACATTCCCAACATAAATTATATAACAATTAGTTTGATAAAAATCGTGAAAATCGGGGAAAATTTACCATCCTTAGGCATACACCCTTAACGATTGTTTACCAACTCAAATAATTATCATTTAATTTAAATGATCCAATGAAAACGTTTATGACGGTAGTTTAACGTGGATGCGATCCCAACATTTACATTCCTTATCTTTGTTTCTCACACGCTTAACAGAGAGCAAAATCGTGTTCGGTGTGCGAGCACGGAACGGTATAGCGGTCTTTAAATTAACATTTTAGCATTATTTTATTCTTGTTTATCTATTTTCAAGAAAACCGTTGCTTTTATTAACTCACTGTTTCTAATATATAATAAACTATACTTTAATTTAAAAACTCAATTACAATAATAATTAACAGTCCATATATCTATTCATTATGAATTTTCTTTTAAATTTAATAATAACTAATACGAATTTTAATTTGATCTCGGCCATTTGGCTCCTTTTTTTTTTATGTGAAATTCTTTTAACAAATAGAATAAATCAATTAAAAATACAAAAAAAAAGTTGTCGTTTAAAATCTAGTACAAAATTTAACAAGTATAACAATATAAGATAATGTTCTAATATAAATCTTATCAAGTTTCTAGAAACGACATACTTTTATTTTAATATACTTAATGTACACCTAACCTACCTTCAACATAAGAAATAATTTCAGGGGTTCAATTCCCTCCCCATTTCAGTAGAATTTTTAATTATGTTTTTATAGATTAACAAAACATAAGTGGTTTGACCTTCAAAACATTTGTTTGCGTACGCCCATGGTTGTAAGGAAGATATATTTAATACAAGAATTGGATCTGTCTTTCAGAGACAATTTAAGAACCAGAACCTTCACTGAGACCTGTATTTTTCAATAATTTGAAGGATCAGATCAATTTTAATAAAATAAATATATTTTCGGATTTTTTAGGTGCTTATAGGTTTCGTTAAATGACTAACAATATAATTGCAAAATAAATAAAAACAATCTTTCTTATTTTTATAATATTAAGTGTAAATTATAAATTTGCATTGCTTTGAAATAATACAGTGAGTGGCAAACCACAAAATGCTTGATCAGTGGTGTACTCAGGAATTACAATGGAAGGGGTTTGAGTAATGAATAAATTAATAAATCGTATAATCTTCTTTTGTTGTACACAGAGTGATTCACCATTTTTAAATTTTGTATATATTTAAATTCTGAATTTTGGTATTTTTAAGTGTAATTAAAGCCGATATTTTCGAATACTTGGATTTTTTAAAACATTTTTGAAGTATCCTGTGGGATACCAACTCTGGTTTATCAAATGAGAGTCTAAACTAAAAATCCATAAATAGATACATTTTGGTTTTAAAATTTTCGATTTCGGTTAACTCGTTAATGAGATATTCTACTTTTAAGTTTAGGTAGGAGGAGATTAGTGGAGTATTATTTGTGTGGCGGCACGATACACGGCGTTTAATTAGTGTACCACTACTCACCCTTGAAACTTAAATATTTCAAAAATCAAAAATTTGAATATATGAAAAATTTAACCCAAAAAATTGGATTAGTGAATCACTCTGTATAACTCGATAGTCTGAATCTAAAAACTGCTAGTTAGCGGAAGAAATAATGGTTGCAATGAAAAAACAGACAGAAAGTCTTTAGATAAAAAATAAAACAGTTTATGCTGAAATCTTTAGCAGGTATTTAAACCTAGAACCATAATAATTGGTATTTATATTCCACAGACCGGAATCGAAATTATAATTTTCTAAGGAGCCGAACCCAACCTATAAAATCATTAAGGTTCTAGTTCCTAAATTTTTATTGAAATAATAACAGTGAAGTCTGAACATTTTAAATCAGATAATTATGTAAAAAAAATACAATCTATTTTCAGTTTCATGAAGGTTACCTGGACTGCTTATGAATACATACGATCTATAATTTCTTTGATTTTTGATGTAACTATACTGTATCTTCATGTACAAATTGTAATATTAAAATATACATTTTTTTTTCCAAATATTCAATAATTACAACGATAAATAGAATTTTTTTTTTTATAATATTTTAATATTTTCTTTCAATTTTGAATCGGCCAATAAACGAACGTTTATACGGTCACAGTCGGAATAATACCCCGCTGCTAATCATTTTAAACACTCTTTCGGAAACGCAGTATTCACATCGGCGTCGATCGGTTTAACAATAACGCATCCACGGGGTATCTAACGGGCACCGGCATCCAACAAGTTTACTAGTTTTGAATCCTGACAAAAAAAAACAAAAAATACATTATTGTCTCATTACCTTACGCCTTAGAATTTCAACAATGTTCGCGGACCATGTTCTGAAAAAAATAACACAAATCAGTGCTCGAATTGTGATTTATTAATTATTATGATTTTCACCGCCCCATATCTGGAAAAAAATTTAGAAAAGATTGGCAAAAGTTTAAAATACATGCGCGTATATATCTACCTGAAGATTTCAATAATAATTTTATAACAACGCCCATATTAAATAATTTTAATGGCTGCCGATAGAATAGTTTTGAAAAAAGGGGAGGGAAGTATCCTCGGACTCTCCCTATCACGATCCAAGCACTGGTTATTATATAATATTTTAATATATATGTAGAAGCTTGTTTGTATTTTATAATATCTGTTGCCTTATTATTTTTCATATTATACACGACTTAATAAAAAAATTAATTTCTGTAGCATTAAAGTTATATTTCCCCGAGAAATCCAAAGTAGGTATTATCCTGTGCATATAAACCGATGTATTTTTTTTTCTATTAGTAATTAGTCACGAGAATGAAAAAAACATAATTTTCAAAACGTAAAATGTTCATCACATAAGAAATGTGGAATGTTATTATTTTTTTTTTTTTAAATACATAAAGTAAAAACTAAAAAGACGAAACCGAATTCAACAACTTTTTTAATTAATATTTTCCCTCTTTTAAAGACGAAGAGGTACTCGATTTCATTGTTATTACTATTATTATTCTTTTTTTTTTCGAGATATTTAAAGACTAACTTGTTGTAATACAAAAGAATGTCGAAATGTTAGTCTTGAATTTTAAATATATTGTTTTATACGATTTTTTTTTTTTTTTTTGTTTTTCGTATTCATAGTACCTGCAGTGAAAATATTGGTCTTTACACTACTATACGTGTATCTTATTATACAACATTTCTTATACTACTTGTCATTGAATTCGATTTCATTATGATGAATAATATAATTTTTATTTTTTTGAATAGAATCTTAAAACGTTTTTCGTCGACATTTTCCCGGTAATACATAATATTGCAGTGTATTGTTTTATATACGAGTGTCTTTTTCTCGTTACTTTTGAACAATTTTAGCAGCTCCCTCTGGACGAAATGACTTAAAACTCGGGCATAATAGTTGTTGTTTTATAGCCTGATTTTATCTAGGAAAAATTGTATATAATTATATACACTTTCGCTTCAATTTCAATATGAGTTTCACCATGTCGTTGCTGGAGGAGGCTATTCTTTTAAATGCGTACACCTCTACAAACCTTCCAAATGAAGTCAGGGGGATGATATTTTGAATACTTGCGGCGTAAGTATTGAGAACATATCTATGGGAGGGGTTTGAAAATGGGAAAGCTGTGTGGATTTTAAACATCCTCAGAAAAAAAAAAAAATTCTGCTTGAGGCTTTTGAGTTCAAAACGCTCGATCCTCCTAGAAAGGGAATGTTAAAAATACACATCAGTAAACATCACTATACCTATGTATTCAATTCATTTATCGAGTAGGTATGAAGGTATACCTATGCAAATTATCATATTGTAGTATTTGAGTGTATTACGATATTATGAAAATGTGAATTATAACTGTTTAACAATTCCGGGAATAATGTATTATAATATTGGCCATTGATCTACGTTTAATGGAAATTCATCCTGTACGTAACTATAATTCATTTAACACAAAACTACTTGTATTATGTTCAATGATTCGAGAGAATTTATTACATCTAGCAATACTATTTCATCGAGGCACCTATTCGAGATACTGGTGACTATTGCAAATGGATATCTATACTGGATTTGAATAGGTTAAATCCTGTTACGTAGTATAGAAATAGGTAAATATAGGGAGGCTTAGCCATCCAAAATTATCCATAACTCCCTAAAATTATTATTCTAGTCCTCCCCTTTCGAAAATGATATGATCCCGAAATTAGAATGATCATTTACAGCTTATTACGTTTTTATGTGTCACAAAGAATGGGTACATACGTGGGTATAATACAAGTAACGATTTTTTCTTTTTTAGATTTTGAGTGAAGCAAGGAATGTATTGGTTTTACAATGATGTTTTTTATTTTTTTTTTTTATACGTGAACAACTTTTCTACCACCAGAAATCTCGCTTCGATTTACGATGATAGCACTTTTTCTGAAAGGAACTCTGACTGGGGAGGTAATTTAAGGAAGTCACTTTTTGATTTTCCCAATAAATGGGTAAAAACCAGAAAAAATATGGAAAACCGGGAGATCGGAAAAAAAGGTATACAATAATAAATAAATATTATTAAAGAAAAAGTTGTATATATATATATATATATATATATATATATATATACTCGTATTATAACGTTATGCATATATTTGAACTGTTATAAAAGCTTAGGTCTTGCAATATATTTGTGAGCTCCACCGGTTTGGCTTGGATGTTTTTTGCAAATTAAATTATTATTTTTTTACTGTTCTATATTTTGATGTCGAAAATGTATTTATTTGTGATTTCATCCAGCTGAGAGATTACAGAAGTATAGAAACTGTTATAAATGATTACAATATTTTTTAGAGATTGGGCCGAGTATTGTTTTTTTTCAAATCGATTCGAGTCGATCGTTTTAAATTTGCCAAAGTCGAGTCGAGTTTAAAAGTCGAATATTCAAAACTGTGCGAACACTAGAATAATATAAAGTGACTATATTGTAGTGAGCATTGCGTGTGGTTATACCGATCGGTAATTGGAAATGGGAAAACAATATGAATTCAAATATTGTTATCACACTACTATAAAAACAAAACAATAACAATCTCTTTTTGTAAATTCAAACCATCGATAAGGTATTCATGTCGGAAATATTTAGCTTTGAAAATTTACTTTCGAATACTTGAACTCCACTCGAGATTCTTTCTAAAATGGACCATTCGCCCAACACGAATAATAATAATACCTGATTATTAAGAGCAGAGCCTAAACTACATCCGATTTCAAGGGACGCACTTTTTAGTCCATTTAATAGTGTTGAAAGATTTCCATTATATCGATAAAAAAAATATTGTGGGAGTGGAGATATACTACGTCCCTTATTTATATTATTTATACGAATGTCGTACTAAAAATTATCAACAGAAATGAAATACATAATATTTTCACGAGTGAAAGTTCAAAAACATTTGACGAATACAAAACAGTTCAAAATGTATTGGTTAGATTGAGATCATTAGTTGAACGCACGTTATCAACTTTTGCTCGAGGAAAAACACCGCGATACCATTCTTGGGCGATGGTTATCTCGTGTACCGTGACGCGGTTTTTCGGTCAACCGTGACAATACGTCGTCGGATGACCGTGGTTTGCAATCCAATACTGACGGTATATTATTTATGTTTACACGCTATAGACGACCTTTCGTGTTGCGCAAGGAGAAACGACCGGATGTTTTTAACACGTTATGATATGAAACTAACTGTTCGAGGTTTATTCGTATGTGATCGATATGAGCGAGTTGTTATCAATTGAAATCGCGATAAAAAAAATTAAAAAAACGATGAGATTCCAAATAATTACCGTTATTACTATACAATCGAATCGAACATTGACACGTCTGAATGAAAACTCGGCGCGCACATTTCGTAACATTCAGGGGCCACGCCATTCTGGGTGCAGCGGTTAAAAACAAAACTGTCGTCGGAGACGTCATACGCCGTGCGAGATAACGCGTACGATACAAGGACACCGCTCCGCTCTTACGCGTCGTAAATATCCACGTGACACCCCGGACGAGTGATGATTACAATCCCCGATGTCCGTTACACGATGTTTATCTACGCCACCGTGTCTCTAAAACCAATAGCATATATCCAGTTATGGACAAAACAAAAAAACAAAACCCGACCGATTCCGTTGTATACATATAAATTCGGTACGCGTCGTTGACAGGCGATCTGGAAAAACGACGAACTTAACGGGCCGAGCACGCACCGACACACACGTGACACGGTCTCGACGAAAACCGTATTTTTTTATTTTATTTTTTTCAAGACGATATATGTATTTTTTTTTTTTTTAACAATATTCCCGCGATTGACGCAGGGCGGACACGCGTTCACAGTCGAATTTTCCACGTCCGTAATACCGTATACAGTAGTAAGACGAAATTGTTTTTTTTTTTTTTTTTTTGTTTTTTTTTCATTTCATTTTTTTTTTCCGTTTTCATTTTTTCCCCGTATCTTTTTCGTTCTCCGTTTATCCGGACGGACAACGACGACGACGAAGACGACGGCGGTGGCGACGGCGGCGGGTCTCCAAATCGTTTTTCGCGCGTCTCGCGCTCGAGCGCCGCCACTCGGTTCGAAAACCAACCCCTTGTCGCGGGCACCGGCGCGCCGCCGTACGTTTCGGCCGAGGGTCGCCAGCCCGTCCGATACACGCGCGCACAGTTACGTTCCGCACGCCGTCTCGCGATAACCGAACCCGTGGACACGACCGCGGCGGCCCGTCTACCGGCGTATACCGCATTCGTGGTCTAGCGCGCGCAAGCGAACACGTCGTCGCCGTAGGGGAAAGGAAACTGAAAAAAAAAAAAAACCCAACGAAAACGATCGTCGCGGCATTGTGTCCCGTCGTCGTCGCGTGTCCGTCCGGGGTCCGGCGATAACATATCATCGTCGTCGTAGCGATAACACCGTACAACGGTAGGTAACGTGCATACGCGGACGACGGTTCTGGTCTTATCGAATTCGGTACGCGTTACCGGACGTCACCGACTGTAAACCGGATTGAAAATAATCGCGACGGAATCGAATCGTCGCGCGCCATGGTCGGCCGCGTGACGGCCGTCGTCGCAGCCGCGCGTCCCGTCGACGAGAGCCGCCGAACAATGACCGCCGTCGGACCTGTGGAACCCGCGCAGTGACCGCCAGTGTCCGTCGACACAGTATCGCCAGCGGTTTCAGGTGAGAATAAATTACGAATTTTTTTTTTTTTTTTTGTGATATTTCGCACGAATTTTTTCGACTGTCGTTTCGAGTTTTCGGCCCGGCGGCCTTCAAAACGATATCACCGCATAAAAAAAAAAAAAGCGTGCGTGCCTATAGTACTCGATAAATTCGTGTCGTAACGGGCCCGCGGATATCGGCGCACTTCGCGTTGTTCTCCAAAGTTATCGGCTAGTCTACCGATTTACCAGTTTCTCGCGTGCTCGTGTTTTTGAAAATCGGCGTTTTTGAATTTTCGGTCTGCGTTTTTTTTTTTTTTTAAAGCAATACAGCGTTCTTCGAGTTTTTCGAGTTTGAGAGGTGTTCGGTATCACAGTGTTATACTAGAAATGTGTGTTTTTCCGTTATCTGTTGAACAGATTTTCGACCGGAAGATTCGTTCCCCGTCGGTACGTTGTCAATGGTAATTTTTTTATTTTATTTTACAAAAAAATTATCGTAATTTTTAGATATTATTTTCGTTTTGTATTTCAAAACGATTTTGTCTGTCATGTATCTATTTATGAACGCTCGAAAACTTGACACGAGGTTAGGTAAGTGTTAATCTTACGGGTAAAAAAAAAAGTTCTGTTTTTAATGTCAACATTTTTATTAATAAGCTTTTGAAGATTATACGTTTTTACTAGATTCGTAAAAATTGCGAAAAATTGTAAATGCATTTCTTTTGTTTTTGTTTTTTTATTCTTAATTAAAAACGTATATGGTTTCCATTTTAAATTCAGCAAAAACAAATTATTTTTGACGGAGCGCTACTCGGATTCGTATTCCAATTGCGCACACCTAAAAAAGTGGCCTCATACCCTGTGATGTTCTCATACATTTTTTTTTTAAGTATACCTTAACATTATACTTGCTTTACATCGAGTATTTTATATTTTCCGTACGACTAAAGGGAAATAAATGTCGATTTACGAAAATTTAATTAAAATTTCCGAAATAAAACATTCGAAATATATATATATATATAAAAAAAAAATATTTCGTAAACCGTAAGAATATTGTGAATTTTCAGTTAGAATCATTGGAATTAACAATAAATATTATATTACGGTTTAAATGACGTAAGACGATATATGAACGGGCAAACGGGCAACGATAAATATATTATGTGGGGCATCTATCACGAACAATTTGCTTTTCTTTTTTTTTCAATTTGACTATTTCGACTATCGAAACAATTTGACAGTCGGTAACTAATTTCCAACAAAATGTTGAAACGTTTCTATAGGACGGGAACACCGTTGCCTACACCCGTCGAAACGACGTTACGGGCTCTGTTTTCGACCCGTCTTCTCGGATAATGTCCAAGACGTCATAACACAACAACTCGGTACGATAATCGCGGTTCAGTCGGCCGATTAATTTATCGACGCGTATGGTTCGCGTGTTTTCGGCGCGTCAACAACAGCGGCGCGGAAACGTGTACTCGCACAAAACTCGAATACCCGGTTGACGATTTTACGGGAAACGAAAAAAACGCGCGTTTATCCTATTGGAAAAAAAAAAAACAAAACAGATTTGGATTAAAAAATACCGACGGTCCGAATAACATAAACGCTCGGACGTCGTAATTTATTGTCCGCGCGCGTGTGTCTACCGTTAGACGTCGTAAAAAAAAAAAAAAAAAAAAAAAAAAAATCATCCCGAGTATTTAATAATCGACGCGGTATATAATAACAATTATTTAAACTGTACAGAGTCGAACGCCCTGGGATCGAAGTCGAAACGCCGCGTTCGTTGTGAGTAGACGGACCGATATAGGCGGGTATAATGCCCGAAGAGTTTCAAAGTTTATCGAGAAACAACAATATAAAAAAAAAAAAAAAAAAAAAAAAAAAATAAATAAAAAAAACGTAAAAACTTAATTTATACACAAGTAAACACGCCGAATCGTTTGATTGTTAATTAATCCCGCGGTAATATACTCGGTAAGGAAACACACAAACCCTATACCGTTTAATCGATTTCTCGCGACGACCGGCGTTTAAAACTATTCCCGTACTTATCCGGATAGTTAACGAAAAAAAAAAACAAACAAACACATAAAAGTTTCGTTTATTTACCGAACGGAAATCGGGCATTTGTTTATTGCCGCAACCGCTCCAACATCCGTTCGGTCGCCGCCGCGATCCGGTACATTATTAATATGTTTATCTCAATTATTATTATTCATATTATTATTTTTAATTTTTTGTTTTTTTTTTTTTCCGTTTAACCAACAGATTTCCCTCGCCGCGGACCCGTTCGAACGTACCGTAAACACGCCGCCGGCGTCTGGCTCGCGTCCGAAACGATAATTAACATACGTTTTCGTCTGCAGTGTACCCGATTAACGTCAATTATTCGAACGCCGCAGTACATAACAGTACGCAGACTTAATAATATGATAAACGATTCATATCGGAACACTCGGGGACCCTGGGGTGCGGAAAAATGCATCTGTGGCACAAAATATTAGATTGTATGTTAATGTATTGTTTTTTGTTTCGCGCGCCGCAACACTATCGGTTCGATACAATTTCTTTATTAAATTTAAACGGTTTGATAACTTTCGGTTATTTTTAAACCGGAAAGAAAGGTTCGGTTTGATAAGTTTCAGCGCCGGGGAATATTTTTTTTCTCTCGGTGACTTTATCCCCCGCGCGCGAGTTTGACCAAACATTCCCCCTTAACTTTTTGACTGTTTCCGGTCACTCCCGTGGCAACACCGGCAGTATTTTTCCGTGAGAAAGCAAATGTGTTCGTTACAATATCGACTGATGCCCGACAATTTACCGTTTACCGTTTTTTAGCGGGCGCGCGCCGCAGCAGACGAATCCCAACTTTTCCCAAGCCGTTCGATTTGACTCGGCCTTGCGTATCCGTTTGAACGCGGAAAATCTCCGTAATAAAAAAAAAAAACGCTCCGTCACTGTTATACCTGTACGCACTGTAGAATGACTAACGTTCGGTTTTACTCGTATTAACGTTTGGGGGGGGGGGGAATCGCGCGCACACACACATTACGCGATTCGATATACGATAATATGTAGTTCGGTTAAATCGTTCCGGAATTATTGTTTTAAATATTCGGGGTGCGGGCGGCTGAAATGAAAATACCTGTTTTAAAATAATTTAGAGTTTCGAAAACGTTCGAATAATTTTTTATCGGAAACTAGTTTGACGTAATAAAATATTACATTATATACGCAAAAACGTTGTTTTTGGGGGAAAAAAAAATATACATATATTTACGTGTTTTAGTGTAATTTAAACGTATAATACTGTTGTACATAGGTAATTTAACATTTTCCTATCCGATTGTTATTATTTTTTATTTATTTTTTTTTATGGCTTTTAAAAATAAAAACTCGACTTGGTACCTATTTGGTGTGTTGTTCGAACGCGATACGGTTTATTAATGTTTTTGAATTTAAATTCAAAATACGAGTTTACGAACTAAACCGATCGACCGACGAAGAGGTTATAACAATAATAATAATAATAGTTTATAACATTAAACGTTTCTGTATACCTTATTACATATCTGTAAAACGGAAAACGGAAGGACAAAATAAACGCAAAACGTATTCATTAGTGGCACAAACAAAAATACCTAAAGTACCCTTTCGGTCGATTCTGTCGCGGGGCATAACACTTCGAATATTAAAAAAAATTATATAATCCAAATTTACATTTTGGGTGGTCAAATTATGCTAAAACCATTAGTTTTAGCCTCGAGAAAAATTTAAATAATTATCGTTGGATGACGTATAATATGTAATTATTTTTCGTGCAGTTATTATAGGCATTTTTTAATTTTTTTTTTGGTTTTACAGGTGGGATGAAACGCCCGTTGAGCAAATAATAATAATAAAAAAAACCATTAGATAATTTAAAAAAAGTTATTATTATATAGAATTATAATGTTTCCTTTTTCACCGGAATGTTCTGTAAAATTAGCAGTTCGCTAAATTTCATTTACGTAGCTATTTTTTCATTAACTAGGAATATATTTCGTAATTCGTTATTTTGAGAAACGATTCATTTATATGGCCGCGTAATCGAATCAGCAGCGTCGGCATAACTTTAAAAGAATTATCTTTTTTTTTCTGTTGACAATTTGCCGCATTGGTGTATTAAAAATTGAAAAATCCGAAGGGAGAAGAACGGAGAAATTAGAGTTCATTAAATTCGATTTCGTTTATTTGATTCGATAAAAATCATTATAATACTCGTACTATTAACTTGAATGTCGTTTGTCAACAGCTCAACGCTATTTTTCATTAATTAAATTCAAGTCTTAAACGTTATCGCGAAGAACAAAAATCTGATTGCCTAAGACCACCTTGTAAGGCCTCATTAATAACTCAATACTTTAGCGGCACGGGCATCCGCTGAACGTGACGAAAACAAATTAACCGCGTTATTCGAAAGGAAAATATCTCGAAAAATATATTTTTACGAAACGGATACGGAATAAGATTTGGAATTCATAACGTGAAATTCTAGCAAACTCGCTAAGAATCGCTTCGAAACGTCCATAAATAACAATTTTTGAATTTCCGAATTCCGAGACCGTTCGGTCCGGAGAAACCACCGCTCAAAGTGTTCAAAAATAGCAGCCAAAGATAATAGTGTGTAACAAACAACAATTTTTTTTTTCTGATGGGGGAGGAGTAAAATTTGAAAGATGCAAATTACAGTTTGTCGACTCTCGCGAAAAAAAATCAAGGCTTTTCGCATGGCTAGACAAGTTAATGATTTTTTTTATTCAATTCAGTTAGGTTAAATTTAAATTTAAATAAAGTCAATTCAAAATAATTTATCAATTCAACCTTAAGTTAGAAGTTCACCGAAAGTTAAAATTAACTTTTTAACTCGAGTTAAGTCAATTAACAAAAAAATGTACATTTGTTTGTCGATTACTTACTATAATATACCGGCAACCCCCAACCGGCGACAACAGTAAAAAAATAATTGGCATTAATAACAATTCGTATTCTAAAATATTCATAATATATTGATCACGCATAATAATAATCATGTATTTACGTATAGAATACGTATACATACGAATAGAAATTGAAATCAACTTGAATGGTTCAATTATAAAATTAACTCTAGTTAAATAAAAGTTAATTACCATGTGTTTCTCGGGCTAACAATTTAGTTAATAGTTCGAAAAAAAAATGAATTTATCAAGTTAAACATATTAACGCCCAGTCTCGGTGTTTGATATAATATCATACGCGCGTATCGACGAGCGGCGAACGAATAGCCGAAGGACCGAAAACGAATTCGCACGTATACGTATAGCCTATTATTGCGTGCTGAGGGCCGTCCCTTATGTTTTTGTTTCTCGCGGACAAGAGCGGGGCGCTGCAGTCATGGCTAGGCGGAGAAAAACAACTTATCGGCTGCCCGACCCTGAAAAGTGTGTGACAAATATGCCACTAGTTGCGGTTCGCCGTTATTATGACGACGCGGACACGGACGAGTACCGAAACTTAATGAGGAAATCCGTCTCGTAAGCATCTATGCATTGTGTATTAATGACAATGTTAATATACGGCCGTACACAGTTATCGTGTATTGTATAGTAGAAAATATTGATGTATCTCTTAGACCCCCTCCCCTCCGTATACTGTACAGCCGGTGTAGTTACAACACTAGTGTAGGTTCGTTGCCGTAGAACAGGATCGGAGGGGACCGCGATAAAAAACCCGGGCGCGCAGCCGTTGTCGGTGGGAAGTTGGATAAGTGTCCCGTACGTACGGAGCGATTTAATTTATACATCTTCTGTACGCGATGACGACAAATCGTAGCCTGCGATTCTGATCGACGATCGACCAAACGCGTAATGAAATGTCGCGAATGTTTTACGTTTCCGTCGGTAATTCAAACGACAATATCGTAAGGTAAAAAAAAAATTCATACCATTAAGCACGACTTTCTTTTAACATAAAGTACGACTTGTGACAATAAACCTCTAGTACCTGTAGTTTTACTTTAGTAAAATTGTCCTAGTATTTATGGTCGGTCGAAATAATTTCGTCTGCGTAAAAAAAAAAAGTTTGAAAACTAAAATTACTCGAAAATCTAAAAAAATGTCTACATTGTGTAGTTCTACGATTACTATGATGTTCGCAATAAATTTTACCGGATTGTATGTCTACAGAAAAAGCCGATGCGAGGGTTTCGTAAAACCTCTATGATAATTTTTAAGCAAACTACAGCAACTCCTACATCTGCATAAAACAAAACCTAAAGTATTGAGACCGTACATTTTCCCGGTTTTTTCTGCGTACGGGTTTTTTTTCCGATTGTTAAGAGAAAATCGCTTCAGAAAACTATCACCTGGACGCGACAACTAGATCGGAAATCCTGCACGGAAGTTATTATTATAACGTGTTTGATGGGGACAAGATTTCTGGTAAAAACGCTGTTTACACGGTAAAAAAAAAAAAATCATACATCATTCCGTAACCGATACATAGACTATGAGTTCTTGCTTCGCTCAGAGTCTCAAACAGACAAATTCCTCGAGTTCGCTCAGAGTTTAAAAAAAAAAAATCAAAACTACGGAATCCGATCATACCGTTTTCGGAATAAACTCGACGGCCGTCGCCGTTGGCGATTCGTAACGTTTAGTTTTTCGCCGACTATGAACATCATATTATATTGAACGCGTACCTAACCTAAGCGTGTTTTTTTTTTTTTTTTTACCGGTAAACGGCCCACACATTTGCACGGTCCTATAGGAAAGTTTTATTTCTAATTTTTTATTATTTCTTTTTTTTTCCGTATCAGTCACTACACGTACGGACGTCATTGTTTCGCATACGTATATACATATATTATTATAATATCCACGTAAAACTTTCGCAAAACGTGCAATTAATAAACCGACGTGTACGACGCAGAACGGTTAAAACTTTTCTGTTTTTTTTCCCCCCCACCCCGTATTAAAAGTCCGAAAATAAATCTAACGCGTAATGTACAACAACGTTCGGTAATATCATCGAACGGGTTTCGCGCACGGCGGTTGTATTTCATTTCGATAAAACACCACGCGGCAAACCCCCGCCGACCGTTATAATATTACCGTCGTCGCGTAGATGTCCCGGCGAAAAAAAAAAGAAAATGAAATAAAAAAAAAAAAAGTCCCGGTCGAACGACGGCCGCGTCGCTTATTCGTCGGCGAGCGGCGCAACAGCTTTCCGAACGGTTTTATTGCGAAACAACATCCGAAAACCAACAACCGTTTTCAATGTACAGGCACACCGCGCGCTGAATATGTACTGCAGCCCGGACAATAATTTTTGGGCCGGGGGAAAAATACGTTTCAAACTTTCATGCTGCTGTACAATATACTCTCATTGTAATGCTAATAATAAATTTGATTTTATTTTGAATTTGTTTCCGAATTAATTAATTTCGAATACGTATTAAAACATGATGCAATATACGTATTTATACGCACCGCGGGGTGGGCGGGGGAGCGGGCGGAGAAATAGTTATACAAAAGTCTGGCGGGTACCGATATAATATAATATTTTATTTTTATCGGAGTGTTCAACAATTTAAAAAAAAAAAAAAAAAACTTTTTAATATACAAAAAACTATCCGCGTCCGGAGTAGTTTCCGCCGTATTATATTCAGAGCGCGTATTTTATTAATCGATATTATTTCAACGGAATTTTTTGTTTTTTTTTTTTTTTTTCGTACGCACGGGCAGGCCGTATACAAAAAGACGCCCTCAGAAATTTTCACCCGGGGGTAGAGGGGGGGCAAGTTGTATACGATATATATATATATATATACACATGTGTACAGCCATAACATATTGCAGTACAACTACTTCGTGCGCGCTCGAAACAAGATAAGCCGACAATCATGTGAATGTGATACTATAGAATATACATATAGATCGCAACATATTATCTACACCATGATCACCTATTCAATTTTTCACGCGCATATTCCTCGGGACCCGTCTATTCGTTAATGTTACGGACGCAACAAACGCGGAGTTTAATAAACAACAATGATTTTCTCGGGTAAAAAAAAAAAGTTTTTAAAAAAATTATAAAAATACATCGGAATTGGCCGTAAAAGCGGGCATCTGTAGATTAATAAGACCAATAAATAATATTATTTCGATACGTATTTTTTTTTTTTATCCCTGCGTATAGTGTTATTACATCGTGAGTTTCAAAAATTTCTTTTTTCTCAATTATTCAACACGTTAAATTTACCGTATAAATTATTCGTAATATTTGTATTGAGGACCTTCGAGAAAAACAACGTTCTTTATATTACTATGTAGGTATTTTGTTTTTTTTTTCCAGAACAATAACGATATTTGCAAACAAATTGTTCGTTTTGCATGCAAATTGTCGTTTTAATGTATACAATTTAAATCTTGCGGGCGAATACATTGGCGTATATATTGGAAATATTATCATTACGGGACGTCGTACAATTACTGTACTGATAAGATCGAACGCTATACGTTGTAATGTATGTATGTGTGTGTTTATGTATATTCTCACGCGGAACGGTCTGCGCAGTATTGGATCGTGTGAAATATTCTATAACCGCTTACCGAACGGCACGAAATTATCGTGTAAACATTGTAATATAATACAAAACGCGAGCGCGTATACACGAGTCATCTCAAATATTACATTTAAGGTTATTTTTTTTTTTTATTTTTTAATCCCGAACAAACACCCCGTATAGTACAACGCACATACACATAGCAATATTTATTTTTTAAATTGAAATTTTCGAATACCGTTTTCTTCCCCGGGCTTATTATTATTTATATTTATTATATGTATAATATATATAGCACTGTACCTCACTCGCGTGCCAAATTAAATCCCCGTGGTTGTGACCACCCTCTCTCTCTCCAACCATCGCCACTACCATCCCAAGTTTCGGATCTACAAATCACGGCACCCGGGGCAAAACGCAATATTAGTGTCCTACAACAGTTACAGACCTGCAGACCGAAAAATTGTACATTTTTTTTTCTTTTCTCGCTGTATAATTTGCGCTCTTCCACGGTCAGCGTCCGGGAGAGATGCTCCTGATCGCCCCCTCTAAATCCGACGCCTCTTTTTTAAACCTGACCTACACGCAGTAGTTTTTAATTTAATTTAAATGTATTTATTCGACGACGACGCGTACATTTTTTTACACAATCTCTACACCTAGACATCTGTATCCGGACAATTCGACTTTACGCAGTGAACCAGCCGTACCGCTCGCGTGTAACTGATCGATATAACGTCGAAAACCGTGCTTCGACCGCTTGGTTTTCAGAATTTAGGAATCGAACCCTCGGAATACCGATTCGCCGACAAGTCGTTGTATCATGAAATAAAAAAAATAATTTTGACGACCAAAGCTGAACATTTTTATTTTAATTGAAGAGCGAAAAAACCAACAGTGTTCGGGCTTAATCTCATAGAACAAAAAAATGCAATCGACGTCTTAAAATAAAAATAGAAAATTAGAAAAAAGCCTATCATTTGCAAAAGGAAGGTATAGCGTTTATACATTTGAACGGCGTATATAATTATTCATTTTTTCTTATAACGTTTCAAATCACAACTTTAGGCTACACAATGTAACGAATTGTACTATGGAATAATCCTTTAGAAAACAGAAGCTTGTAAGGTTAGGTATTTTTGATTTGGATAATGTTCGTGGTTTATACGAATAATTTAAATGGATAAAAAAAAAAATTATGTTTTAAATGCAATTATGTTTTCTGAGCATAATTTATTTTGAACTAAATAATTTTATCGGGTGTCGGCCAATCGATACGACACGACGAAAACAGACTTGCAGACTTTCGCGTTAGGTATATAATATCGTGCGACGGCGTTCTAAATGTAAAGAGGAAAATAAAACCGTACCGTAAAAACTGGGTTTCTCGACCGACGATCGCGGTAATAAACGAAGTATAAATAATTATCGCGCCGCCGACATTGTGTAGACTGGACGGTCGTTATGTGACATTAAACGGTCGGGGTAAAAGTTCGCAGGGGATAAAAACACAATATGCTGTTTACGCGTTAAATCCACAGGTACGAGGGAAATACAGGGATTTGCCCGAAATCTCCGATATCCCGTATTCTCGCGTTTAATGTGCGTGCGCAGGGCAGGACGGAAATTTTGCGCTGTCGTCGGTTGATAACTGCACTGTATACATACAGAGGGAGAAAAAAAAACCCGGAGTCGGTGCAGATAAGATCGCGGTAAAAGTCGGCACTCCGCCGGCTTTTTGGAGGGTGTCACTTTCGTGTACCGCGAGGACCGGCTATAGCGGCCGATCACCAGACGATTTCCGTGGCTCTTGCCATTTCCGCGGGGCACCGAATGTCGAACACGAATTCCGGTAAAGATCCCGTACAATGTCATATAGATAGCTGTGGTTTACGGACGTATAGTATTGTACGATTGTACCGAAAAAAAATTTGCGGACATTTTGGCGATTTCTTGGGTCCGGTCGACACGGGGAAATTTGCTTTTGCTGTGAGGGGGCAAGGGTACGAATGAGCGTTTCGATAACGGCCGTACAAATTCATAATTGCAGGGTGGGTGCTGAAATGATCACACGAAATCGTTCAAATGATTTGTACTGAATGATTTGGCCCGAAAATCATTGGTCGAGGTGTTTATGATGCGACTTGTTCGCGGAGATTTTAAGTAAAATTGAATTTTTCAGTTGTCATGCAATTGATTTAATGATATCGCTTGCAGTTTTTTTTTTTTTACACTAAACCTTTAAATACCGTTATGAACGCGTGTCGGCTTTTGATTTATATAGCGATCCCCACGGCTTCGGAAAGGGAATACGGAGTACATTTAAATGGAAATAAAAGTGTGTGCGTATATTCTACAACACGACGACGAACGCGGAATAAAATAATCGGAAATCGAATTCGTTCGAAATATCCGTACGTGGAGACGGTGATAATCGCCCTGTATACCGGCCGTACAGACGATACTCGTCGCCGCCCCGCTGATCCGTCGTTCGGTCGACGGGACGGTGGCGGAGAAACGGAAAAGTTTCTTGACGCGCGGCGGCGACGGTCGACCTCAATGGAATTTTAACTGCTTTATTTTACCCGCGAGTCTTCTTCGCGCCACCTCTTCTGCAGTCCGTCTCCACCCGGCGGCGGTTATGGCAGCGTTGGTGACGGTGATGGTGTTGGCGGCGTTGGCGGTGTTTACACGTCCGCAATAGTGTGTTTTTGTCGTGTATATAATATTAGCGGGAATTAATAAAAACCGCCGGCCCTCCATCCGCGCACGGCTCTAGGGCGGCACGAAAACAAAACATAAAAAAAAATTAAAAAAAAAAAAAAAATAAACCCCCGAAAAAAACGAAAAGAATATAACGAGCACCGCCACCGCCGTTTTAATAAGGAAAAACAACACGGCACCGAAAAAACTGCCGGTTGACACGTGAAATTAATATGTTTATTAATTTCGTCGTTTTCGTCGGTTAATTGGTACTCGTCCGGGCCGCCGCCGCCGCTGCGGTCTCTCTTTTGTTACGACAATATGTACGCAATAATAATAATAAAAATAATAATAATATTGTACAAGTGCGTATAGGGCTCGGTATTCGCGGCGCACTAAAACTGCGTGGGGCGGTAACCGTAGGTAGCGGGTCTAATTAAAACACTCGTTTTTGTCTTTACGGCGGTCCCCGGCAAACAAACGGTCGTATCCCCCGAGGATTTCGCGATGACCAAGGGCGGGCGGGGCGGCCGTTAGAAAAGCGGGGCGCCGGAGAACAATGGCCGGGCGCGATTCGAGCGACGGCGGTACGGCGGCAAAGACTATACGGCAAAAGATGACGGCGAGGACGGCGAATGATGCTAATTGAAACCGCTCGACGGCGGCGGGCGATTTTAATTGTGGCCGTTTAAGTGCGCGGAATACTTTCGGTGGAGAGGGTTGAAGGGGGAGGAGAAGGACCGGAAATTATAAATTAATAATCTCGGGGACGGGCGGGCGGCGCGACGAATGTGGCGGAACGAATTGTATTTTCTGCGGTATCGAAGGCGAAGGAAATGTATCTGATTCACAGAGAACAATACGGTTTGTAAAAAATGAAAAAAACCGTCCCGGACAGTGAGCATAGTCGAGTACGTAGAGTCACCTGTATCGTACCGTAATGACCACAGAACGGACCCAAAAACCTCGGGCGACCGGCTTTACTGAGCAAACGACGAGAAAATTATTTTTTGATTTTCCAAAGTTTTCATAATAATTTGAAAAACCTAAGGAAAATAGGAATTGCGGGAAAGTTTACGCTATTAATGGTTTCGTTATTTTCGCTTTTGGTTTTTCGTCGTAAATCAGTTAAAAATATTATTTTAGAGATCTGAAATTTTCATAGCATTTTGAAAATCAGTCTTTTTTAAACGTAATATACTTTTAAAATAATTTTAGTGTTTTGTTTTTTATAAACGTAATATACTTTTAAAATAATTTTAGTGTTTTGTTTTTTATAAACGTTTTAAGATAAAATTTTACAAAAACCCTAAGAATTACAGTCTTTCAAAACATTTTTCTACACTGTAGACGCATTTAGTATGTGGTTTTGCCGTAAGCCGATCGTCGAGATTCGTGATGTATTAAAGATACGAACAATGAAGAAGTTTTCAAAAGATTTGGGAGAAAAAAAACATTTTCGTTAATTTTAAAAAATAAAAAAATAGCAGCGGTGAATTCGATTAAACCGCAATAGAAGAATACCAAGAGTGGAATTCTAAGGACACAGCCGAATGGAAAGTTATCTAAAGTTGGGAAGGATACGGGTTTTGACAGAGAAGCGTATGGAGAGCTGCAGCCAACCAACCGAAAGATTGAAAACACCGCAGGAGACGAGTAGAAAAAATATCACGTCGGAAAATTTTTCCTCTTTGAACGACTGTGAAACGTCGGCTAGACGTTTTCTCGATACGTTCACCTCTTTTGCATATTTTTGTAATTTCCGACCTTATTCGTTATACGTATAATATTTTAGTTTAACGAGCCGTATCATACTCCGGTATAAGACTTTCCTTCCCCCGTCCGTTTTTATTCGATCTTTTTACGTTTATTTCTCAGACTTTCTAAATCAACCGCACGCACAAATTACGCGCCCTCTGCCTCTCTGCGTTAAGTAAAAGTATTTGGTGTCTGTCCACAGTGCGCCGTTTACGTTGACGCAACCGTTGGAACAGTTGAGTTAATTACTTATTACTTGTCATACTTCACAACGAGTTCATTTAAAAAAAAAAAAAATAAATAAATGTACGACTTTTCAGACATATACTGCAGCTACACAAGAGTTTGTTGCAGCTCTCGGGCAAAAGTTATATATATTTTTTTTATTATTATTTATCATTTCCATTGCTTGCGCCGCCACCGCCGCTGAGTTTCTCGTGAAAGTAATAAAAAGAATAAATCATCGCAGTTTTTGCAAATATGACAGGTTAAGGCAATATTCAAAGATTTACTTTTTGCTCGCGTCCTAAATCCAAAACCATTATCCATTTTATGTTTTCTCTCTCACTCTGTCTGCAGCTCTTATATACATAAGTACGTTCTCTTTACTTTTTTTTTTTTGCTTCACCGACTAGTACCGATGTTAGACAGCAGTAGATTGATGCGATTGAATTAACTGTATGTATACACAAAATAATAATTGAACATTTAGATTTAGTTTCGACTTTGTTCAAATATTTTTAATGGGATACACTTAACGGTTATTAGATGTAAAGGTGAAATAATTTATATAGGCAGGGATAGAAAGATTTTTTAAAATGAGGATTTATGTATATATATGATCAGTGGCGTGCATACAAGGGAGGGGTTTTCGGGCATTGCAACATACATTAGATAGTAGATACATGTGTAACAAGTATTACGATACAAGATACTCGATACTTACTCATTTCCCTCCGCTCCAATAAAAACTACAATTAATAAGGGGACTCTAAAATTTAATAAAAAGTAACAGAGGCGCTTGGTGTCTCGCGAGTAGGCTTATAATAGTCGAAAAACCTAAGTACCCTATCACGAACGGACGGAACGTTAAAAAAAAACGTTACAAAGTGCTTAAGTAATTTGAGTAAATGTACACAAACGTTTATTGTATATTTTTCAACCTAAGTTTATTAAATATTTAATTACCAATATTTGAAAACGTTTTCGTTATACGGTAGAATACAATATTTCTTTCCGCGACGGTAAAAAATACATTGCAATGTCATTTATAAAAGAAATTTTAATTTAAAATCGTAAATAAATATTTTCCAAAAGATTACCGTTCGGGAAATTTCGTGTTTAAGGATACAGTGTCCGAGGCTGAGTATAGGTAATCGGCGCTTTTCAAAATCGATTCGATTCGGAAAAAATCACGTCTTGTCGTGATCACCGTTAACGCGTTTGCTTCGACCGTGTAGGTACATAGCGTAAAAGGCGGAAAAAGCGACGAGGCGTCGCGTTCGTCAGTGGCGGTTAACCGTCCGAGGGGTGAAATTAAATTTTTCGTTCGCGTATCGTCCGCCACGCCGATCGTTTCCGGTCGGTTGTGTCTTCCGTCGCATCCATCCGGTCGCGTGTATCACGCTTCTTCCCGCGTACCCTCCCTCCATTCCACCGTACCATACTTCCCAAATACATTTTATATATAATAATAATAACAATAATAATAATAATAATAATAATAATATGTAATACGCGTCTGTGTGTGCAATGCGGCCGCACGAGTCGTTCCGACCCTTTTTGTCAACGTTATTTGACGATAGGTGTACGCCGTAGCAAGAGTCGGGAGCAGCGGTATTTCGACGCCGCCGGAGGCTCGCAAATCTTTGGACGGTTTTGCACACGCGCGTATATTGAAAAACCGAAATTCACTTCCACGCGTGCAAGACGGTTTTATTAAATCTCCATTATGAAAAAGAATGACTGCCTACCAGTTCTTCTGTATACATAATACATACACATATATACACACATACACCGTCGTCACCGCGTCACTACTACGACCCCTCACTATACTACCCTACCTCTCGCCCTTCCACCGTGCACACATACGGTCGCGCTTACACACATGCACATATGACTATACGGATACATGCATATTGCATAAAACGGCTGCAGGTACTACACGCATTCTGCATCGGGTTCCCCGCATCCCTCCCCCTCAACCCCCAAACTCCTAGATCTCATGTATATTGAATGCGGTATACGGTCGCATTCGTGCGGAATTTCCGACCCACGTACAACAATACACGGTTCCCGCGGAGGAGTGGAAACGTATGGCATTGTAGGGTACACACTGTATACATAATAACGTATAACGGACAAGACGTAGGAGGTGGATCAGTTACGAGTTTTCTAAAAGCGCATCACAATGCCCGCTGTGTATAGGTACCTACCCGCCGCGCGCGTATTCTTGGGAAAATTGTGTTTTAAATTTTTTATACGTAGGTAAATGCGCGCCGCGCGGCGATCGTCGAAACTCCGCGAAGGCAGCGGCAGCGGCCACCACCATTATTCAGTTAACGAAATTATTATTACTTACATTTTTTTACGATCGTACACGTATATCTTGTAAAACTAATAAAAAAAAAAAAAAAACCCCGTTATATAGCCTTTCGAATCCCAAACCACTTTCTAGTAGTATATTTACCTACTATAGCATTTATAAAACGTTTCTCACGTTTTATTCCGTTTAAGTTTTCATTGAATAACGGTAAGTTTTGTTATTAAAAAAAAAAAATGTTTAAAAGATTTTTTAAACCTACTTTATAACTGTTAACGTATTCCAATTTGCAAAAAAAACGGTTTAAGTCTACGCTCCTGCTAATAATAATGTTATTGCAATTTTAATTTGTTCCACGCTGGCGTATTCGTAATAGGAATATTTTTTAAATTAATATAAACAAAGCCGACAGTGAGTTTTAAAGGTATAGGACAGAGGGTAATTTAGTTTATACATATGTTTATCGAAAGCAACCATAAATCAGCGCAATCAACAATTATCGCTATTATAGACTGTAATAATAATAGCTGTTTTTCTTTCGAGTTAACGCAGAAATTATCATAAATTAAAATCGGGTATCGACATTTGCTTTAGGTACTTTAATATGTTTATACAAGTTGTTGGGAATTTAGAAAATATGTTCAACTAAATTTCGGCCGTTCAAAAACTCCGTATTTTTAAATAAGTGTTTTCCGAGAAAAAAAAATACATCTCAGTAAAACTATAATAGCTTATTTTTTGTTATTCTCAGAAACTGAAAATAAAATGTAACTATTTACAAATTTTCGGAACAGAAAAGAACAAAAATTCGAATAAAAAAAATAATTGAGTTTTTTTTAGTCGTTTTTTGGTATTATGTGAATAACAAAATGGTTTTGGCCCAAACGAAATGCTCCAAAATTTTTTCCTGAGGTTTTTTCATAAGTTATAATCAGTGATAAGAAACATAATGCGTTTAACCGACTTTTAGTATTTCGTGGGCAATGATTTATCGTTGCGCAAAGATATAACTCGATTCTATCTTCCCAATTTTTTTTTTTTAACTTTTTGTATTAATTTTCAACTGTAGAATCTTTTCTAAAAGTAAATTGTTGAACTATTTATAGACATTTGATATTTTCGCGGTTTTCATTTTTATTATTCTTATTATTATTGTTTTTAGATCCTGAGTGGAGCGAAGAATGTATTGGTTTTACAACGGTGTTTATTTTTTTTTTCTATTTTATGTGAACACTTTTTCTACCAGAGATCATACTCAAATATTTTCAAATATAGCGCCTTTTCTGAAAATATATCTTTCCTGGGGGGTACTTTAAAGAGGTCATTTTTTGAAATTTTCATTAATATTCGAAATAACGAGAAAAACCTGGTTATTTAGGTTAAGAAAGATTGAAAAATTAAAAATAAGTTTTATCTTTGGCAAACCGTTTTTATTAATTTTTTGCTGTTATTTAGTTTGTATTATGTTAAACAATCATTGTTGTCACGGAAACTCACATTGTCGTAATTATTTTACCATAATATGACGTACGTGTCATTGGCAAAGCACATTATCAACTGAATTCCGCTCAGAATCGTTTTTCTTTAGCAATGGCTTATCGACGCTTACAAATATGTATTAAATCCCCGTCTGTAACCTATCTTCTCAACTTCCCATCTACAAAAGTGGCTGCACCCACGTGTGAAGTATGTCCGTCTTTTTTTTTTTTTAACTTTTTTTACCCTGTGATGCAGATCCAGCTGCAAATTGTTTAATTTTTATAAATTACAGCATACAGAAGAATATACATACACTTACAATAGTGAATACCATCAAATGCGATTAAAATGTTTACGTAAAACTGAATAAAATATACGGTTGTATTTCGCGTAATTTAAATATATTTATATCGTCGTTATATAGTCGTTTTAATTGGTACGTAAATATGTACAAATATGTACAAAATACGTCTTCACCCACAGAACATTTCTGCAGACGCACAGGCCTCACACACACACACACACACACACACACACACACACACACACACACATACACACACGCACGCACGCATATAAGTAAGTATATAATAATAATAATAATAATATAGCGATGTTCTATATCCGGACGTCTTAAGTTAAAACGACCACGTATACGAAAGTTTCGGTATATCGGAGTTGGGGCAACTGTATTATTATGGTCTCGGAGGATTTCAAAGAAGTGATACGTAAACTTCTGCGGAGTCGTTTTTGAAAAACGTTAGTTTGGCACTTCTCCCGACTACGGAGGAAAACTTAGCAATACTTTATAGTATAATATTTACGCACCGAAACATATCGAAACTGCGTGTCGTAAACCTGTTTTTATTATTATTATTTTTTTATTATAGACACGATTTCTCTCGGAGGATGGGGGGGGGGTGTTGGGATGCATGCGATATTGAATAAAAAATAAACCGTGATATTATTTTCCGCCGTATGCGCGATAGATGTTTATTGGAATGCATTTCTTTTTTTTTTATCATTTATTATTATTCTACAGCGCGCTCCGATGATCATCGACATTCTCGGACGAAGCAACTTATAGGCACCTACCTACGTTGAATTATTACGTTTGATTTTATTGTGTAGGGGTAACGGCTTTCAAAGACCATGAACTCCGAGCTTATATTTCTTCCGTCAATTCCTATATATATTTATTTATATTCTGCGTCTGACTCCATCCGTTCGTATCCCAGCTTTCACCATTCGCGCATCTCTTGCTGCGCAACAACCCTCCGAGCGCGGACTCTTCCCAGTGGCCGTTTCACCGACGTTTTAATTGCGTAATAATAATATCCGGAGATTTTATATATACATTAACGTAATATTTAAATTAATAATATTATACAAATTACTTTTGAAAATTCGCGGATGCCGTGTGTTTAATTTTAGATTTCCCGTTTTCTTCGCTACTACGTGACCTATCGACAAAATGTAAATTTAAACGAGGAGGCGGTTAAAAAGAAAAAAAAATAATTATAATAAAAATAGAAATCGTTACATATTAATATTATTAACTTTGGCGGACAATGGTTTAAAAAAAATGTCCCGTTATAAGCGTAATTTTTTATCCAAGATGCCTCATATCAAGATTTGTCGAGATATCTACTTAACTAGTGAATTATGCCGTACTCGTTGTCATTATTATATTTATACTACGTATTACATTATACATTTAGAATAGATAATTCGAGAAAAATTGATAAAACATTTTTTTCCCCTCGATACACCCGTATATTAAACGAAAACGATTGAAATAATATTATAGTGAAAGATAAATTACACGGGAGGATCCGTAACGTTTTTTGACTTAGCTGTATTACAATATATTATTATTATTATTATCATCATCATCATCTCCGTTGCCCTTAAAATAATATATATATATATACATAATACTTATCTAAATATTCATTATACGATAAGATAAGTTGTGTAAACAAAACCGGAACTGATAAACAATGTTATAACCCTTTATACACAACGCGCGTTCGCTCGCTATCCTGTCAGCGATAGTATACACGGGATTTTTCAATGTATACACAATATACGCAAACGGAGTGGAGCGGAGGGGGTTGACATTTTCGAAACTCGATAAAGGAAAAAAATCTATCGTGAGGTGTGCACACAGGACGAGTTTATAAATATAATAATAATCATCGTGTGTATATTGGAGAAAAGAAAAAGACAACGTAGAATATAGTTAAACCCCACCCAATAATAACTCGCATCACGTGTACAGTTTTGTAGATTAGGCTATTTATCAGGAAGGGTGTGGGGAAGAGAGTGCACAATACTATATTATTTTGAAAATGAAATAACTTTGACGACGGGCATCATGGGACAAATATTTGAATAGCCCGTAATGATTTGTTCGTATTTCGAAGCTGTAGTGTCTCTATAATTATATATGCATGATATACTCGTAACGGAAATAAAAAAATTTACATTTTTATAAAACCGCGGCAAATAATGCGATTGATTCTAACATGCGTTCGATTCTATTGAAATCCTTCGACACAATAATCGTTTTGCAATCTATCTATAGCTGGGTTTTTATCATTCATTCGAAAAATTCGGTTTGAAAAACAAGATGACGTGTTTTCCGATACGAGAACGTAACGAAATAAAAAAAATAAAATTAATGTTTAATATTGTTCAGCCAATGTTTTCAGCGTTTTAAAACAATTCTTTGTGTTTAAAAAGAAATATCAGGTAAAAAACTGAAGGTTTTTATCTCGATATTTAACGAAAGCTATGAATAAAATAAAAAAATGTTAAATCTCATCATTAAAAATAAATTATTCTCTTAGAATTGTTTACTTTTATTTTTATTTTTTATCATATTGACTAACGTCCGACTTATTAAATAAATAATAATATATAAACGATATCATATTGAGTTTATTATTATTATTATTATTATTTTTTTTTTTTTTACTAAATTTTCGTTTTGCGTGCTTACCTCTATATGTATTTTATACAACACAAACGGATTGTATCGGTGAAGATTCGCAAATAAATTACTTTTGATGACATTTGCCGAAAGTATTTCCAATAGTGTTTCAGCAGAGTTTTGCGCATTTTTGTGTTAATTAGTTTTACACGTACACAGCGAACCATAAACATCTAACTGCAATAAAAGTCAACAAATATGTAAAATATTATCTCACCCAAGCGCGAATCACAGTAGGTACTATTTTATCACCCCCTCTTCACTTGATTAGACGAACACCGTCGGTTTTCGTTTAAAACAAATGGTTTGAAAAAATAAAAAATGTTCAACAACTCGTAACTAATCGAAATTATATACTTTTTGTCGCAAAACTAATTAACATATTATTAATTTAAATGGAAATGCACTGGGCATCAGTACCTATACCGTCCTATACTGACTGCACATATTTATTGTTTAACAGTTTTCATTCCTCTCCTGGGCATATAATGGACGACTGTACACTTTTCATTTGAATAACATTGTGTAGGTAACACCGCGTTTTGATTAAACGATTGCTTGACTAGCAAAACTTGTATTTTTTATTTTGTTCAAATAAATGTGTGTCAAATATCCGTTTATTGAAACGGAAAACACGTGAACACACGCAAATATTATTATAATACTTTTAATAACTTTTATGGTAAAATTAAAAACGATAACCGACCTGAATTTATTATAATGTAATATTTTTAAAATATCTTTGACCTTTGGCTGGTGAACGACTTGAGGCTTTGAATTTAATCGTTCCAACAATATGTTTACGGTTTTACTGCGCAATTCAATTTTTTAGGAATTAGCTCGGTGATTTTTATCCACAAGAACGCTTCGAAAGTCAAATGATGAATAGTAAAGACGCGATAAAAATTCGATTTGGGATACATTGTATCATAGTCTCTTTGTCCGATTTCTACCTACCTGTTGGGTGGGTTTCCTTGGTCCGTTCTCGGTAAAATGTAAATCCTTATTCATCGTTGTGGAGACAAATCCCACAGTAATCAAATACCGATAACAAATTCGCTTCAATTTGCCTACAATTCGGTTGGTGATCCACCCCAATACATCGCGCTGAGCCCGGACAAAAAAAAAAAAAAAGTTTCTCTGACAGTAGCTCCCACATGATCCTCTTCGATGGGCTGCTGACGAGAACCTGAGGATTTTACGTACATCCGCGTGTTGTTGACCTGGGAAGCCAAGTCGTTTGTTAGGATTTACTTGGCCCTTTTTCTCTGTCCGATGGGTATAAGAACCGTTCATAACCCCGTCGTCGAGTACAATAGTACAAGCTGTTACCGTCAAATCACCTAAATATTATTCAATTTCAATATTTATAACATTACGTTCATTTTACAACTAACTTTTTTTTTACTGAATTTATTAACGTTATTCGAATACAGTTTAATTTTAATAATCGTAGAAAGTGCATAATAAATGAACATTTGGAACGAAAAGGTAGTTTATTTTTAAATGTTCAATGTGAAAATAATCAAGTTTTATTATGATGAATAAAATTTTTTTTGCATAAAACTGAAAATGTATATTTCATATTACATATTATATCTTGACAGACAGTTACAATAAAAGGAAAATATTACTATTATTATTTCGAACACGTCATAATGAATGAACACAGTTATAACGACCCATAATTCGTTCGTCATCGAAAAGCCAATCGTGCGATTCTTCCATGAAAGTTGAAAACGTCAAACGTGAAATGGTTAAGTTCTAAAAAATTTCTGGAATTCTTCAAAATCTAAAAAATGTCCAGCTGAGTATAATTATAGTAGTTAGACGTATTTAACCCCCTCTCCCCAGTTAAAAAATATACCTATCACAAATGACTAAACAAATATTGTGAACCATTACCCCTTGAGTATTACGCGGTAACACAAATGTCTACAGTAACCGGCACTGCTCTCGACACCAATCCCGCAGCAGTTCTTGACAAATGATTATAATGATGGTATTTTATTAATTGTACGCAAAGGCACAAATTAATAGAAAAAACGAACTTTAATAAATAGAAAAATTACAACCAGTGTATTAAGAACATAATATTGCATACAAATATTTAACATTCGGTGTTGTTGCCAGCGCTTTCCAAAGAGCACTGAGGAATAAGTGAGATCAATTAAAAACAAAATCGTTAGTCGTTACAGCTGTTTTTTTCTATGACAGATTTCCAAAGTGTGTAAGATTTACCACACACGATTTTTCCGCATTGCTGTATAACAAAGATCTCGTTTACTATCAGTCCGAATAAAATAAACAGTCGCTAATATAAAATTAAAATAATATAAAATTAATAAAATACCATATCACGAAAAGTGATAGACAGAGGCGGTTAGGTCCATCGGTTGACATTTAGCATATACCGTAGTATTAAGTACTAATCTTTTTGATTTAAGTTTGGGAAAGTAGATTTTTTCATACTATAATTTACACCTGTTTAAATAATTACAGCTTTTATTATTATTCATTAATTTATAACTATTATTAGATACCTAGTCAAAATGTACAAATATTTTACAGTCACGTACAATCCCAGCTCCATCCAATTTTATAATGTGACATTTTTCTTGGCCTAATCGTCATTGGTATCGAATTTTAAATAAAATATTTTTTTTTTCAATTCACCGAAGGGGCTAGAGAAATTATGAAAATTGCTAGTTTTAAAAATTTCTTCTGTTTTCTTGACCCAATTGTTAGTATCCATTTAATATTGGATAGTAAAACAAAAATTGATAGTTGATAATTGATTATTTTTTTCTATATTCGAAAAATTAAAAAATTAGAAATCGCATACCACTACAAAACATCAGAGATGAACCTGTAAACTATGCTTTTAGTAAAAAAAAAAACAGTCCAATGCATAAATTAAAAGTGATTGAATTTTCGTTAAGAATTAGTATGACTTTTTAATTGTAAATGTTGAGAATTTGTTATTAGCAATTATTAACAATTTATATAATGCCGCAAGCAAAAAACCCTTGAAACAACAATACCTTGTACCAAAGACGCACAAAGTAGAATTATTTGTTTGTTATTTCAAGAGGGAAATAATATTAATTATTGTTTTAGTACGTATTATTGCAAATATAAGTTTTAAATAGGTCATTCATTTTTTTTTTAGATTTACAACTTGATGAGGAATATTTTAACTATTATTAATTTCTTTCGTCCGAGTACAAATAGGTACTTGGAATTTTATTTTACGTATTCGGATTTGAGAAAATACAGATTATTATTACTAAACTTCTTGAACTATTTGTTATAAAGCAAATATATTGTAAAATAATAATATTATTTTCTTATTAGTTTGTTTATTTAAATCACGAACATTTATATAGAATTATTTATTTCGCCGCCTCTGTAATTATAATAATATTTAACTTTTTAAAAAGAATTTTACGAACGATTTCGAGTTCACCTGTTTGAGTTGCAAATATATTCTATTTGTTACGTTTGGAATTATTAATTAATCTTTTTGAAACTTAGTTAAATTTTAAACTATGCATTGTAGGCACATCTTCTTATATAAAGTTCTGAGTTTCTTTAAAACTAACATTGAATTTAATTCCAAACGAAAAAGTTAAATGAGATTCGTTATATTTGTTTAGTGTATCTCACATTCATAATAATATCATCGTCAAATAAATTAATTTAAATAGGCATTTCTGTGTAACGATTATTCAAAAAAAAAAGAGCTGATATTGATGATTGATGTGTGTGTATTTGTGTGCTACCTTTAGTAGGAAGTTCAAAAGATGGGATATATAATATCCTATATTATATTTGCATGCCTTTTCGTATGAACGCAATGATTTATAACGAAAAATCATTCTCAGCTAAATTTGATTAAGTATGTTTTGAAATGTTATGATTTTTACGATTTTCATTGAAATTCGAATTTAAACGCTTATAAAAACGAAAATATTACGCTTGGTTTATTTTTTTTACTTACAGCTATGTAAAACTAATGATGGATCTCGTGTTAAATTGGCAATCATTTTTACTTGGCTGATACAATTTTATTGGATATCTACACAAAACTAAAAAACAATACAATGGCTCAAAAATCAACAGAGTATTTAGACATCTGAAATTTTACCGCATCTAAAGGAGGCTAATAATAAGGCTAATAAGAATTTTTTGAAAATTTCAGAGATTTAAAATAAATTTTAACTTAATTACAGAAACATAAACAAAATCTAAAATAACAGAAACCGTTATTACAAAATGCTTTTCAGAATATTTAGACAAAGAATGAAAAATGTGACCTTCTCAACGCATAATCTAGAGAATATTTCCCTCTAAATATCATTTCTACTGTTGATGGTCGGAGAAAGATTTCTGGTCGAAAAGTTGTTTACAGACCGACAAATAAACACATGATAGTAAAATAAATATGCTCAGAGTAAAAAAAAAAATCTGTTTTAAACTATTTAACAAAAGATTTTTATACGTTTAAAAAAATTTACCACCAGCTGAATTAAGTATTTTTAATTTTTAGTAAGTTTGTCACGGTAAATTAATCAGAGGTGACGTAAAAATAGACCCTTGTTAAAATTTACAAATTTGAATCGCGTGATTTATACCGTTCTCTGTCGTTATACGTTTATTATAATATTAAAAAAAAACCAACGATGAAAATAATATTATATTAACACTTTATTTACATTAAATTGATTTTATACTACCGCCGTAAGACCGATTATAATTTATTCAAACTTGGAGCTACCTATTGGAAAATATATTTTCTATTCATACACTTAGCTGGGTATAGGTATATATAGCATCATGTATACATTATACCTACTTAATTTCGTATTCCACGACGAAGGGTTATCATTATATCGTCAATTAATTATAATATAACCTAGAATTAATATTTAATAGCTATAACCCTGCAAGACCCCCGCTATATACCTGCAACACGGAATATTAATAAATCTATGTATGAATCTATGTGTTATACAGGTTAGGTTAGAACTATAATACAAATATATATAGTATAAAAGCAGTTTTTTCAGCAGTTGATTTCTCGTTGAAACATATAGTAAACGTTTCTCTATGGTCTAAATGGTAAAATTATCAGAATTCATGCGGATTAAATGAGAGATTCCCCTTCCCCTCCCTGGCCGAACACGTGTTTTAAAGCGCGTATAACCGGGAGATAGTAGGGTAACGTGCGTGTATCGTGAGCTCAAGCGTCTGGAAAAACTATAACCAACTAGTAATAAAAATGCTGCCTCTAGCGAGCGGATATTACGGAGGGTCCGGGTGTGTGTCTTCGTGGCTAAAAATAAAATTGGTCCATTGCCAACGGTATATGTATGTACACGACTCTCTTTATAGGTTTGTAATCCAAGAGGGATATACCGGAATACTAAATTGAATTAATCCTGTTATTTGTGACTCTTGTAAACCGCTTCGGGATGTGGGGAAGGGGGCGGGCACTTTCGCTGCAGTAAGTGGAACTAAACAAAAAGAAATCCAACTATAACTTCTTAATAACACAGTAATGCTCTGACATTCGAACACCTTTGTCATATTATTAAATTTACCGTTTGAGATCATACGACATTCTTCGATAAATTACTGATAAATTGAAAACAAAATTAAACAAATTATTTTTTATATTTAATAAAATTTTAATGATAAATTCGTGATTGTTATACACAAATACCAATTAAAAATAAAGTATACAATTTATGGTTAGTTATTTTTATATTTTATTTTAATGTATAGTATACATTATAATTATACATTGTATACTATATAGATACTATAGAGTCGATTAGTATCTACGCCAATTTATTTTTATCAGTCATTTATCAGTTGTAATTGGACCATTTATCGGTTCCATATAATTCAATGTCCCCATTAAAAACACATACATAGCATTGTTTTTTTTTTAAACGCTTATTACTTATATTGAGTATTTTATGATTACTTATAAACTAAGAGTTCACTATTATTAAATAAGAGTTACAAAAATTCGATTTGTATCAATAGAATAAATATCTAGTTACTTAAAATGTGGAATATAAGATTTTTAAAGTTACTTTACAAAACGTAACATATATGTACACTCTTTAACTGTTAGGATTTAATCATATTTGATAAGGATTGTTATCCAATAACATGACGTCTCACTAATCGTCTGTAATTTTTCCTATAATATATAGATTCCTTGTATTAAGTATACGGCTAGTATGAATTGAAATTTGATTTGGTTGTTTACAAAATTTGTATTAATCATGAATCTGATGTAAAAACTTATCTTTTAATCATAGTTTAAATATTTAACACCGTTACATTAACCTAGTTTTTGAATACGTTTTAAATTAAAAATGCATTTCCGCTTTGAAGTTTTACAAAAGTATAAATATAATAGTAGGGATAATAATAATAAAAAAAAAAGAAGCGATTTACAAAATGTTTGTATACATTTATATTTAATAATTTTATATATATATATATAGAAAAACACATAGCTTTATAATAATAATTAAATTGTACACGGAAATAACATTGCTTTTTATGACGCGTAAAATATGCATACAAATCTTTTTATAAAAATTCTTGATAGACGAGTTGGTATGGTTTTGTAGACGGAACCGTATACTTCGATGTTGATAATTTAACCCGATTGAAAATTTATAAAATTTGAATTCGCTCCGAAATTCCATAGTCTTGTTTTAGTCGTCGAGTATACTCGGCTATGTTATAACGCGTAAAGGTGTAAGTTGGCAATTGAAATATACTACTCGGGTATATATTAATGGTGAGGGTTTTTAATATACAATGTTATACGTCGGTTTATAGAAGCATTTCAGTCGTTCAACAATAAGCGATGCACTATATTATAATAACGCGTGTCCAAATCGTTTAAAAGTCGTTTTCAGTTGTTGTTGTTTTAGCCGCGGAAATAGTTTCAGCAGTAGTCGGTAAAATAATATACTGTGTGTAATTTTAATCATGTAAAAAGGTTCGTGTTGCTATACTAACACTGCCCCGTTTTTGATTAGGTCTTCAGCCCCACCATACATAAACACACACACACACACACACACACACACACACCGTTATTATACTGCAGGTACACACCTTAACGGCTGGGGTGAATAATAATAATATGATAAACAAAAATATCGGACAGGACCGGTGAATTAAATATATTATACAACACGGTTATTTTATCATTGGCCAAAGTATACTCAAAAAAAAAAAACCCGCCGAATCATTTGATTGGTTCACTGCTGTTTTTCATGCATCTCACCCTATTGTGACTCGATCCTTTTATAAATCAATGTAAGAAGTTCTCGTTTGAGTCTTAATTATTTCCCGCTTGATCTCGATACTCCTTTATTCAAAGTGTTATTCTAAATAACACATTCAACAACAGTTTTCCATAAATATCTTCGTGCCGAAGAACATTATTTCTACGTATCATCTCGTATCTCACACTTATGATGTTTTTCCGTAATTCTCGGCTTTTCTTTATCATCGATAGTTGTATTTTGGATCCGTCATATCCAGAGTCGTATTAATCCACATTTACACACATAAACAGAATTATAATGGTTCAGTTTACAAAAAAATCGTATCACATTAGCGATCAAAATGTCTGAGAAACGAAGGAATAGTAGAAAAAAAGATTTCGTTTCGGAAAAAAAGAGACATTTTGGTGGACCCGAGAAGAAAACATTTTGATACTAAAAAATTATTTTTTTAACAAGTTGTAACTTTTTAAGGAAAAGAAGTTTTTCGGAAATTTATTATTTTAAAATATTTGTTGTTTATCAAACAAATCGATAATTGCTTAAATTTCCTTGATGTAATTTGTTTTGTTGGACTCCTTATCTAACTGGAAAATTATTTTGTATACCTGAAAGGAAAGAAGGGTAATACACCGTGATACTAATAGTTCTGTAGAGAAGTGTTTCCCGAACTTTCGATTCATGGCTCCCTTTTTTAACTAAAATTTTCTCAGGGCACCCTTTCAATTCATTGCAATCGAATATTCTGTATTCTGATCGGAGTGTTATTAGTCGTGGTTAAAAAATCAATGCATTATAATGCATTAACAATTGAATGTTAATAGTCTAGTAATTACTTTGTACCTTATTACATGTGTTAGTAACAATGTGATTTGTGCTTTTGAATACCTTATACCACATCCTTAAACCTTCTTTTTGTTATAAACCTTTAAAAGGACGACGCTGGGTGTTAGTAAGTTTAATATTTGAAATTAGTAGGGATCAGTTTGTCCCTGGGACCCATGATTTCTCTCAACGGCTATAATAGGAAATATTCAAAATGGTTTTACGGTACCTCCGTTCAGCCGCAGCTCACATTTTGAGAACCGCCGCTACAGAGTATTTTTTCTATACATAATCAGTGTACTCAAGGAATGAATACAATTTAGATTAAATAATAGGCATACGAACTATGTGATTTATCATTAGCAAACATAATGCTAATTTAGATCAATTTATTATTAATAAAAAAAATTAAAATATTCTTACGGAAAAGCCGACCGGAGGGAAATTCGATTCTAGTCCCGTACGGTTTCTCGCGATATTGTATTTCCTCTAATAAAATATTAAGACGGTCAATAATCACCAGTGAAATTTCAACGAAACGTGGTGAGGCGGGGGCAGGGGGCGAGGTAAATATCACGGGGGAAATTTCACACCGGAACGGACACGGAGGTCGAAACCCCCGGACGATCGCCCTGCCGAATTTCAATCACGCGTTATTTCGGGACTCGCCGTTATTGTGCAACCGCTGCGCGGATAATACAGACATTTTGTTTATATTTATGAAACGGAAATCGCTTACGTCACGCGTTTTCCGCACCTGTATACACGCGTAATATAACGGCGTTGTGGTGCGAGCTGCGGCGGCGGGTAATGCCGCGGGAGAAATAGCGACGACCAGCGCGCGGCTGCAGAAAGCGCGGCGTTGTTCGGAACGATGTTGTCCGAAGTCAAACATTATAATATTATACTCACACACACACACACACACACACACACACACACACGCTTACACGTGCACACGCACACACAGACATACACGTCCACGCGTGCATATAATAATTTCACGAGGAGCGGTACTTCATTAAATTTACACGGTCTGTTGGGCGCTAAACAATCGACCCTCGCCCGCCCCTCGCCACGGTTATATTATATTATAATATTTTTGTACGACTGCAGTTATTACTGCTACCCCGTGTAAACCTACCTACCTTTCTGCAGCCTTTGCCGCGACGGCGACGAGACATTCGCTTATCTGCCGGTATGCGCTGCGAAAAACAACACTCGAGGCAAACATTATAATTTACACAAAGGTTTCCCGTACACTTCCGTTCGGGTCCGGTTTTTTTTTTTTTTTATTTTACCTTCTCCCCGCACCCGACCGCCGCCGCACGGTTCTTTCAAGATCAAACACGTATAAATACACGCTCGGTTTCTACGAACAATTAATTTCCACACAATCCTCCAAGAACTGTAGGAGGCGATACTATGCGAAAAAAAGAGAAAAAAAAAAATAAAACAACAAATGTCTGGAAAAATTTTTCCTTCTCGAGTTTTCGATTTCCCGCTTTCGGTGAATTTCCAATTTTTCTTTTAATTTCTACACCGACGATTATTTTGTGTTTATTGTTGTCAATCGCCACCGAAATCATTATTTTTAAACCGAGTATTACCACTAAATCATTTCGAACATAATTCAATATTTGTATTTTATTATAAATTGTCAAATAACCAATAATAATGCATTTTAAGCTCGGGCGCGTTTTTAATTTGGCATGAGTAATATGTATGGATAAAAATATGTATCGATGATACTACTGACGCGTGCGCCACTGTTGTGTATGGAAAATTGGTAAGGCAGGACGTATAAAGTTATTTAATTTACTTTTGTACTCACCGATAAACCGTGACTAACGAAAATCGATTTTAAATGAAGTTTTGTTTTACGCGTTAAAAATAAACCACACAATATTGCGCTCAACTTTCTGGGTTTTACTACTTAGTTGATATTTATGAACTTAACGGTTGGGTCTTATGATTATGTTCAAATTAAACTAAATAAAAACTGAACAAAATTTGAAAATGTCAAATGCCTATAAATATTTAAAAAATCGTTATAATGTTTTGAAACGTCTAGTAAAGACATAATTGTAGTGAATATTTTCGATTTACTTTCATTTTTTTCCTGCGATGAAAACCATAACGGAAATATAAAAATGGCCTTCTCGTGGCATCAGCTAAATTTAAAATGCGACAAACTAAACGGTATTTTGTAATTTGCTGACAGTAACAAGATTTTATGTAGAAAGTTGTTAACCGATTCAAAAAATTAAAATTAAAAAAAAATCACACATTATAAAAAATTCGATAAATTCTTCACTACACTCGGAATCTAAAAAAATGAGTATAAACGATTGAAAAAAAGAAATGTATTTTCTGTGTTGCTCCATTTTTTATATGGTAACTAAAACGAAACAAATACCGAAAAACTATAAAACATAATATTTTGTATAATGTAATACGCACCGGCACAGAGCTTTAGAACCTATCTTTATTTCAATCGCGTAATACCGAGACGGTATTGTTAAAAATTTGATTATGTTACTCAAAGAATGTTCGATTTTTCTTTTTTTATACATTACTTTAACGTTCGCCTCTTCTTCTTTCGACTTACACGTATTTTTTTCACAAAAACGTTAGTGGAAGTATTACGTTCTGTAAACTGGACGAAAATAATACGCCGTCATTCAGAAATGAAGACAAATACGTATTGTAAAAAAAAAAGTTAATGAGCGCGAACGTGAGTATTTTTACTAAAACTCTGGTTAGTATGAAAGCGCGTTAAAAAATCACACCCATAGAGATTGGCATTATCACAACTTGGACACTTTGATAATAAAAAAATCATAATATTATTGTAAACGAATTTCTTGTCTTTATCAAATAATCATAGCTTTTGAAAAATTCAATCCATTTGTATCGGTCTGATGTCCACAGCTTCCAATCTCATCCTCCTCCTAGTTCTATTTCACATCTTTCCGTCACCTTCTCGGTTTCCAATGGAATTTTCCAACATTGTACTTTTCCAGCACTGTACGGAGTAGTGAGTTTAGACTTTTCCGAGCTAATAAGTACAGTCTTGTTCCTGACGGCCACTACGATGTTCGGTCCCTGATACGGCCATTTAAGTTCTTTCTTGTACTCCACTCATTGATCTTACTGTCCGATAAAAACGCCAAACGATTTCTTAGGATTTCCCTATCAAAAACTAAGAAGTGTGTACTCATCGGTTTTCCGGATTAGCCAAGTCTCTGCTATCCGTACTACGTAACAATATACTGCACCGAGGTGGTATAAAATATAGCTGATTCTCAATACGTTATTAAAATAGTTCTAACCGTCGAAACAACCAGGGAGCGTTAAGATACTTTACGTGATTTCTATGTACCTGCATACTTGATCGAATGCATCTACGATATGGGTCAAATAGGCTGAATACAGTGAATAGACTTGAATTAATCGTACGTATTCAAAATAAGGTTTTTGTCTAGAGGAAATGGCGTGCTTATTATTAGATCGAGTGTCGTTTTAGTTAATTTATTCTACGCGACCGTTTTCGTCGACGCCGCTAAAGACGACCGTTTATTAATACCGTTCATTATTTATACGATTTTTAAATTTTTATTATAACGTGTGGGTGTACAATGTAATTTCCCAATAATAATTTAAACCGTGACGGGTTAAAGCAACTTACAGATATATATATTATGTATATTTTTCTAACAATTTCAGCTAAGCATACGTTAATTATTTATTTCCGCTTTTCCATTAATTTTAAAAATTTTTAAAGAAAAATATTATGCGTGGGACTACTTCGAATCAATATATTAACAACTTGTTCACATTTTCAGTAGAAATGCTGCTATTGAGTAAGTAATTAGAAAAAAAAAACGAAGGTACTTCTCACGGCGAGTGGGCCACTTTTGTAGGTGACAAGTCGGAAAGGTAGGATATAGAGGGGAATTTAATGTATATATTTTTGAAACGATTAATCATTGCTAATGAAAAACGGTTCTGAGCGGAGTCCATAACCGTAATTTTTTTTTCGTACTTAAATTTATTGCGTACATATTATCAAAATCGTTCAAATAATATTATAATAAATATAGTAAATGCATATGTAAATAATTAATAAAGAAATGATTTAATGCGTCGCATTTCATTTTGTGTGTTATAATAAACAGAATTTGTGAATTTTAGAGTATTGGCATACCGATTTGTATGGCTTCGTATTCAATCCAGCACAGTTTTAATAACATGTTTGCCGTGTTACGACGAGTTCGAATGAGGAATTCGAATGCGCTTTAGACTAGATTTTGGTGTTTTTTTTTTTTTTTTTTGTTTGGTTTAAAACGCTTTAAATGTGTCGAACACCACGGTAGTAAACGCACAGAGATAATATAATGCAATGACGACCAAACGAATATGTAGTTAAGCGCCGGCCGGCAAAAATAATCAAAATGTACACAAATTGTATTATCGTACAGACAACTGCACACAGCCGGCGCGCGAGAATCGCGATAAAAGAACGCCCGGTATTCCGCCAGACACCCTTTTTGGCGAATTATATTATTCAACCGCGAGTATATAATTTTTCCGACTAATTTCCGCGCGGCCGACGTCTTCTCCGGCAATTATAATAATAATAATTTAATAATATGATTATTTCCACGGGAGCTGCGGCGACGATGTCGGAGCGCAGACAATGGAGAATGACCTCCGCGCCGCGCCTAAAAGCGGCGGCGGCGACGGGTGCCGGAGGCGACTCGACACACCGCGCGCGTGTATTTACGGTCCGAGAGAGAGTGAGTGAGAGAGAGAGACCCGTCGTCGCGGCCGTAATTAATCTGCGAACGGCGCGGGGAGGGGGCGATGGAGCGATTAGAGGAAAAAAGGAGGGGAAGTGCGGCGGCAAGGTCGACGAATCGGCTTAATCGTCCGGTTTCCGCGTGTTCGCCGCGCGCTTTTGTGCGTTCGAATTAATTTTAATTTCTCCCTTATATATTGTACCGCGACGACGTCGTCTCTACCGCCGCAGCATCACCTGCGGTAAGAGACCGCGTTATTGTGTTCGTGGGCGGTATTTTTGAAATATGAATTTCCCCCCTCTCCCTCACTCTCCTCTCCTCGTGTGCGCGGCCCCGTTTAAACGCGCGCTTCCGTCGGGACCGGGCCGAAACGTATAACCGTGTCGGTTTTGTTGGAGTTTTACAAAACGTATTCACCTACCGTTTGCTCCGGGGATATCGGTGTCCCGAGCGTGTAATACACCCGAAACCGACTAACCGAGTCCGTTTAAAAAAAAAAAAAAAAAAGCCAACTCGGGCTTAGAAAATGTAACCTGCTTTGTCGATCCAAACCCGGTAACCCAACCCGACAGAGACGGTGCTGTAAATGAGTTGACCGAAAACCTAGTCGATGAAAAATCACGAGTCGCGTGTTTAAGTAACACATATACCGCATATACCAAATGTACTGCATATATCTTTAGATCCGAACTCCCCTTATGGTCTGTGAATTCGCCGCCCGGCCTCGTCCAACCCCGTAACTTACGTACAACCGAATCATGTTTGGTGGCCCACTGGCAACAACGAAATCGAAGACAGTATTCTCAGGACGCCGTGTTCGGAAAAGAAAAAACCTGTTTGTACAAACGACATTGAAAGCCGGACAATTTTTACTCCGATTTCAAATAAAACTTTGCACACTTTGACTACGATTCATCTAGAAATTTATCGCTTGAATCACGCTAGATTCGTGATGTTTTAATAGGAAAAAAGATATACTTCGTTTTTACATACTTCGGGGCACTGTTGTAGATGAGAAGTTGGGAAGGTTAGGATATTATAGAGACCAGTTTAATTTAAATCTGTACGCGACGATAAACCTCTGCTAACGAAAAGCGATCCGAAACGAAATGTCTACAATTCGTGCACGTCAAATTTCTTAAACTTTTTCCCTCGGTTTTTTGCAATATTCTTACAAAAACCTATGGGAAAATCAAAAAGTGACCTTTTTTAAAGTAGCAACTAGATACAATTTACTTTCAGAAAAGCTGTTAAATTGTATACATCAAAGTGAAGTTTCTGGAAGAAAAGTTGTTCACAGAATAAAAAAAAAAGAAGAAAAAATATATACCACGATTGTAAAACCATCACACGCCCCGTTTCACCCGAATCTAAAATCGATTTCGTTCGGTTAATTATGGGTAAAATAATAATAATAAAATAAATATTCTGGTATTTTATTTAATAAGTATATTATTTCAAAGAAAAATTACCGGGCAACGGCGATTAAAGGAAGACACGTTAAATGTATAGACTTTAAAATTGTTTACACAAGACATATCACTTTTTCTTCACACGAGCCCGGAAAATACACGGTAATTCGGCCGTGCAGAAAAAAAGTTCGTTTTGATTACGTCGAGTCATTTAGTATGCGGATACGAACTACGGAAAATTTAAAAGGTTTCAAATCGGCCATGCACGGGTAGTCTAATTGTAAATGTGTACGTTTTTTTATGTTTCAAAATAGTATAAATGTTTTTAAAATGTTCGGACGGATATTTTATGTTACGAAACTCCATACGGGTCTCGTGAGGTAAAAAAAAAAAAAAAACCCAATATATCGTCATTATTTTTTACAAGTCGATTTGTTTCGTACGCCATTGTCGATTGATAGTGGAAAACTCGCAAGACTCGAAATTATTTCAAAAAACAATATATTTTATTTAAAAAAATAAAAAAAAGTCAATCGCTTTTTTCCCCTTACGAACCCACTCTACGTTGATTCCTATGTAGATTTTTTTTTTTTACACGATCGGAGCGGCAGCTGCAAGGCGGGGGTACGCTTGCAGAGAAGACTCGGTAAAAATATTTATTCAAATACCCTTTCGGTCGACCAGACCTTTGACGAAGACGTGTCCGCCGCCCTTATGCTATTGGGAATAAAATATAAAAAAACCGGGGAAAAATAAAAAAAAACCATTTTTTTTCTCCGTGTTTGCTTTGTCTACGACTGTACGGCATATATAGGCGGACAGGCGGGTACCTTTTGTACATTGACTTTTCTCTTATATTATTCGAGACGTTCCGCGCGGAATTACGTCTTTCCCGGACCGTAACTCGTGAAATCGGATCCGTTTACACGCGACCGATTTCAATATAATACCGCAGCCGCCACTACTTGTAGGCGCCGCCGCAAACGGATGCTCCTCGCCAACTCTCGAGTTATTATTATTATTGTTGTTTTATTATTTTTTTTTTTTTTTTATTATTATTATCATTCCCGCACATACTACCGCGTAACCTACGTGACAAATGACGAGTCATAGCGTCCCGTCCCGTTTTCCGTGCCCGCCACACCATCCGTGCCGCCGTGCTGTGCGCGGCTAATGGCGAACAAATTTATGTAAACCCAATAATATCCCCCGGTAAGAATTTTATACACGGTTTGTGTTTACGGTTTATTTGATTTTCCAGGTAGCCGAGCTCAAACAAATGTAAATTCCCACCCCTCAATTCACCACCACCACCGCCGCCACCGCCACTGACTTCCTCTTCTTTACCTTTGCCGTCACCGCCGCCGCTTGCACCACCGTTTCCTCTGCACCACCATAGTCGTCGTCGTCGTTGTCGTCGTCGTCATCGTCGTCGGGCCGAACACGCTCTCCTATTGATTTTTTTATTTATTATTTTTTTTTTTTATGTTCTCATCACAATTGAACGACGGCACATGGGTACCCCGAGGTCACGGAGGTAGAGGCAACGGAAAAAAAAAAAAAACAAATAAACTACTGAATAACTAATTGAAATCCATCCCTCGATATATGCATGTATATTAGCCGATGTATCGTTGTTCGTTTTATCAATAAATATTATATTATGTACGACCGCTGACTGTTTTCAGTGCGGGACCGTGTACGACCAACATTGTATATACGTACATAGATATTTTAGTAGGTCGTTTAAATGTTATTTCGACGGAGTCCGCCGACTAATAATGTTTCGCTATCTATTTCGTTCCGTTTCGAAATCGTAATATCGTATATATCCAACGATATTACGCTCGTTTTGATGAATAAACAGGAAGATTCGCTGAACTCGGCTCGTCTGTAATATCATCGTACACTACGTGTATTAACGATAATATTACTTTTGATGATTGAAAACCGTTGGACACGATATATAATATATTATTACGTTAAACATTTACAGTTTTGTGAGTTTCGAAATTGTATTAATGAAATTAAAAAAAAAAAAGGAAAAAAATCCCGCCCGTGAGCACTAGAGTTCCGCGACTAGACTTGTTGCCGACGCAATATTTCGTGTTTTATTTTTTTTTTATATGGATGTTTGCCAGAGTTGCGCTACGTTTTGTAGCCCGTAGAGGTATTTAAAACGCGGCGTTTTCCGCGAAAACGTAAAATCCGAGGTAAAAACGGTCGGTCAAGGGTCGAACGTCGAATCCGAAGAAAGGCACGTCTTTATTGATACTTATTTATTCGCGTGCGTGGAAAACATGGGTGAAACACGTTTGGACTACTAATAAAACTGCAACCCGTTGGACCAATATTTTTAAATTTCTATAAAGGCTTATCAAAAAAAAAAAGTTCAGTTAAACTACGAAAACTTACTTTTATATTAAGTAATAAGTAAATTATTTAGGTTTACATACAATTTCTGTTTTGTCATAAAACATACCTAAATACTAAATATGTACCCCTATCTGTATATCAATGTCTTGTATACGATATGACAACGCAGATAAAATACTACTGTATAAACGCTCGTTAATTAAACGTTCGGTTCAACTAATATAAGGAAAATACCGGTCCTACATGGCTTTTTAAAAGTAGTATTTTTTTTTTTTTTTTTTGTTTAAACCGAACCGGTTGTGTTTCAGAAAAATTGCCTGAAAAATGTAATTACCCGGCCTTCGTTAAAGCGGGGGTTCGTACAAGACAGTGCAAAGCTTAAGAGAAAAAAACCGCCCAACTCCCGCCCGCCCACAACGCACGGCTGTGTTTAAAATTAAAATTCCATCGTTTTTAGATTCGTGGATCGGGGAAAAAATAACAAACCCCTTATTCCCGAGTTTGAGCTCGCGTGACGAAAAAACATCTTTTAAACGGACACTATACGCGTACGGTCTCTATTTCCCGGGGAAATTCCACGGAAATACGAAAATCGTCGTTCGTCGTCGCGAGCGATACGTTTTATCATAATACGGTACACCTACAAACGTACGATTTCGTTTATCGGCGACGGACGTTCTTAACGCTGTTTAAAATTAAAAAAAAAATTCGAAAAATCATTCGAAACCGAAGTCCGGATTACCGGAAAAACATCTGGTAGCTATTACGGGTGCGGTAAGGTACATAGCGGTCATACTGTTATCAACGCGCACATTGTTATCATCGTTAATCTGATACGCGTCAATTTTTCGTTTTTTTTTTTTTTTTTTTTTGTTTTTTGTTTTTTTCCCCGTTTGTTCGTTTTTATTGGTTACAAACGTTTAAGACGACAGGGCACTGCGGGTCGAGACGGGTCTATAAAACACAACGTTTAGCGAAACCGCGAGGCGGCCGCGGAGACGTGATGGGGGGCGGTTTTATATCCGGTCTCGTCGGGAAAAAAAGGCACCTAACCGCCGCCGCCGCCGTAGAGATAATGGTTTTCTGTCTTATTATTATTATTTTTTTTTTTTTCCCCGGACGCGGGATGGGTCGCAGGGAACGGTAGAAATAAATGTTTATAACGGCGGCGGCGGCAATGGTATGGACCGTACGCGAGTACTAACACGCCGCAACGGAGCCGGTAAAAACGGCGGTTGATTGGATTACGAACGGCCGGAAATCGATACGGAATTCTTTTCCATTCTGTCCCCGCCGCTGCCGTTCCTCCGCCTCCGCCGTTATCACTCGCCGCTTCCCGAAGCCGCGGCGATTCGTCCACACACACACACACACACGCACACACTGCGATAATTCAGAAGAGAGGAATTTCACCCTCCGGACGCAATTTCGTCCCGCCGCGCGCGGTTTTCGTCGGGAACAACCGCGTGCGCGCACACACACAGGGAGACGTTCACAAGACCTGAATCTCAATTAATGCCTTCCGACGGGATTGTTTAAGTGGACGCGCGCGGTACCCGGCGAAACAACACTAAATACGTATATACGTAGTACGCGTGTAGGTGTATACGTAACCCGCGTACGTCGGCCCCGTTTGCCGATTTCCCCGCGACGGTATTTTTGTATACCCGGGCGAAAATAACGACTGCCCGGAACATACGTTTTACTTTGCCGGGGCCCACTAATGATTATTAAAAACCGACCCTTTTGCGGCGCGCACGCACACGGGATCGCGCGCGCACACACACACACACACACACACACACACACATGCACGCGCACTCGGGTCCGTCCTCGCGATTGAAATAAACGCCTCCTGGACGGGTCCGGGAGACGGGGAGACGCGTACGAGGATCGTCTTCGCGCGCGCGGGACGTTCGCCCATCAACGGGATTGCGTTACGGCGGAGAGAGAGATAGAGAAAAACAGAGAGATAAGAGATTGATTAAATTTCTCACGGGTCTCGGGCCGCCGGGGCGCATCGGCTGTCATATCCGACGCGTCACTCCGCCGTCGTCCTCGCCGCACCGGAATTCCGAATTTTTTTTCTATTCGTCCCGTTCCGCCGACGCCGCCGCCGCAGCCGATTT